TCACATATACCATATTGTTACATCCAATTTTAGTATCTATTTTACCATGAGTTATACGTTTTCCACCTGAACTTTTGCCACCATTATCTAACAGCAGAAAAATGGCTGATTTAAATTGATAGTCAAAGCATCCTTCACCTTTGCAAATATAAGAGAAGTAGTTCTTAATAGGAAAAGTAGCTATTAAATTATCATCAGGTGTCTTTATTTGCAGATTACTTTTAATACTAATTATATTTCACATTTTCTGTCATAATTGACACGCGATATCCATCAACAGTTTATATCATGGTTAAAAAAATATTGTTCTTATTTTTTCTAAGCAGGCTAAATGCTATTATATTTGCTGAGTTAGCAGTACTGAATCCCCATGTATAATCCCATTTGGACTTTCTAGAGAACACCTGATTAAGTCTATGATAATCCTCATTTTAAAGAAAAGACTCTTTATTTGCATCGCCACAAAGAAATAGAAATGTGTTTTGATTTTTAATACAATATTACTGGTTTGGTTATCCTGGAATTATCTCTTGCCACATTAGGGTTAACCCAGTATAGTTATCCGGAATCCGTGGGGTTAATCTATCAAAAGCAATTTACAATATGGAAACAGTCTTCTATCAACCAATCCATGAATAAAATAACACAACTGTCATGTTTTGCGACATGAAATATTGAAACAAAGAGTTGAATTAATGGAGAATAAAGTTAATGGGATTGAAGAGCATACTCAAAATTATATAAAAATGCAATAAAATCAAATACTTAATGGAAATTATACGCAGAAATGTCCAGGATTGCGGATTATTTAGTTGTCGTTTTTAGCAGGGGCAACCAATTTCTGATCACAATAGCTTATATGCAATTCCATTGGAATAATTACTTTATTGTTCAGATTTATGGCAAAATATTTTATTAACATTATGCCTTTCATAAGTTCCTTTAATAACAAATTAATTTGTAATAAAAAGTGAATAATATCCAACTGGATGGTTGCCAGTCGGATTAACAAGCATTTGGTAAAGTAGAAAACTGTGGAATATGCTAATTGCAATGTCATCTTGTCATTCTAAAAGTAAAGGAAAACCGCATTATTCATTATTTCAGATTTCATAAAACTTCAATGTGTCTTAGAGATCAGCTTGTTGTTATTTACTTGTGTACATATTTCTTTTTGTTGTATTTGTATCTAAGTGTATGTTTGTTTATATAACAAAAGTGGATGTTTGTTGACTACGTTGTTTGTTTATCAATTTTTGCATCTTAAACAAAAAGGAAACCAAACACAAGTGAAGCTCAATGACACTTATTATAGGTAGCTAGAGTGGTTGGATATGGTTCTACCACGAGGGATGGTATGATATCTGAGGCAAGATATCATACCATATCAGGGATGAAATGGATGACCATTTTATCCCCTATGATTATTAAATCTGAAAAAATGAAAATTTACAATCTTCAAAAAGTGTACAGAATAGATGCAGGATGAATTGTTATCATTCTCTTTATTGTATACAAAGTATGATATAGTAGTATATTTTATCAATATTCCTTGAGCTGTGATTTGATGGAATCACATTGTGTCAATTTTTTCATGATTTTTCCATGAAGTTTTATGAGACAGAGATCCCAATTAGACAATTATTACTCCCAGTATTCTCAAAGTAGTTCTTTTATACGATTCACCCACAATGCAAATGTTATCTAGCTTTTAACCAATCAACTTTGAGAATAGGAACATAGGGTGCAGTGAACCATGGGATTAATGAACCATTCCTAGCATTTTACATCTGAAGTTATTGATTAGACCTGGCTGTTGAATCAACTACCAGTATGTAAAATGTCAACCTTTCTTGCTTATTCCATGCTTTGTTTCTCAATTGTATTTAAATATTTGATCTCTGGCATTTTGAAACAATTGGGAAAGTGAACTTTTATGTCATTCAATTTGACTCTTTTATAGAATTATTTCTTTTCTGTCAATTTCCCATGGCATAATTTGACTGCTATGACATTTCATTTAGTGGCATAGCTATGAAAGCGATGACATTTGAAAATTGGAGAGATATTTATCGATTTGTGTTGCACTGGGAACTGAACTAGCAAGAATACCTTTCAGGAACTTTCTCGACTATCACAAACTTTGATTTCATTTTTTGACAATCGGGGAAAGAGTTTTTGGTCAATTTCTACAAATGTGATACAAGATTTGCTGAGTTGAATACGTTTTGCTTGTTTTTATCGCCAATTAATGTTTTTTCTAAGGAAGATGTCATTTATAATTGAATTCTCCAAGGGAGTTCTTCAATTCAGAAAAATAGAGCATCTAGCCTTGTACAGTATATTAATAATCTTAATTGGACATCACCATTTCTATAAAGCAGATATTAATCAAAGGTGTTTTAGAAATAATATACACAATCCGTTCTTCATCAATTCATTTGTGTCAATAATTTGTTTTTTGACGCATTATGTGTTGTTTGTTGAATCATATAAATTCCCTATAGATCAACAAGAGGAAACAAATAAAATGAATAGCATATTTTCCCTAATCCAAGTTAAACAACATAAAATAAGGTCCACATGGAATTCTTGGAACAGTGTCATTGTAACACATTTTATCTATTTTAATACAGTTTTATTTTCCTTAATTAACAGTGCTATAAATGAAATGAAAAGCGTCGTCCTGACAACCTTTTGCATTTATTTGACTTTGCTTCTTAAAAGGGAGCTCCATGTATATTTAGGACTAGACTCTGTACATCACTGTATAACCTGACTTCCATAATACATGTAAAATAATGCACAACTATAATACTGCAGCCTTATTCAAATATTTCATTTTTTGAGATGATTGTACAAGTACATGTGTATATTATACTTCATACTGTACAAGTACATGTATATATTATACTTCATACTTTGTAAATACAGAACAGACAGACAAGATGTATCATCATGGTAGACAGATATAGAAAATAAAAAATATATATTATAAGTAATAATTAAGTCATATGAGTATAAAGCCAACAACCTAAGTTGTACATATAAATACACTAAAACCTGTCTAAGTGGAACACCTTTGGTACATCTAATAAGTGTTCTACTTGGAAGGTGTTCTACTCGAGGTTCATTTAACATTAAGTCATTTGGTCTTGGGACTCTGAAAACTGTTTCACTGATAACAGAGGTGTTCCATTTTTAGAGGTGTTGTACTTTACAAGCAAAACAGGCTGTCTATTCAAGTCAAGCAAAACAGGCTGTCTATTCAAGTCAAGCAAAACAGGCTGTCTATTCAAGTCAAGCAAAACAGGCTGTCTCTTCAAGTCAAGCAAAACAGGCTGTCTCTTCAAGTCAAGCAAAACAGGCTGTCTCTTCAAGTCAAGCAAAACAGGCTGTCTCTTCAAGTCAAGCAAAACAGGCTGTCTCTTCAAGTCAAGCAAAACAGGCTGTCTATTCAAGTCAAGCAAAACAGGCTGTCTATTCAAGTCAAGCAAAACAGGCTGTCTATTCAAGTCAAGCAAAACAGGCTGTCTATTCAAGTCTGAAAGAGAAAAACATGAAGAAGTATGACTAGGATTAGATTCAATTGTGGATAAGGAATCACATAATTTAGTTGAATATGATAAATAGTGATTTGATGACCTCATCTTATTGTAAAAGACAGGGATGTAGATCTGTGCTGACATAAAAAGGCTAGCTTTTTTGTCCCCTTTCCCACTCTATTAGAGTTTCACTAACCTTATGTTTGATATAGAACATAAGACTTTATACAGATCTGTAGAACAACAAGGGTGCAGAATCGAAAACCAGAGGTACAGTTATATAGTTTAGCATCAAATAATTGGTACCCCCCCCCCTTCCTAACATGTAAAGACGCGTAAAAATATGATTTCAGGAAACAGGGCTCAATTTCTTTAAATATCCTTAACTTATGAAGCTGCAAATTACATATTATATAATCGACTATATTATGCTTTGAGGATTGAACCCCAGGGACAAAACCTTTCCTATATATCTTGTTGGAAGTGCTGTCATTCTTCTTGATATGTGGTATCCCACAAGTGATTCATAACTCTTTTGAGGGATATTGATGTTATGAATGGATTTGGCTTGATAGCTACAGCTAAAAAAGTGAGCAGTATATTGCATCCTGACATCTCTTGATATATACAATATGTCAAAGTATATCAAACATGAAAGATCAAAAATAATGAACGAAATGACAAATTAAGGTACAAAGAGGTCGCAGGAAATACATAAATTTCCGGCGTTTTGACAAATATCAAAAATACAAAATGCTTTTATTTTTACCGAAACTCTAATAAACATGGAATGAACGTTAATAAAACCATCTAATTATCCCTAATGTACTATACTTCAAGAGGAGTGTATATTTTATAGTAAACCTAATATGATCTATATCCCTTCTGGGAATGTAGGCTTGCTTGTATTTCATGAATCATTGTAATGTTATGTTTTGTATTCAATAGATCTATTAGTTCTTTTATGTCGTGCTCTAATTGTTCACTATTATCATCTGCAGTATTCTGTTAGATCTTGTTTGCAAGATGTTGTCTGTTATAAGATAACAATACTTTGTTTTTTTGTATTGTATTTTATATATTGTAATAATGTTACTTTATTGTATGAAATGCTATGTATTTTCTTGATTCATTGAATTGAATAATGATATTTATTCTAATATGTCTTTGTTGATTAATCATGATTGTTCTCCTCGCATTATGATAATAGTGTGTCCATTTATATAGGGACAAAGTATACACCAACAACGCTATTGAATCAGCTACAAATGTAGGAAGACAAAAGTTGATTTAAATAGCTGTATAGATATTTCTTCTTTTGTGTATTCATATATGATATTGCCTTTGTTAGCATTTTTGTCTCCTATTATATTTACGATAACTTGAACGTAATGAATATGAAAACAATAATAGATGATCTAGAATAACCAATTTTATAACCTGATGTATTTTCAGTGATTTTGACTACAGTTTTGCGACACCATTCATGGAGGGGAATACGATACCCATGTTACCACCCCCTGTGGGTGCTATGTGTCCTCCCGTACCTACAGAACTACAGGAAAGTCAGGCGGGAAAAATAAGGAAGAAAAAAATAAAACAGGAAACTATTGATCAAGGGTAAGTCCTTAAAAGGAAGAGATGAGGGAACTCATTTTTGCTCGAGAAAAATTTGTATCATTGAGTGATTTTGCGGCTCACTTTGTGTTTACAAATCTCTTTACGTTTATACAATTTGTTTACAATTTCTTCACTTCCACTTTGCCCCATGATTTCAAAAGTTTGTTAGTTTCCCATATAAAACCTTGGTTATAAATGACTTATTTCTTATCTATTTTTGACACATTTCTTGGTCATAAATCACTTAAGTTGTTTATATTGGTCTCCAGTCTACCATATGAAGAAGGAATTTAGGTAATAGAGGTATTCATGTAATGTGAATTATTGATGGATGAAATTTTAACTTAAGTTGCTTTGAAATGAAATATGTTCGGTATGATAGTACAATGTTATAATATAAATAATCTAGACGTTTTTTTTTCACTGTGCCTACATATTCCAAATATTCTGAAAATGACTAGAAATCCATATAAGTAGCACAAATTAAAAACGGATAATAAGATTTACTTATTTTATAGCAAAATATCCCTATTATTAGATTATTGACTCACAAGAATACAAGAAATGTTCTTCTCCATTTATGCAAAAAATGATTTTATTACTCTGGCTTAATAGGTTAATAAATGACAATATAAATAAATGATAAATAAGAAAAACAGAACAATAATGTCTGCACTCTGGAATATTTCATAAATCAAAGGCAGGTTAGTGCCTGGGTTTCAAACACGGCCCTGTCAATTTTTATTCAAGACAATGTCTCACAAATTTTACATTGTAACATGTCACTTTCATGTACCTTTGGGATTTTCTAAGCACATGTTTTTGCCACTGTTTCAACTGAATTTTGAAGATTTACACATGGTCGTGATGATTTTATCTGTAGGTACAGAAAATGATTGAGTTTGTGTCAGGGGGTCTTAATAATTGAAATAACAAGTTAATAAAGGTTAATAACCTATATCGCAATATGTAATGTTCTTGTCAAGGGGATCTTTTGTTGTTGATGTTTTCAAATAAGTGGAATAGAGAGGAAACACGGGAAATAAAATGGACAAAAGCTGCATTTACCATAAATGTATGTGTTTTGTTCTTAAAGAAGTTCGAGTCTTGCGCCAAGACCCTTATACAACCCCCTCCCTACTTTCTCATTTCTTTTCTGTCACAGGGAGAGAGTGGGAGGGGAGCAGAGTGTCTTGAAACATGACTAGATATTAAGCTATTATTTGTGTTAACATTTTTTATAATTCATTTTGTGGAATAGTTTGAAGGAAGTTAAATTCTTTCTTAACACAAAGAAGACAAAACAAATACTTTTGAGGGTCAAATATTTTTTTTTAAATTTTAAAAATGATTCATTTTAGGTTTGGCCCACCACAAGTAATGCCAGAGAATGTGAAATCACCACGGGGACGCAAGAAAAAAGTGAAACAAGAAAAAATGACAGATTGTATGAAAGTGCGTAAAAAGCATGATCGTTTCAACGGTATGCCTGAAGAGGAAGTTTTGCAACGTAGATTACCAGATATATTTGCCCCTAACCTAGATATAGTAATTGTAAGTACGCTTTGATAAAATGAAAACAGAAATAACAAATATAATAAAAACAAATATACGAGTAAAAGTAAAATGTTTGATTTATTTGATTGTTCTATTCTTCTGTATATTAAACAATTAGAGTTACTTAAAGGATATGGAAATGTAATAACTAATGTATATTTGCATTGGACAGCACATGTTTGATTATTTACTTAATGAAAATGTATTGTAGATACACATTCTATTTATTCTTGGAATAGCCCCAGTTAAGATTTTGAAGGAAGTAGAAATGTGTTGAAGACTTTTGAACTATGTACTTGTACATGTACACATAATATAACTTGTCAAATATGAATGCCACTGGGATTGGCCAAAAGTGATTGGTTTTGCATTCTTTAAAAAATGGAACTAAAGAAGTGTTAAAATTGAGTGTTCAGATTTACAGATTTTACTGTATGAGTATATGATTATGTAAATATTTCAGGTGGGAATCAACCCTGGTCTAATGGCTGCCTATATTGGTCACCATTATGCAGGACCTGGTAACCATTTCTGTAAGTAAATCTTATTCTATAGATATTTAGTTTTAATCTTTCATCAAGCCTTTTGTATTTGCACCCCCCCCCCCCTCAACCTCATTTTCTCTTACTCTGGGTCAAGGAGGAGGGAGACGAAGCAGGGCCAATCAGGTCCCTGCAACCCTGACTGTATTTTTATGTAAAAATGAAATATTTTTCCAATAATTTGTACAAGAAATGATAATGATGAAATATTTATAAACTTCTTTTTATTCTATCAATAATTGGCTCAGTTGAGGCAGCCTTGGAATATACTTTTCTTATTTCTAAAATATAGGGCAATGTATGTTCCAATCTGGACTAATCTCCGAGCCATTGAATTGTTATGACGACGTCCGTATGCCCCAATTTGGTATTGGCTTCACAAGTATATGTGCCAGAACCACTAGAGGCAGCGCAGATTTGACTAGGTACTATTTTCTTGCATTATTTTATGTATTAATCCGCCTGTGTTATGTTGACAGGGAAGTGTCTGTACCAGGCAGGATTTATCCCCGAGCCCATGAACTGTTATGATGACGAGAGATTGCTTGAATACGGGATAGGGTTCACAAATATTGTTGAACGAACAACACGGGGGAGCGGGGATTTAACAAGGTGGGTGGGGATTTTTTATGCCATTTTAGAGTGACAGATTTACAGTGAAATCATTTCAAAATCTTCATATTTTAAAATATATGGTTCTTTGTAATGTATTTTTTCTAAAAATTTAAACCAGAGAATTTTCAGATCTTGAAGATGAAATAACTTGTTTGGTCGGTAGACTTTTCTTATAAGCTCTGCCACCTTTAACTGCCCAAAAGAAGCTAGGATATATAAGCCTGATGTATGATGTCATAGTTGTAGGTAGCAATGTGTACAATTGATATTCTAAATTTTTCACAGATAGCATTGTATTACACTGAAAATCGCCCATATATTTTGTGTGGGAAAAAGTCAGGGTTTATTGAGTTTACTTTCAGCTAACTTTGAAATTGAAATTTTGCTTGACTAACATTTAAATATAACAGGATGTGATACTACGTAGGAAATCATATATTAAATGTTCTTTATCATCAAGCAATGACCGAGGGACATTTATGACTATGTAAAGTAAAACATCCTTGTTCTATTTCATATATTTCATTTGCAGAGTTTATTTCCTGCATTTGTTCAACTTCATTGATGGGAAGATTAGCTTTATTTATATGGCCTCCAATGTATTGTAAACAGAGAATTTTCTCTATTTGATGCTGTTATTCTAGGTACATTATGTATCAATTATCAAGTTGGGAATCCAGCAAAAGTAATTCACCTTTATTACCTCACATGGGTGAGATTTTGCTATCGCCCACATGTTATTTTTGGGATTCATGAAAAACTTATCACATAAATTATCAAGTTAGAGATTTTAGGTGACTTAAATCATCAATGTATGATACCCTCAAGAAAAATAATTCATATTAACTTACAATATTGTCATATTAGATTACTACTCTGTTTATGCTACTTACCTCATCCCATTTATTGTATTCACATGTCGTTTAATTTTAACATGTCGAGTAAAATTTTGATATGATTTTTATTTCAGGAAAGAAATCAAAGAAGGAGGAGAAATTCTTTTAGAAAAAATCCAGAAATATAAACCGAAAATAGCTGTATTTAATGGGAAAGGTAAGATTTATAGTAATATGATAAATGTGGTACAATTTATTGTATTTACTTTTGTGATTGCAGTCATAAATAAGGTTGTTGCTATAAAATTTCATTCTAATTAATGAACATATAATAGTTTGATATATTTATTGAACGTGATCGATCGAGTCAGTATTGCACGACACATATTAGATATGATGTCTTGCATTTGTTTAATTCAAACCATTTGAAGAAACTCCGAGAATTTTATTTGGAAATATTGCAACCTGCAGTTTATAAGACATCTAAATAGCTTCTATTGTTTAGTAAAAGAGGTCACTATATCTTCATATCTTTGTCAAAAGTATTTTTGCTACTTTAGATGCAATTCACATCTTGTTTATTCATGATTTGCGATATTCATGCAATTCTTTGATTTATAATCTCATGATTGATGTCTGTCAATTTATTATTCTATGTTTGCAAATATGAGCGTAGTTTCATTTATTTACATGATTTTCATTTGTCATCCTTTTATTCCAGGAATTTATGAAATATTTGTGGGTCACAAAAATTTCCATATTGGGAAGCAACCAGAGCCATTCCCAGGAACAGATACTGTAAGTTAGATTTTAATTTCTTTAAAAACACAAACACATATCAATAGTTTTCAGAGTATTTTCCTCCAAATTGTTAAAAAATCCTGATAAACTGAACTCAAAGATAAACACTGTTAGGGATGGATTTGAGTAAATTATGAACCATTCATTTGAGTGACATACTTAAGACAAACGTCCTTGTTTGTTTCAGGTTGTTTTTGCGATGCCTTCATCAAGTGCCAGATGTGCCCAACTCCCACGTGTCATTGACAAACTGCCTTTTTATCATGCACTCAAAAAACTACGTGATCATCTCCGTGGTGATTTACCTAATATGGATGAAGCGGAAGTGTGTTTCCCAGATTTAGAATTGAAAATAGTAAAGCGAGAAAAACCAGATGTGAAAAAGGAGAAGGAACCTAAAATTGAGACAGCTGATCCGCCATTATTGGCTGATATTGTAACGGGAGAGTCACAAATTGTCCGTATCAAACAGGAGATTGCGGATTATGAATATGGAATGATGCCAGGCCAAATGGGACATCAGTTCAGTGGATCTATGACCCCTCAAGGGGGCATGCCAGGGGGAATGATGCCACCCCAGCCCCAGGGAGGCATGTCTCTTCCCATTGGTATACCACAGCCCCACATGCCCCTTCGACCCCATATGTCACAAGGGAGTCAACCCCAAATGTCACAAGGTCAACCCCAAATACCACAAGGGGCTCAACCCCAAATGTCACAAGGTCAACCCCAGATGCCACAAGGGGCTCAACCTCAAATGTCACAAGGTCAACCCCAAATGCCACAAGGGGCTCAACCTCAAATGTCGCAAGGTCAACCCCAAATGTCACAAGGTCAACCCCAAATGTCCCACCAAGGTCAGCCCAGAATGCCCCAACAAGGGGGACCAGGTCATATGCCTCAAGGCAATATAGCACAGAACAGTGGTCCTCAACAGGGCAATCCTGCCCAGGAAAATATGTCCCAAGGAAATATGACCCAGGGTAATATGTCCCAGGGTAATGGGTCTCAGGGGAGTCCACACCAACAGGATGTTAATGGTGCACAAAATAATATAGCCCAGCACTCGAAACAGCCACAGGACAGTATGGGGCAACAGCAAGGCAATATCACGCAACAGCAAGGCAATATAACCCAGCAACAAGGTAGTGTATCCCAGCAACAACAACAAGGCAATATGTCTCGACAACAGAACAATATGCCAACCTCACAAGCAAACATTCCACATAATCCTCAGACAACTAGCCCATCAATGGACCAACTTTCCAACAATCAAACCCCAAGTTATACTAATCTCTCTAATATGAACTCCAGTAGCTTCAATTACCCATCTAATATGCCGACAACGATGTCCCAAGGACATTTCCAACATCCACCATCTTCCCATAATGCACAGTTTAATCCGTACAACCATAATTTCCCACAGAACTTACCCGGGGGTGGACATCAGCAACCCCCATATTATGATCCATCCGCACATCAACAAAGGAGTCCATATTTCCCAGTAGGCACCACACAGGCACCTAATGGCTTCCCAGCACCCCCTAGCCAATGGTCACATCCTGGTCACAACTTCCAAGGTCAGAACGGCTTTTATGGAGCTCCACAAACTGTTGTTAAAACTGAACCAGGCACAGGAGGTTTCACAGGAGGTTGTGCTTTCAGTCAAGCTAATCAACAAAATTAATCATGTGAGCATGAGTTAGCCAATCAAATTTGAGATTCCTTCCAGAAGCCTGTTGGTAAAATTAAGGGATTGGCCCATGACGGAACAAATACTCGTTATGTATTGGTATCATTTGGTGCATCGAAAGTGAAAAAAAAAAGATTGTACTATTATTTTGAAATAGCATGATATTTTTTATAGGAATTACGCAACAATCAAGAATGTAGATTTGTCATGAATCATCTGCAAATGCAATAAAACATTTCTTTAAAACAATAATAACATTTTTACAAGTTTGTGGCTATGACACTTATACCAAGTAGAATTGACCACATCTGGATTATTCCTTCATAAAAAATCATGTGCTCTAACGTTTAACACATATTAACATGAGGCGAACTATAAAATACATTGTGAATTATCATGAGTGTTCAGTGTCTAAATCTTCCCTTAACTGTAATGTATTTTTGTGAATCTCTATGCTATATTCATTGTGTACATACTCAGGTTGCATTGAAAAGGTGCTTTAACCAAGACATTCTCGAACTTACATATTTACAGTAATTAACTGTAAGTATGATACAAACATACAGTAATAAACTGGAGAATATGCTTATTTTTTGCTAAGTAGAAAAAAAACTAGATAGAATATCTAGTTTATTAAGGTTTAACTGTGAATTGGGGGTCATATTGGTTATGCTTATTTGCCTAATTTCTCTTCAAAGTTTGAGAAATAAATTGTCAGTTTTTACAGTTCAGTTGCTATAAGGCTACAAAAGATGGATCAGACTTGAGTCATATAATATCAGACTTGAGTCATATAATATCAGACTTGAGTCATATAATATCAGACTTGAGTCATATAATATCAGACTTGAGTCATATAATATCGGACTTGGGTCATATAATATCAGACTTGAGTCATATATCAGACTTGAGTCATATATCAGACTTGAGTCATATATAAAACCTTTGAACTGTTTCTTTTGGTTTCCAGGGCTTGCAACTGAGGTGAATTATAAATCATGATAAAAGTTACAAGTTCTCTTGTGCATGGAGACTGAAAAAATGAGTCACCAGTGCAATGTTTAACATGTTTAAAGCTGAAAACCATACAGATGTGTGACTTTCATTCTATTTGTGATATATACTGTTTGAAAGACTTCGTGAAATAAGCATGGCCAAAATGGCAATAAAAAGATTCAATGTTAATAATTGTACATACATTTGTCGTGAAGAAACCATTTACATAAAGTAATTTTATTGTAACTAGTACATTATATTGTATATCAGTGTGTTTTATCCATTTGTGAAGAGTATTTATTACAGCATTGTCTAAGGAGCAGTCATGCGCACATTTCACATTTTATTCTATATCTTTGTACATATCGTATTATACTTAATTGAATTTTATTCACTTTACTGTGAGTTAAATATTTATTATTTGAATACTAGTGTTTTGTTTTGACATGTTATATGGGTTCACTTATGCGGTTTTAATTTTGTTAGTATATTTTTAAAGATGATATTTTGACCGAAAGATGAGCTAGATTATAGGTTCCACATGAACGGTAAAAGATTTTGACTATACACTAACTCTAACTATGTACAGAACATGTGTCGGTGTACAATACAAATGTTAACCATATATTGTACTCATATTGTACACCATGTATTGTATTGCACATATTGTGTGTCACGAATTGTACATGTATTTTGTATATCAAACATTGTACACCATGTATTGTACTCTGTTTATTGTACAACACATTGTGTGTCAAGCCATACTTAATTTACAAATCGGCAGGAAAATAAGAAAAGCTAGAATGGTCAAACCGGACAAGATTCGTAAGACGCCAGATTTTTACATGTTAATGTCAAACTCATAGAATTGAGTGGAAATTCAAACTCAAATGAAGTCTAGGGGGATCGTTCTAACTTTGGAAACACCATAATGACCTTTGACCTCAAATGGTACAAAATATATCTGACAGAAAAAGCCTAAAACTCAGAATCCTCTGAGCAATCTGTAAATAAAACTTGAGCCAAAAAATGTAAAATATTTTAAATCTCGAGTCTTCTAATGAGCCTATTTCTATCATGTTTCAAGCACAGGTCTCATCATGCTCTTTTTTCATTTTTAATTGGTTCCTAAAACTGCTTCAATTTTTGGGTTGAAATAGCCTAGGTCTACTTTAAAGGACAGTTTGAATGAAAAATGTTTTGTTCTAATAGTGTAGTGCCATTGCCTGTTGGTTGTAGTAAAACAGCAATAATATTCTAAGTAATAGAGTAGTATTCTATTAAAGTACTCTACTCAGAAAGTGTATTGAAGTCAATAGAAGTAGTATTCTATTATAGTACTCTACACAGAAAGTGTATTGTCATCAATAGAAAGTATTATGAAAATTGTATATAAATCTATTGTTTGTACATGTACATTGCATGTAAAAATATTTTCAATATTCATGCAAAACCATGACATCAAAATGTAGTTTTAATGAGAAAAATATGTTTTTGAATTGAACAGAATTGTGCAGAAACATAACAGCAATATGTGTGATTTCCTAAACATATTGTAGATTTTTGTTAACATGAAATTATATGGTTATAATTTGCTAGTATAAATTGATGTTTTTTGTCAATGTTTTTTCAAAATATTGCCACCCGTCCCTTCTGCGGAAATCTCTTGTACTGAATATCTTGTTGAAAAACAGAAGAAAATTTGTTTTTGTGAACGAGACAATTTTATACCGCACTCCAAGAAAATGTATATTGTTACAAGATTTAATCAAACTGTCAAATAACATTATTAAAGAATAGCGCAGGTATAAATTAATTCCATAATCATTCAAAGCTTTGTTTATGACAAGAAGAAGAATGCAGTTTTTATCTAAAATGTAATTTGAAGTTATTTCATAATGAGTGAAATATTGTTATTAAGATCAGTTGTTTGCATGGTTTGCGCCTATATAGCGCTTGGGTGTTTTTTTTGTATGGTATTCAATTTTGCCAATTTGAAGTTGGAATTCAACACTGCCAAGTTATATACAATTGTTTGTATTGTTGAGAATTCATAGGTTAAATCTTTGGTGTTTGTTTTTTCCAAGACATTCATTATATTTCTTTATAAAATTATCTTATTGACTCACCAGTGAATTCCAACTAAATACTGTTATTTTCAATATGAAGCGAATACATCGTGTTTGAAGCAAACACTCAGGTTTGATTTATGAATCTAAAATATCAATCAATCTAACTAATGCTTGCTATGACATCACTCATTCCTATGACATCACTTGTTTGCTATGATATCACCCATTTGGGGATCCCTATTCAGTTTTTGATATTTTTCTATAAATAAGGTAATTAATTTTCCATTTCGCACTTCTTTTTAGAATCCCTATTTTACATTTTCTCAAGGTTACCTCATCATTAATTTCATATTTTGTGATATTAGGAATTTATTTTATGTGTTAGATTGGAATGTGTTATAAAATTAGAATACATATTGAATTGTATATTATGAATATTGAATAAGATATGTGAAGACATAAAAATGTAAAAAATGAGAAATGTGATGCCAGTTTATATAATCTGTCCACCGATCTCAGAAATATATGAAAAAAATAAAAAATATATAATTATATCAGAACTTGGAGTTGGTGTTCAGTTTTGTAGTTGAGTTTGCTACACTGCTTGGTAAGCCCCAAACAACCATGTTTGTCACAAAGCCCAAGTAAAAGTTACAATCCAGGAACTTCCTAACGAAACTATGCATAAAATGCTTTGTAATTCTTGTGGATTGCACATCACCAATCCCAGCAAGTAGACAGGGTACTTTGAGCATGTGGAATAGTGAATAGCAAGTCACATTCTTTATAAAGCATAATTCAGGGCATGGATTAGCTATTGATTCTCCTACCTGGCTCAGAAAGTCAGCTAGGATGCCATGTATGTTAATATTCAAAAAAATATTTGAAAATCCTTTGATTTTGGGAAAGTATGCCAGTGTATGCACGTCAGGTTTCCTGCTTTTTACAATAATAAACAAAACAATTTGTTTGATACTTTTGATATAGTTTTGAATTATTAATAAAAAGTAGGAAACAACATGGACAGAGAATACAACTCCAAACACTCTTGACTCTTATATTATCTATATTTACATTCATTAAGTATGATAAGTAACAATACATTGCTTCCACTGAGCAAAACACACAAAGTAGAATAAATGTTCATCGATTAAGTGTGCAATACAAAAAAAACAATGTAAAATGTATTGTCAGGAAAACTGAATGAAAGGTTCTGTATTTATCAGGATCTGTATCACATCAAGTTGGAGAATCAAAACGATGACACAGCCACGGATTGCGACTCGCGTAAAAGTTCAACACATTTCAGCGCCAAAATGGAAGGCCATCCTGCAATGCCTAAGTGACTAAGAGATTACTCTTTATCCATTGTTGTTATGTTGATAATAAAAAACAATTCTCCAGATTAAGCTGAAACAATAGAAAAATTTTGATTTTACCTGTAAAACCTGTACATTTAATTCAACTTTACAATAATACTTTTGAAAAGATTTTCAACGTTTCTGAATATCTATAGCCTGATTGAAGCTCCCAAGTATGAGTTGTGAGAATGGTGTGGTAATATCATGTGTTTATTAGGAAAAAAGTAGATTCAATAAAGCAACACTGACACGATGTCCAACCCAAACTTTCTTACATGCATGACGGAGCGTTTCATTCACGTGGAAACGCTGCGGAGCGAAAAAATGGCGGCTAGTGAAGATCCCAATATGACCATAAGTATGTTTTCACATATCATATGTTATGGTGACATATTCTGTACCATTCGATGAACTATACCCTGAGCAAAGATCTTATTTATTCAACTTTTGGTGGTAAACTGTTATTTGCTTGATCAAATCTCCGTAGTGAAGATCATGATGGAATGAATCTGAAGTTGACGAATTGACCACAAATTACGATTCAAACTAGATATTTATATGAAAACGTCAATCTTTCTGTCAAGAAGGCAGTAGATCACATACACGTGCAACAAGCCGACTTAAGCCTACATTAGAGGATGTTATGCCTACATGTGTGGTAAAATATAAAACTATTGACAAAAAAACAAAACGCTTTTATGTGAATAAATCTTTATTCTTTTAATGCCAAGGGATACAATAGATCTTTTCTTCCTCTTCCTGAAAAGGAAAGTTAAGATAATCCTAAACATCTAGACTAGTACCGCAGCGTTTCCAGTACCGCAGCGATGTACCTTAACAGCTACATATAACAACACATTAAGAAAAGTTTCTAATCGCAACCGATTATACTTCACCAAAATAAAAGGATTTTCAAATAGTTTCATATGCTCAAAGTTACAGAAATTTTTCTAAAACTAATGTTTGTAATTAGAATATTTAAAAAGGACGGGTGTAAATAAACCCCTCTTTTAGCCCCCTGTACAACACAAGCATATATGGACATTGAATTGAAGAGGAAGTATGACTTATTACTTAAAATGTGATTTGAGAGTTTTGACATTTGACCTTGACACTTGGGTCGTTTAAAAGTTAACTTTGAGAGATGATATTCTTGTACAAATGTTCCTACTTTCTAATTTAGTAGAATCTCACGGGCAAATACGTTAAAATCATAAGATTAAATGCCCATATGGGCATTTTCTATGGGCACTGAATTTTCTTGCTTCAAAAATGAATGTTCTTCGACTTGTTCCCTTTTAAGGCTCTTCCAGCATTCTAAGCATGTTTTAAGAGTTAGAAGATGAATACTTTTTTAAAAATGCCCATAGGCAATAATGAGAAAATGATTGCAATTAAATAAACATTAGGGCACTTCAATGAGAATGGATTTACTTATGTCAGTTGTTTCTTGTCAGTTTTCTAAACATGTTTGCCATATTCTACTGCAAACTTTTCTAAGAATTTCTGATGAAATCAATAAAATAGCGAAAAATAGCGTCTTGCATCGATCGTTATATTTAATTCCGTCATAATTACATCTAGACCTGCTTGAAAATCAAGGATTGCGAGTCTCATACTGCACCGTTTTTCTTCAAACTTATACCATTAAAAGCAAAACAAAATTGCCTTTCTGTCGCTGCATTACTTTATTGTAAAGAGTCCCTCGTTCTAGCAGCGTTTTGGTCCCCAGCTGTTAGAAGGCCTTCTTACAGCTGAGGACCAAAATGCCGTTGGAAGTAGGGACTCTGTTTAAAAGAATAATGTATCATCAGAAAGGGAACAAGTTTGAAGAAAAAAGGTGCAGTATGAGACTCGTAATCCTTGATTTTCAAACATCCGGTAGGTCAAAAATTCAAATTAACGGTCGACGTTAGGACCGTGTGATACTGCATTAGTGAACATACAATGTCTGCTAATCACTGCAAACTTTCTTTGGAGAAACATAGTTGATTTAAAAACCAGAAATGGGCCTTGAATTTTCAAAGTTTTGGGCAATATTTTTCGCCCCCATGTTATCTTCTGGATCCGCCAGTGCCAAGGGTATGGAAAAGTGTATACGGGATTTCACACTATCTGTAAATTGTTTAAACATTATCCTTTAAGTGATATCTCCCTATCAGATCTTTGTTTCTTACTGTTGAAAATTACTTTAAGGATTTTCCAAGTATATTCTACCATTTCAAGGAGACTAAAAAAGGTAAAGCCAATGTAAAATATAAAAGTTCCTGAAATTGAAGTAAATAAACTGATGTCATTGATGAGAGGAATTTCTTTTCGAACAATCTTTGAATTTGATGTTAGAGAAATGTCCAACTTCACCATATTATTTCGAAGTGTGTTTAGCTGTTCAAGTTTCTTTCCCTTTTCGAATAATGTATACTTCCCCAATGTGAGTAACTCTTCATATTCTTCATAAAAATGCTGGTACTTTGATTTCTGAATGTATTTCTTGTAGATATCCAGTTGAGAGCCTTCGTTAGGCCAGATTGATTGACTTGCGGTATATTTATATGATGTTCCTCTGCATGGTTCTTTACACTCAGAAAGACACTGAAACTCAATATTCTCCTCTAATAATTCAAATAAACAATCAGTCTCGTTGATAATCCTCGGTACATTATTTCGTCCATTCAGGCAAATTGGTTGACCTCTGAACAATGGATATTCACGCGACACACATTTACACCGTTCAAGAATTAAAGTCTGGACACAGTCATAAACACAAGATATCATAGTATACGAATAATTCTTCGAATCTGACCCCACAACAGTGTACTTCGTATCTGATCCATCCATACAGGTGCCATACGGGGGTGGTAGCTTGATCACATCTTCTGTTTCGATTTGTATTTCAACAGCATGCCCAGGTGAGATTTTCAATGGGGTATGATAAGGTGGCATGGTATTATGTTCATGAATGTAAACTGCGATACCACGTTCAGTAGGCATTCCATCGATCAAATCTAAAAGGCTGACATTCAAGTTGTAATGATTCAGGTTAATCGTAAGAGAGATTCCAGATGTGATATATCTAAGAGCGGCATCATTTTGGAGCTGTATTGTATAACAATTTAAATATGTTAAATCAGTAAATAATACAAACATGTTCTCTGGGCATGTATCATTAAAACCTGATATCATATTTATCTTTTTGCAGTCTACAATAAAATCATGAATTTTGTGTCCAGCTTCATAACGTTCAGCTTCAGTCATAAAAGATAAATATGCCTCAAAATAATTGAAGAAGTCCACGGGCAACCTATATTTGGTTACAAGGTCAAAAACTATTGATCTATACTCCAAAGCTGTTTTTGGAGTTTCATTCATATGAGCGAAACCAAATAGATTGCAAACAGTGACATCTGGAAATGTCTTTATTATTTCTAACTCTGATACAATAGTCGTTTTTGTGACTGTTGAATATGAAAAATACACGTCAATATGATCATAAAGAGTATGGCACATAGCTCCAGTGGCGAGTAAAAACGCCAATGTCCAATAGATCTTACCAAACATGTATTTTGATTTTACGATTCGTGGTAAACCTCGAATGGATGTTGTTTCACAAAATTGTTTTAGAACATCAATCACTCTCTGAGTACATGTGTTTGCTTTTTCATTTGCATCTGTAACATCATCATTTTCATGTCTAATTTGGGATGATTTCCGCAGAATCATTTTGATGATTTTATATGCACAAGTTTCAAAACTTTTTATTCAATAATTGCATCAAAAATATAAAATTGACGAATCTGTAAGAATATGCAAGAATCCATTGTGTTATAGCTACATATGAAAATACTGTCAGTATTTTCCGTTGGCTTATCTTTCTTCTCTTTCTGTTCTGGAATGTTTTGTGTTTTGGAATGAATCACTGGATGTGTTTCCCATGGCCGATTGCTATATCACAATGTTTATACAAATGCGAATGTCACACGATAATATTCTTTCTCAAACTTCACTTTTAACATATTTTTTAAAATGTTTCCTCTCCAAATTTTATCATGTTACTTGCTCGAACTTTTCCTTTACAAATACCAGATTCCCTTTTAACAATTTGAATATAAATATAGATCCTGGTTTCCATGTATGCCTGATGTCTCAATGGAATTGCATCAATTATCCCGATTGCTTCCTATCTCCATGGATACATTGATTTAACTCAATTTAAAATGGCAATGTAATTGAAATAGGTTTAAATGGTACATTAGGCCACACACTTGAAACAGAAAATTACCTAATACATATAGCAGATATTTATTGACAATAGTTTTATATAATCATTCTAATGTACGGCTGAAAGCAGACTCCATTAGTATTCTATTATGTACTAAATAATCAGAGGGGGTAGTCGTACTCATTGCCATTGACCTATATCTCTCCCCGGGTATCTCTCCAGAGGATTGAGGTCCATGGCAGTGCATCGATTACGCCTTTCAAGTAAAATGTAATATAATAATAATTTTGAAGTGAAAAAATGGCGGACGTTTTGATTTTGAATTTTGTAATCACGACATGACTATGTTATAATAAGATCACGGCCATAACGCCATGTATGGTAAGTATATCGATGTTGCATTCTGGGAGCCAATCCTCCTTGTGAATTTCCATAACTGCAATTTACAGAGTTCCTTTGGTCACGTAACCGCACTGATAAACAAACTTATCAACCAATCCGAAAACATATGAATTTCCCCGCTTTTATACAAGTTTCAGATAAATTGATCTCGACGAAAATAATTCGACAGGTCAGCACTAGAATGAGGAAAAAATCATCCTAGGTCAGGACAATCTCAAAATTAGCACATAAAGCATTGGATTCTGGGCTTCGTCGTTGGAAAGTTGATAGGCGAATATGTGGTACGACACAAAATGCAAAAAGGTCAAGGGTACTTGATTGTGTTTTCCCGATCACAACATTCCTCGTTAATAGAATGACCTATATTTTGAAATATAAAGTTCAGAATCACCTAATTTTTGGATTTGATCATTAAACACAGTCCCTTCTTTCATATCCTGTACAATTTATTATAAATATTTTGGGGGCTAATGCAGGGTCATAAGGACACTCATCCTTTTCACAATTGAAATTTAGGCTGTATTTTTGTATGATCGCGGTGCAAGTGAATTGCTTAATATTTTAATACCTTGGGAGTTTCCTCTCTAGCTATCACTAAAAAGGACAATAAGTACTACAGTGTAAGTTACATGTGTTTTAAAAAAAACAGCTCATCAAATCGCACTTACACTTGATTCCTAGATCATTGTTTACAATAGGCTACTTTGAGATAAACATTATTCTTTAAGTGATGTCACCTTATCAGATCTTTGTTTCTTTACATTGAACAATACTTTAAGGATTTTCCAAGCATATTCTGCCATTTCAAGTAGACTGAAAAAGGTGAAGCCAATGTAAAATATAAAAGTTCCTGAAATTGATGATAGAAAACTTATGTCATTAATGAGAGGAATTTCTTGTCGAATAATCTTTGAAGTTGATGCTAGAGAAATGTCCAACTTCACCATATTATTTTTTAGTGTGTTTAGCTGTTCAAGCTTCTTTCCTTTTTCGAATAATGTATACTTCCCCCGTGTGAGTAAATCTTCATATTCTTCGTAAAAATGCTGGTATTTTGATTTCTGAATGTACTTCTTGTAGATATCCAATTGAGAGGCTTCATTAGGCCAGATTGATTGACTTGTGGTATATTTATATGATGTTCCTCTGCATGGTTCTTTACACTCAGAAAGACACTGAAACTCAGAATTCTTCCCCAATAATTCGAATAAACAATCAGTCTCATTGATAATCCTCGGTACCCTATTTTGTGCATTCAGGCAAATTGGTTGACCTCTGAACAATGGATATTCTTGCGACACACATTTACAATGTTCAAGAATTAAAGTCTGGACACAGTCATGAACACAAGATAACATAGTATACGAATAATTCTTCAGTTCTGACCCAGCAACAGTGTACTTTGTATCTGATCCATCCATACAGGTGCCATATGGGGGTGGTAGTTTTATCGCATCTTCTATTTCGATTTCTAGATTAACAGCATGCCCGGGTGAGATTTTCAATGGGTTTTGATAAGGTGGCATGGTATTATGTTCATGAATGTAAACTGCGATACCTCGTTCAGTAGGCATTCCATCGATCAAATCAAAAAGGCTGACATTCAAGTTGTAATGATTTAAGTTAAGCGTAAGAGAGATTCCAGTTGTGATATGTTTAAGAGCAGCATCATTTTGGAGCTGTATTGTATAACAGTTTAAATATGTTAAATCAGTATATAATACGTGCATGTTCTCTGGGCATGTATCATTAAAACCTGAAATCATATTTATCTTTTTGCAGTCTACGATAAAATCATGAAATTTGTGTCCAGCTTCATAACGTTCAGCTTCAGTCAAAAAAGATGCATATGCCTTAAAAGAATTGTAGAAGTCCTTGGGTAACCCATATTTGGTTATAAGCCTCGTGATTCTTGGTTTATACCTCTTCGCTGTTCTTGGAGTTTTATTCACATGAGCGAGACCAAACAAATTGCAAACAGTGACGTCAGGAAATGTCTTTATTATTTCTAATTTTGATTCAATAGTCGTTTTTGTGACTGTTGTATATTTTAAATATATGTCAATATGGTCATAGAGATTTAGGCACATAACTCCAGTGGCGAGTAAAAACGCCAATGTCCAATAGATCTTACCAAACGCATATTTTGATTTTATGATTCGTGGTAAACCCCGAATGGATGTAGTTTCACAAAATTGTTTTAGAACATCAATCACTCTCTGAGTACATGTGTTTGCTTTTTCATTTGCATCTGTAACATCATCATTTCTATGTCCAATCTGGGTTGATTTCCACATACTCATTTTCAAATTTTTTGATGATTATATACAGCTTTCAAATTTTTTATCCACTTTTTTAATCTTCTATTCAACACTTGCATCGAAACTTTTGAATTGATGAATGTGCAAGAATATGCAAGAATGCAGTGTCTTATAAATAGAAATGTTCATATTGTCAACATTTCTCTTTGGCTTCTTTCCTTTCTTTCTGTTCTGGAATGTTTTCTGTCATATTATCATACTCTCAGACATTTTGAACTTTTGACATATTTTCCAAATCATTTCCTCTCCACTTTTGTGCAGCGCTTATTACATTATCATAATATCTTTTATGGTGTATAAATCAACTGTATTGTAATTATTAAATGTTTGTTCCTCCGATTGATTTTCGGGAATAAAAGAAACAATAAACAATATCTCATTTCTTCTTCACGATGACCTTTCGGATTGTCTTTTTACAATTCGAATATAATCATAGAATCCTGATTTCCTTGTATATATATAGCTGATGTCTTAATGGAATTGCATAAATTAAGCACCTCATTTCTCTTCCCCTGGATGAATTGATTAAACTCCCTTAAGTCACAAATGAAATGTGTTTAGGGCTCTAATGATGTATAATGCTGAATAATCGAATAAGAAAATCACCTAATACATTTAACAAATATTTGTTGTCAGCGATGTTATATAATTATTCTAATGTACGGCTGAAAGCATGGCCAATTAGAATTCCATTAGTTTTTACTTAAAGCCCCCAAGCAAAGTTTAAAAAGATTGAACAAAGGACATACTATTTCAATAATAAAATGTCATATCTAATGTACTACTTAAATGGATCTTAAAGTGCCCGATAAACAATAAAATGCGCATGCGTCCAGGTGTTGATAAACTATAAATAGCGAAAATCCAGGGTTTGTCACCACAAGGTAAGCCAGGACGAGTTGAGAGAACAGCTAGTGTTGATATTGAATTTACATGTAGCCAGATAAGTTTCCTTATTGAAATTACATATGGTTATTAGCAATACTTTGTAGGTGCTAAATAATAAAATATTTAGAGTATATATGAGAGAAATTGGTCATTTCGAACCTGTTGAAAAGTTTGTGGCTCTCGGCTACACCGGGGAATTTACTTCCATGAGTACACACATAAATATGGGGTTCCCCAAGAGGAACGCGACAAGGTGACCTGGCATCAAATGTGCGACTAAATGCTACTATCGAGAAGATAAAATAACGAATACGACAATAAGTTATTGCATGTGACAATTCCGAGCCTTCATCTCACTGAAGTATTTTGAAGTAAAAATAGGATTTTTGTTTTGATACATGGATTCAGATGAACGTAACTTTACTCTGACAACTAATCAAAACTGAACAAAATTGATTGTACGTAACAGACAATTTATTGTTTTACAATGTTTTGATTGGCTAAACGAATGAAACCAACAAATTATGACATGTAAAATGACAATTTTGAAATGTAAAATTTAAAAGTGACAAACACAACCTCCCTATCCACTCTTTGGGAGCCCTAGTAAATTAGTAATATGTACATGCAGCAGTGGTAGTGTACAGCTTATTATCACACTACGCTTTGTATTCTAAAGCCTGTTGTTTGTAATAACACTGTTCACTCAACGTATGTTTTGTGTGTGGGCAGTCAACGATAATCATTGTTTTATCCCGGTTATATGACCTCGGCAATTATAACAGAACCGTACTAAACGAAAAAACGCAAACAAGAGAAAGCTTTCACACACATATAAAAAATGAACTAGTCTAATCCGCCAGTATAAACTCTGTGCTATACGTAGCCGGGTCAGGCGCACACTTTAACTGACTCAAAAATTCTCACTCAGTTTATCAAAATAAAGATGAGCTGAAAAGATAATAATAAGCGACGGGTCACACCAATGCATGACATTCATCCTCATACATTATGGCTTTTGTCAAAGGATTAGACAATTGGTTGATAAATAATTGAGAAATGAACTTATCCATGCATGAAAGTGGTTCAGAGAAAATGCATTTTAAAATATGAGTTCTTATAGAAAACAATGGTACAGTAATATTTAAAACAGAACTCTTTCAACCTAGTTAGAAGATTGACTTAGAAATAAAGTGAATAAAAAAAGATGACATCACTTAAGTTGCAAAATTCTTTTAAAGTGTGCGCCTGACCCGGCTACGTATAGCACAGAGTTTATACTGGCGGATTAGACTAGTTCATTTTTTATATGTGTGTGAAAGCTTTCTCTTGTTTGCGTTTTTTCGTTTAGTACGGTTCTGTTATAATTGCCGAGGTCATATAACCGGGATAAAACAATGATTATCGTTGACTGCCCACACACAAAACATACGTTGAGTGAACAGTGTTATTACAAACAACAGGCTTTAGAATACAAAGCGTAGTGTGATAATAAGCTGTACACTACCACTGCTGCATGTACATATTACTAATTTACTAGGGCTCCCAAAGAGTGGATAGGGAGGTTGTGTTTGTCACTTTTAAATTTTACATTTCAAAATTGTCATTTTACATGTCATAATTTGTTGGTTTCATTCGTTTAGCCAATCAAAACATTGTAAAACAATAAATTGTCTGTTACGTACAATCAATTTTGTTCAGTTTTGATTAGTTGTCAGAGTAAAGTTACGTTCATCTGAATCCATGTATCAAAACAAAAATCCTATTTTTACTTCAAAATACTTCAGTGAGATGAAGGCTCGGAATTGTCACATGCAATAACTTATTGTCGTATTCGTTATTTTATCTTCTCGATAGAAGCATTTAGTCGCACATTTGATGCCAGGTCACCTTGTCGCGTTCCTCTTGGGGAACCCCATATTTATGTGTGTACTCATGGAAGTAAATTCCCCGGTGTAGCCGAGAGCCACAAACTTTTCAACAGGTTCGAAATGACCAATTTCTCTCATATATACTCTAAATATTTTATTATTTAGCACCTACAAAGTATTGCTAATAACCATATGTAATTTCAATAAGGAAACTTATCTGGCTACATGTAAATTCAATATCAACACTAGCTGTTCTCTCAACTCGTCCTGGCTTACCTTGTGGTGACAAACCCTGGATTTTCGCTATTTATAGTTTATCAACACCTGGACGCATGCGCATTTTATTGTTTATCGGGCACTTTAATGGTGACAATATTTTTTTTATGAAGCGGGGGAGTCGAAACATATCTAATAGAAATCAGAGTAATCATTTGAAGATCATTTAGTAGAAGCATTCCAAATCGGAAAATTTGAAAATCTTTAAGCGCCAATATCAGGAACACACTTCGAGTGATTTTATCGATCAATTGTCCGATATGTGCTCAAATATGGTAGGCCTATGTATATTTGTGTTAATTGTTAAATTAAATAGTAGGTAGGGTGGAGAATATGTCATATTCTTTAATCCCATCCCTGAAGCAATATTTTGTCATTTCTGTTGTCCAGAATTCTTAAATAATTGAAATACACGACTTCCACTCCATAACATTGTATTAAATTTATAGAAAAGGTAAATTTGATATAAATGTAATCCACTCACTGAAGTATCAGTATAGTCCCAAACTTATCATCACTTAATTTTAAAAACGTCACTAATAAAAAGGAGTGGTATGATAATTAGAATAATTCCCTAAACAGTTTTATTTTGATGAAGGGAGAAAAGAAACGACATCAACAATATTTGCCCAGGATATTAAATAAGAAAAATAATTGCACTTGAAGATAGTTGAAAGTGAAACCACACCAATTCATACAAATTCATTAAGAGTCCTTATTGCTGGTAGTAGTATAAGAGAGATTTCGCAACTCACTTATAGCATGTTTATTATTCCGTTATAATTCATGAAGCGTTTGATTACGTCATCATTTATTGCGCAACTCTATACGTTCATATAATTGTGATATTCTGACATATACGAGATGATATGGCGATTTATGAGAATATCGCACTTAGGGATTAGTAAAATATGCAATTTAAGATATACTCTTCAATCTCTTAACGGCAGAATAATGAATGAATATTTAGAAACTGAGTGTACCGCATAGAACTTAATAAATAAATAAATGACGAGATGTTTTCGCAAACTAACAACATTACATACAGTTTTTATGATATGAAATAATTATCCATTGAATACAGCACATCATCGGAAAGTTTACGTCGTTCTCTTATATCTTCTTCATACCGGAATTGAATCAAATGTTCGAGGAAAAATAAATGTAACGCATTTATGCCAGAATGTTGTGGATATGCCGACTAGCATTACATACGTTTTTTGTTGTTTTGGAATAATTAGCCATATACAAGTATACGTACAGCACACCATTAGTCTTTTCTTAATTTCCCTTCTAGCAGAAGTGAATCAAACGTTTCAGGATTCAGAAATGAAATCTAATGCATTGAACATTTAAGGGAGAATCAGATCTAGCGAGTAAGCTAAAAAAATATTGTTACAATTTTAGAATATTTTTGGCTCATCATTCCTTGTCATATAAAAGTACCCAAAGTGCCTGCTTTCAGGCTTTATCTCAGGAATATTAAGTTAATCAGACTAAGCACTCTTAAAAATTATTACTTGGATTTCCTTATATTGAGAAATTGTACTACTCATTTTAAGTCCAAAATTACTTAAATAATCTTGAACTACTGAATAATTTTTAAGTAATTCATTTATGGTGAATTTACTAATGCAAGGAGAGAAATTGAAATACTTACTGTAGTAATTGTAATTACTCATTTACATAATTAAGCAATTAAAAAACTCAAAATGACAATATAAGGTAAACCTAAGTAAAATGAAGTAAAACTAAGTATTTAACTTTAAGTAATTTTTATACTTGGGAAATACTCAAGTAATTCATTTTTAAGAGTGAGTGATATTAAAGGGGCAATGGACCCATTTAAAGATCGGACTGGATGGCCTGTGAACGTGAATGAGGTCCTGTAATTAATTAAGGTTAACTATATTTTAGAAACAATGGTTATCTGTGAGAGAATTTAAACAAGAAAACACTTTTCTATCTTATACTTTATAATAATATTTTTTATTTATTTTCAAATTAATTTAAAGTAAGATAGAATGGATATTTTCAACATAGTACAGAACTTTACATAAACTACATTTCAATTGCTTCTAGAAATGTCTTTTAAATAATACAGTATAATAATTATAATATGGTAGTATGGCAACCAAATGGCCTTTAATTGATAATATTATATTAATAATATGGTAATATAATAGTGAAAAACTATTTGCATACATTTATATGTTAATAATTGAAACTACATTTTTAATTTGACATTTTCAAACAAGACACATACTAATTGTACCAGTCATGGATGGAGGGACTAACATTGGACGGAAACATACAATACATTAAAATAATAAAATGCGATATGCAATAGAGACTGCACAAGGATATTTGGGGTATGGCTATTCTAATCGACACCCCTTTAAAAGATGAATGAAAAAGTCTCATTTCTTTTCCATATGTCTGTAGAATTTATATAAAAACATTTGCTTAATTTTTTGTTAATTCACTCATTTCTAGTTCTATTACACATTTCAAAATACAACCCTGTGTTACTTAATTACTATGGTGATATTCAATTTCATTCAATTCAAACAACCCAAGCAAGCATGCTTTTTTCTATCCTCTGACAAAACTCACCCGGTTCAAGTGCAATCTAACGCATTACCCCAGAATCAAATATGAGAAACAGGGGCATGATGTCACCAAATCAACATATTTCTCAATCTGAATCAATTTTTAAGCCTGCACGTGTGACTTGTCAAGTAATACTATTGATAATGATAATGAATATCTACCATATTGTTTCCAATTCATGCTCTTAGAAGTTCATAAAGTTTAACAGATTGAGGCAATTGCATATACAACAATAAAGTAGTAATATAGCTTGTTCTATTATTTACTTTGAAGTGGGTCTTATGATTTAAGCAGTTGAATGGCTAATATACACTTACTTATATTTTGAGCAATATTAATTGCAAAATGACCCTGTGTATAATGAATCATATAGATTTACATTTTTCAGTCAATAGCTCATCAAAAGAAATTATTCATTTGTGATTTAAAATATCACTTTTTGTTTGAATTCATTTAATTTAATACTTAACTTGAGATTCATATTTATTATTTACACTAGCCAAGTAGAATCTGGTGCATTATTTGTTATGTACAGTTCAACTGGCCAACATACACATTGAACAATTCCATTTTTTGGCTCTATTCCTTTAAATTATCTGTTTTTCATGGTTTGATTCCTGCAACATATCAATAATTCATATGCTAATATATCAATCTTCTCCATATCTAATTATATTATTGTTCACTGTCCCTTAAGGAATAAAACCGAAAACATTAAATGATCAAGTTTTCTTGACAAACCATACAATAGCATAGCACCAATATTCAAATTCTAAATACAACTAAAATCTCAGAATTATTATACAAGTACTTATAAAAGTAAATTAATTGAAACACATTTATCCTCTATATATCTTAAATGATATGTAGTTCAGTATATACAGGGTGTCAAATAATATGTTCTCCCCTCCTTAGCTCTTACATCCACATAATGTTGGATAACTTTTTTCTCTACAGGATATCTGAATTGTTCTTTACTACATCATAACCAGCCTTCACAAAGCAACTCCACAGAAGTTTCATATGACTAGCTCAACTAGATGCACTTTTATGCACAAAAGTTCATTCTCTTGAAATTAAGGGAAAGAACATATTTATTTTACACCCTGTATATATCTTTTTACACAATGAGATAGTAAGAGGCAATAACAGTTACAGCGGTACTAAGGAGTACAGAGTGGAATAACTTTGACATCTGACACATTGAATAAGATGTCAGTTTACTAAGCCATGGGTTAAAGTTGGGTAGTAGTGTAGTGTAGTTGTAGTGCAGTAGGATAATACAATATACTTGGCCTACCTAAATTCAGTTCAGTTAAATCCTATTAAAATCAGTCAATGGTACATTCCATAAAAAATAATGTATGAGTAGAACATGGTCTGAACTATTATGAGTTCAATAAATTTGATTATGATGTTTAAATTGGCAATTTTTTTTCTTCTTCACCACCCAAAAAGAACGTTTCCATGCCTTCTCGAGTGTTGCTATCTAAGAGCTAAAATACGATACAATCAATAAAACAAAATTGATTTCATTTTTGTAACATTCAACATTGAATGAGGTGGTATGGTATATAATGTTGTCTACCTACAGTGTAAAACTTTAAATGTTTGCATAACTTTAAATAATAATATTGTTTAAACCATCATACTTCAAGCCAGTTGATGGATTTCTGTACTGAACATTGAACATATATACTGCTGCAAACTATCACATTTGCATAGAGTGTCTATAAACGAGTAACTGATTTAAACGAAATAGTTGCGCTTCAAAGTTGACATGTAGTCCATGGAGGATTTGTCTTGAGATTTGTTGAGGATACTATCGTCTACACTGCGGGCGATGGTACTTAGATTTAAGTGAGGACCTGAAATGGCATAAAAGTCACTAAACAATCATACATAAAGAAATTATAAGGAATTCTTTCAAAACTATTCTTAGCCAATTGGCAAACATAGTTCGGGTTCAACCAAAAAGAAAGACATGCAAAATTATTTCAAATTTATATCCATCTGAGAGTACCTGGATTGAAAGCTTATTAAATTCTCTGTGGCTTGTGTTTAGTTAGAGTTCCTTTTCTTAGCACGCATGTTTATCACAAAATAGTAATATAAAAAGTATAAATCATGGAACAGATAATCAAAATTTCAAGAAACAAAAATCAAGTTTACTCTGTTGAATGGTTATTAGATGTCTGTACTCATAGAACACCATACCTCTTTCTAAATGCTTTGCGATACTTTTATCCAGCTCAGTCTTTATTTTGTATGAGAGTGAGTCATTAAGACCGTGACTAGGTTTCTTGGAAGCGAGTGGAGAGTCGGCCCAAGCTGCCTGGGGACTAGTAGCGCCACCTGTGTTAGCTAAAATGCGTAACTTTTGACGTTCCAACCTAAAACATTTACAGAATCAAGGAGTAAATTTTTGTGAGCTTACATAATGAGGCAATATAAATACACAATTCTTTTGAGCAGAACTTCTCATGATACTATCATACATGTACTTTGTAGGTTCTTCATATTAGAAGATAGGCCCAGAGACTTAACCTTGGATGAAGAGGCCCTGTCATGCTTTTTGAAATATACTTTTCTTAAACATTTTGGTTACTACAATAAAAAATACTTCTAAACTCTACTAACATGAGTTCTGCTTTAGACATTGCAGCAACATCATTTGCTGACTGTAATCTGTCGCTTAACTTTTCTCGGAATTTGATTTCATTGTCGAACTGGTCCTTCATGCGTGACATTTCTAGATCTTTCACTTCCTGTTGCGTCACAACTGAGTCATAATTCTGTCGCATTCTAGCCAGCTCTTCCTAAAAAATCATATCAAAATATTCATTTCAAATAAATAAATAAATCCTAAATTTCATAATATGTAATCAAACGAAATGCCCAATTTAATTTATTTGATCAATAAAAGTAACATTTCTAGATACTGTTGCGTCAAAACAGTGTTGTAATTATGCAACATTCTAGAAAGCTTGTTCTATAACTAAACCTCATTGGCGCCAATTTTTCTTTTAAGGAACAGACATGATAAACGGCAAGTACTAATTTTACATAATCATTAAAACCTCAAACCTTTAACATGCAAGTTAGAGTTCTAATCAAATTGCAATAGGTAAATATGTACCATCAAAACTTTTCATGATTGTTCAGAATCTAATTTTACAGTATAATTAAAACCTGAAACCTTTAACATCCACGTAAGAGTGCTAATCAAAATACTGCAGGTAAAATACGTACCATTAATTCATTTCTTGATTTTTCAAATGATTCCTTAAGTTGAGATTTCTCATTACTGTGCATTGAGTAAATGTTCTCTTGCTTGGAGGCCTGCTCATCCAGCAAGTGATTCACCTACAAAAAAAAAACAATTTAATTATTAATAATCATCATGTGAAATATACTTGAAGGAGATAATGTTGGAGGGGACTGTATGTCTTTAGGGCTCTATAATATTTCATGTAGTAGATGATCCATTGAAAACCAAAATATACAAATCTTGTCGATCAATAAATCGCTAATGATGCTCCACTGCTTAAGTTTGTTCCTATATTTGTGTTCAATATTTACCTTAATAGGTTGGCCCTGTATTTGCGTTAAATCTTACCTTAGTTAGTTGATCCTGTATTTGGGCCTGAGTACGTAGTTTGATTTCATTCTCCTTCCTGGCTAGCTCTCCACGATCTATGTAGTTGTTCTGCACATGGGACTGAAAAGAGACAAAATAAATATATTTGATACAGTAATAGAAACTTTTAATGATATACACAGTTCATTATATATTGCCTAATTTACTAAATTACTCTATTATATTGGAGGGTCTGTCTCTAAAGATGATTTTTTAATCTATTTTCAGCATTGACTTATATATTAACCTTGACCTCTGCAGGTATATCAACCTTGACCTATTCATGCATTGACCTTGACCTCTGCAGGTATATTAACCTTGACCTCTGCAGATATATTAACCTTGACCTATTCACATATATTAACCTTGACCTCTGTAGGTATATTAATCTTGACCTCTGATGATGTATTAACCTTGACCTCTGCAGGCATATCAACCGTGATCTCTGCAGGCATATTAACCTTGATCTCTAAAGGTATATTAACCTTGATCTCTACAGGTATATTAACCTTGATCTCTGCAGGCATATTAACCTTGATCTCTACAGGTATATTAACCTTGATCTCTGCAGGCATATTAACCTTGATCTCTACAGGTATATTAACCTTGATCTCTGCAGGCATATTAACCTTGATCTCTACAGGTATATTAACCTTGACCTCTGCAGGCATATTAACCTTGATCTCTACAGGTATATTAACCTTGATCTCTGCAGGCATATTAACCTTGATCTCTACAGGTATATTAACCTTGATCTCTGCAGGCATATTAACCTTGATCTCTACAGGTATATTAACCTTGATCTCTGCAGGCATATTAACCTTGATCTCTACAGGTATATTAACCTTGATCTCTGCAGGCATATTAACCTTGATCTCTACAGGTATATTAACCTTGATCTCTGCAGGCATATTAAGCTTGATCTCTACAGGTATATTAACCTTGATCTCTGCAGGCATATTAACCTTGATCTCTACAGGTATATTAATCTTGACCTCTGCAGGCATATCAACCGTGATCTCTGCAGGCATATCAACCGTGATCTCTGCAGGCATATTAACCTTGATCTCTACAGGTATATTAACCTTGATCTCTGCAGGCATATTAACCTTGATCTCTACAGGTATATTAATCTTGACCTCTGCAGGCATATCAACCGTGATCTCTGCAGGCATATCAACCGTGATCTCTGCAGGCATATTAACCTTGACCTCTGTAGGTATATTAACCTTGACCTCTGCAGGTAAAGCAGGATCCAGAAATAAACTCATATCAATTTTTGAAACCTGTCTAATGAAACACCTAGTATTCTAGTACTAGGAGCTCTTCACATGTTTTACATATAAATGAACCCTCTCTGTAATAAGGAACAACTGTCTACGAGGAATAATTTTGACCTCTAAAATTTGATAATGGTCTGCACCTCAGTAGATAATTTTTTCTTGGTTGCTACATGTTCCTTGGTCATAGCTTAATGATAGGCAGCCAGGTTGCAAGTCAGCATTCATAAGCAGAAACCCAAAGGTAGATCTGAGAAATGAAAACAATTAGATTAAAACTTAAATACCTTATACAGATTGAATTCATCTTCTATTCGTCTTCTGGCTTTCTCTTGTTTCAGAGCAGTTTTTTCTAAAGAGCTGAGAGAGTTCAACTCTGCCTGCTGAGCCCTACAAGTTGCCTCTAACTTATCCTTTCTCTCAATCTCCAAGTCCAACTGGCCACGGCAGTCATCCAACTAAAAATGGAAAGATTGCTTTTACAAGCTTGCAATATGGAAATACAAGGCATTGACATGCAACATGTCACCACCTGTTTTTTGATATGGATGCTGAATCCCAACAACCAAATACCATCCACAAAAAGGTTGGAGACTACAACAATATGTGATCAGTTCTAATAAGGGGTCATTTCAAGTTTTGTATTATAGTTTTTATGTTATCCTATTGTTAACTTCTTAACAAACCAAATCTCTTTAACGCATCAGATTTTTGGGGGGAAATGCAATTTTTTTTATAAAACTGCACATTAGAGAGAAAGCAACACACAGATGTGGGACAAAATGTGACATATTCAGAATAGTCTTATATGCATTATACAAATAAAAACTCATAGCATTTTATCATTAGTTTTATTTTGATGAAAGGGTCATTGGTCAAGTTATTACTCAGGATCTTATATAAGAAAATAATTGAGCTTAAGCTATAACTGAACATGAAACCACACTGATACCAATTCATTGAGAGTCATTTAATGACTTATCATTCATGTCAACTGATTGTTCAAGCCATATAGACTCTTAGTACAGTCACTTAATCGGCTAATGTACAAGAGTGCACCAAAATTGATAAATTCTTTTTAAAAAGAGCCCACTTTTTGAAAAATTTCAGCTCATTTTTCAAAATTTGACATTTTGAAATAAATTGAAGTCCTCATTTTAGATCTAAAAATAAAGAAATTACATATTTTATAGTTTTATTTAAATAAAATAAAGGTTATAAATAATCATACCTGTCTTCGAAGTGCCCCAATTGTTGCTTCTAATGCAGAACGTTCGCTATCAAACTCTCGTCTCAGTGAATTAACACGCGAGTCGCTATTGTCAAGATCCTGCAACATAACATTTTCATACTGATTATCATGACGATCAATATTCTGATTGGTTAATGCAGTACCATACAAAAAAAATATCATAACATATTTCACATCTCTCAATTTTTGAATTGACAAAAGATATATTGCTGAGCATATTGCAAACAACCCAATGTACAACCCTGCGTTTTGTCATCCACATCATTTAAAGAATCAACGAACAAATAATTAATAAATAAAAAGATAAATAAAAACCATATCTTATTAAATATGTAAGTACAAGTGAAAATGAGAAAAAATCAGTAAAATAAGAATCATTAAGGTATTCAAACCATAATGAAACTCTTCCCATCTCAAATAATGATCTACCTGAACCTACCTTAAGGCGTTTACGGGCTGCCTTCAAATGTGCCTTTAAGGTGGCCACCTGCCTCTCCAACTCAATAACCCTGAAAATAAAAATGCTTAATACATGTATAGCAGAAATGAACACTTCAATCTCATTAATATAAAATGAAAAATCATAAATTAAAGATTTTCAACATATGAGAATCATTGATTTAGATAAATAGAGGGTATTTCAACCCACATGCATACGTATTAACCAATTTTTTAAACCAATGGAGCTTAAAAAATCTGGTATAAGTAAAGTTGGTTCATGTTCATTGAATTGAGCAATTTCATCACTGTAGCATTTGTATGTTATAAAGAATGTGGTCCAAATGGCGACCACCTCTCTGCTGATAGACTCACAAACATCATTATCTTCCATGGTATCTCTAGTTTGAGCGTTCTAGGATTGTTGACATACACATTATCTTTCAGGATAAGAGCCATATCTACCAATGAATACACATATGTCGTCAACAACATTGCAAAAGTTTACAAGTCTGTCTGCTGAAAATGGTAGAACTTTGGGGCAGGTTCTTTCAATGGCCAGCAAATGGTCAACACATGCTACAATGATGGGCTGCATTTTTTAACACCCAGTAAACGTGATCTTTTATGTATAAAAATTAAGCGCTATGGAAAAATGTCCCCACTATCAAAAATGCCTCTAATTTTACCAAAACGCATTGAACTAAAAGGAACTATATACTCTATAAAAGGCACTATTTACTCTATAAAAGGCACTATTTAATCTATAAAAGGCATTATTTACTCTATATGAATATATATGTACGAGGATTATGGTGCGTGAATCAATCACATTTTGTTTGAGGTCTGTGGGGTGGTGCCTTATCATGGTGTTAATGAAATCTCTTGAGGAACTCCAGAACCCTCTTCTTACGAATAGCGTGATTTCTATCTTTTAAATTGATGGAAGAATGATGACAGTTACTATTAACATTGATAAATATACTTAATGAAATAATACAACCTATTACAGTATGTCACATATTCAGCAATGATTTCAGTGTCAGAACATCATATAAAATTACTGTTGATTTTTCAAATTTGGTATTTTTTCTGAGCTCCACCTTGTTGCGTCACTGGTTACCATAGTATTAAAAATAATAATAGGATAATGATGTCATAGAACAATGAAATCTTCATGGTGTTATCCTACATATTTGGATTATATTGTGTGAAAAAGTCACTAAGAAAAAAAATGGTAAAAATAGACCCAACGGTCCAGAAATTCCTGATCACCCCTCATATTTGAAATCAACTCGGATCCATCACTTTGGAATATTGTTGGATCCCAATTTTACCCTAATCACATGAAAGCTTGCAAAATCTGAGGGAATCCAACAAAAATAGTTGTATTGAAAATGCAAAATAAATGCAGAAATATCTGTTTATAGCCAAATGAACTCTAATACTATTATTATTATTTATACACAAAAAACTACAAAATAATGATATAAAAGCAAAATACATATGTACTGTAATAAAAGCGTGCCTCAAAACAATTTTGTTATGGTATATGTTAAATGATAATAAATAATTTTCTTATGACATTGATTTATTTTTGTTTTGTAAAGTTGGACCTAATTGCTATATTAATCATTTTAAAGGTGATATGGTTATTGATTATTTACAAAGTAAATAGTTTTTAATAGCATAGCGACATCTTTATTATCTAACTATAACTGATTATTAGCGCATGCGTATGTTCATTTGATTTACACGTAGTCATAGTTGAGTAAAGCTTTTTCCACATCCTCCCACCCAGTTTATGGGACAATTTGTAAATGTATTTCGTATCTATGTATATTTATTGTCTAAATGTATATATGTTTCTTTTATATTCATAGGGCGGTTTTTACAAGTTAAAATAAAACTGTTGAAATAAAGCATCCTCTCATTTTAGCCCAAATGACGTATTTTTGTTTAAACTGTTTATATGATTTAGCACAACTGTTAATAGCATTATCTTACCAAGCATGATGACAAAGTGGAAAAAACACCGTGATAATTTTTCAAATTCATAGGCATGAAGATTTGAGGTGTCATAGATTTAGTGCCACTAATTAGTCTCAAAGATTTGACGTATTCATATGATGTAAAAACAACTTTATGTGTTGTCCTCGTTTATGCAAATGAAGTGTCACATGACCCAATGTTATACCTTAAGGAAAAGCACGTGATAGAGTGAAATATCACACATACAAGACAAGTGACAATTTAGTGATTCTTAAATTACGTTTCAAAAACTTAACCCCATAAATATCTGCTCGGTTGACATTTGTTAAGGCAAACCTCTTGGCCTCAAATGATAACAAATAAGACAAAACGCCAATTCGACCCTACATTTATGTGGGTACAAAAACTGAATGTGAAACTGCAATGCTTATGATACAACTAACATGAATTGTATGCAAACAAATGAGTTGCATACATGTAGGTGATATAAGTAAAGGATTGTAATCGATATGGTTAACTTTTTGAATACACATTTCTCTTAACAGTTAAACCAGTCATCAATTTTACACATGGTCAATTTAATAGTCATCTTCTGATTGGTAATAATATAATTTGAAAAAATATATATATATTTCTCTATATTGTTTTAGAAAACACATCAGACACTTCTTTTGTTCTTGGTATTATATGTTTGGAATGAAATGAAACATCTATCCGATCCTCATTAGAACAAAACGACATAAAGACAACGTGTTTAGGTCTCTCAATATTGTAATTGTACAAAGGAAAGTTTGGTTGATTTAAAAACAAGGCACAGACGTGAACAATATGGTACCTAAAACACAGCATTGTGGTCTTGTTGACCAAGAAAGCAAGATGGCCGCAGAAAAGTTAATCAGCTCTAGAACTTATCACTGTGTAACATATGTAAAAATTTGAACGGTTTGGCTGGAAACCTGTAGACAAGTCTTGAAAGTGAAGATTTTAGGACGGAAAATCCAAAATGGCCACCTTAACATTTACCCAGAATGCCCAAAAACCAATCAGTTCTTGACATTGATATGTAGAAACATCCCTGGAAATTTCAGATGAATCCCTCAAATGGTTTGGCTGTAAATCTGTAGACAAGTCTTGAAAGTGAAGATTTTAGGACAGAAAATCCAAAATGGCCACCTTAAAATTTACTCAGAATGCCCAAAAACTAATCAGTTCTTGACGTTGATATGTAGAAACATCCCTGAAAATTTCAGATGAATCCCTCAAAAGGTTTGGCTGGAAACCTGTAGACAAGTCTTGAAAGTAAAGATTTTAGGACGGAAAATCCAAAATGGCCACCTTAAAATTTACCCAGCATGCCCAAAAACTAATCAGTTCTTGACGTTGATATGTAGGAACATCCCTGAAAATTTCAGACGAATCCCTCAAATGGTTTGGCTGAAAACCTGTAGACAAGTCTTGAAAGTGAAGATTTTAGGATGGAAAATCCAAAATGGCCACCTTAAAATTTACCCAGAATGCCCAAAAACTAATCAGTTCTTGACGTTGATATGTAGAAACATCCCCGAAAATTTCAGATGAATCCCTCAAATGGTTTGGCTGGAAACCTGTAGACAAGTCTTGAAAGTGAAGAATTTAGGACGGAAAATCCAAAATGGCCACCTTAAGATTTACCCAGAATGCCCAAAAACTAATCAGTTCTTGACATTGATATGTAGAAACATCCCTGAAAATTTCAGATGAATCCCTCAAATGGTTTGGCTGGAAACCTGTAGACAAGCTGAAAAGTGAGACGCCGCCCGCCCGCCCGCCGCCTGTCAAGCTGACTACAATATCGTACCTTTTGTTAGGTACGATAAAAAGTATCTTGTTAATGAAATAAAAGGTTTATCTTAATTTTTTTATCTATTTTGGGGGGTTTTGTTTTAAATTTCCTTTGTATAACTATAATACTGAGAGGTATAAGAAAATCTTGTATATGCTATTTTGTTCCAACAGGCTTCAGAAAGATATTTCATTCTCAAGAATTGGTAGAAAGGAACAAAAAACAATTGCACTAAAAACAAAAAATGTTAACAAAAACAGTGTTATAAAATATAAATAAATAATTTTCGCATTAAATTGTTGTCAATCAGTCAACATTACATAAAATACTGTTTTTTTACAGAATGTTTTCAATAATTGATTTAAGAGAAAAACATTGTTGAATTCAGTTCACCATATCGATACCAATCCTTTGGAATGTATTTATGGAAAATATGTGACTAAAAGTGTGTTAATATAAGCATATCTACCTCACACTGTTAAAAAGACAAATCAACTCTAATCATTGATCACAGAATACAGATAGGTCCTTGGACGAATTAGAATAGCAAATATGATACTTAAAAAATGAAATGCCATAAATAGATTGGAATACACTGGAGTTGTAAACTCACCTCTCAGATTCACCCTGGTAGCGAACCTCAGCTACCCTTTTCAACTCTGCTGCTTTGCGTGCCTTTCTACGTTCTTCATCAACATTGCCCTGCACTTCAATCTTCTCCCTTTCAAGTTGGGCAATCTAATGAGAAAGCACAAGTGGCAACATAAGGATCAGGAAAACACAAATCAATTCAGACACCTATAAATCTGATGAATTAAGAAACAAGGTCATCAATGTGAAATGGAAAGAAATTAATAATATAATATGAGCTGAAAGAATTCTTAAATTTATTAAAAATTAATATTATTGATCTGAATATTATTGGATTGATGGGCTAATTAGGATTAATATATTTGGTTTAGAATCATTTGAAACAATAAAGATTGGTTAAAGTGAGCTATGTCTGTTGATATAATTTATTAGTTCTTTTGTATTTTGTGCTTTCTTCCCTATTTTAATTGCATATAGTAACTATTGAAATCATTCATCAAAACAAATAAATAACACTCACACACCACAGTACCATAATAATTCATGATTTATTGGCATAATTACAAGTATGACATATACGCTATTACAATTGCTGATCTAATCTATGAAAGTCATTTTGAATAGATGTGAAGCTTTTATAATGTTTATAATATATAAACTGAAAATAACCAGTTCAAAAGATTCTACCTTTACATTGAAGAAATTCAACAAAACAACATATGCCTTTTTAAAGTAATTGGCCTAATCATCTACTAACAGTTCACCTCCTCTATTTGTACCATCGGCTTATCCTCATAGCTATGTGTATAATTGCTGCATTTTCCATTACCTATAGGTAGGGGGTTGGAGCAAACCCTTATTCTGGATTTTTTACCATTTCCCTTTTGACATGGTGTGAACTTACTCCACTCCCCCCAACCACCATCAGTAGATGTTTCATGCTTAATCCAATTTACATAGTTTGCCACTTTAGTGTACACTCCTGACTTTTTCCCACAAGATCGTACAGGACCCCAACTTACAATACCATGCTGAATCCATTTTTCACCTTTATCCCGACACATTAAAGGACCTCCAGAATCTCCAAAACATGAATCTTTACCCTTACTACCATTGCCAGCACAAAACATATTACCAGACACTTCCTTAAGGTCAATAGCACTAAGGAAACAAGTATCAACTAAATTAAGGTTGACTTTTAGCAAAACATCAGATGTGGCACATCTTTCTTGTGATGTTGTGCTACCCCAGCCAATAACAGTACACACCTTCTTCTTTAGTTTATCCATATCAAAAACACCATCCTTAGGCAGCATTACAGGTTGTGTGATATTGTTGAATTCTAAAGGTTGGTCAAGCTCAACAATTGCAATATCATTGTTATAAGGGAATTCACTAGGTGTACTATAGTTTGGATGAATTATTATGTCCGATGCTTTTCGACTCTGCTGAAAGGTTTCATTAATAGACAAGCTGTGCTTTCCTGTTAAAAAAGTAAAATTGAGTCTATCACCATGTTTTACACAGTGAGCTGCTGTAAGTACATGCTTTGGACTAATGATCGACCCTCCACAACCACAAGATAAGGGAGGTTTGAAATGCACCATCCATCTGTAGTTATATGCAGGCTTCACTTCTTTTCCACCTGTGATAATTGATGTACTTTCAGATAATCGAACTCCAGGTTCTGGACGAAGTTTTGGCTTACATTCAAACCACTGTAGTTTAATCGAAGGACAAGTTTTATTGTTCTCTCCTTGTACACCATCACATCTTTGAACACTTGCTTGCCATCCATATCCTTTAGGGCATTGGGACATTGGAGATGTGGCACCTATAAAACATTAAACTTATAATGTAATACACTATCTTGTATATTGATCTTCAGTTAAATGGAGAGAATAAAAAGAGAGATCAATAAATATAGAGAGAGCTTAATAAAATGAATACTTCAATCTAACTACACACCCAATAATGAAAAATTAGTACACAAAATTATATCACACCTGTTTCTTCCACCCTGTCACATGGTTCTTTACAATCTAATCGTTTTCCCTTACATTCACATCTAGTGCAGCCTGCATCTTTCCATGAAATTTCTCCATTTTTCGAGCACTTGTTTTTACATTTGGCCTTATTGGAGCAAACAATCTGCTCCTGGCCTACACATTCACAAACATTGCAGTTATCTTTAGCCTTCCATTTTTTGTCAATTGATTTGCGGTTCAAACCTTGGTGATCAGTGCAAGTTATATTCAGGCAACAAAGAGAGAACATATTTGCTTTGCCTACATGGCAGTAATAATTTTCTGAACAGCGAATGCTTCCTCCTCCTCTACATGGACGTGGCTCATCAACAGGATCATTCGCTGCTCTCTTACATTTTTTAGTACTTGGTAGAAATTTGTTCTGGCAACATACAAATTTGCTGCTATCTAATTTGCTCTTCACGCAAGTGTATGCATTTGGGCAATCCTTATTCTTACGAGCACATGTAGCTGTAGAATGCTTTCTTAACTTCCCACAGTCACTTTGCGAATCTACCTCAATTACGAATATGTAATTCAGTAAACAAACTGCAATGCATAAATACGCAAAACTCATTGTTGTTTCCATATGGTTATATTCAATAGCAATGCATCAGTTACTTAATGTATCCCAAGTTGTAGTTAAAAGCAATCATAAATAACAATCTTACAAGGTGGTACAAAAATGTTGATAAAATCAATGGTTATGCTATGGGAATTTATTGGCTGTAGGATATCCTATGTGACCATAAAATATTTTAGTGATATAATAGTTTAGTAGGATATAATGATACAAAATGCATAGTTAGTTACAAAGCAAGACCCCTTATTAAATAATGTAAGATTTTACTTTATAAATGATATCATACCTGCTTTCTTGATTCTCTCGAAAGGATCTCTCTCCAAACAACAGAATGTGTTGCAGTCTGAATCCTATATTTTTGAGCACTTGTTTCTACATAAGGCTTTATTGATGCATGCGACCTAATTCTGGTTTACACATTCACAAAAATTACATTTATCTTTTGCCGTCCAAACTTCATTTGCTTCTTGGTTGTCAGTGTTAGTCACAGTCTGACATAAAAGTTTAAACTTAATTGCCCTGCCTCAAAAACAATAATAGCTTGCTAGAAAATTATGCCTCCTCGACAGTAACATGGCTTTTCAACAAGATAATCAATTGTTCTCACTCTGTATTTAGGATTTGGTGGAGTTTGTATTTGGACAATTCCTGTTCTCATGAGCACATTTCACTGTAGTATGCTTTCTTAACTTTCCACAATCATTTGAGAACATTGTATGTAGCTCAATAAAAATACTGTGATCCGTAAATCTGATAGGCTTTAAGATGGATCGATGTATCGCATGGATGTGAAAAAGTTATATCATTTTGATTTTATGTGCCTTTGAATAAGCATTTCCAAAATTTATAATTTATAAGCATTTCCAATAATTTTTCAAATTCTCAAACCAGAAGTCAGCGATCAACTTTCATGATATTTAGATTTGGGGGGAGGGGGATCAGAGTCAAAACTAGATTTATTTAGTTTCCGATCCGACATACAACTTTTGATGCCTCCCCTCATGTTCACAATATTGAACACCCTGTATTACGTTTTGTGTAAAAACTATTATAAGCAGCAAAAACATATGTATACTTCAATATTTAATGAACAATTTTTCAGCAAGCGAAACTGACAAATACATCATATTTTATGCACCCTTCATTATACAGTATATGTTACAAATGACAAAATGAACAGTTTCTATTATGTTTGGTTTTATTGAGATAAAATTACAATTTGAAATAGGTTTTCAGATCTGTTAATTTAAGGAAAGTACATAATTTAAGCATTGATAAATAGGTAGCAAGATACACTGTTGGTATTACAACAAAAGATCGTCAATCCAGGCCTTTAATTAAGAGCAGTTCACTAATCATTACGAGACAGATTTGATATGCACAAGTTGACATGTCATTTGACCACCCAGTCCTAGTCTACACACTAACAAGGTATTAAGAAAGAGTACCATCTTCTGTATACATTACCATGATATAAGCAGCATAGCAATTATGTTTTGCTAATGGGGAAAATCAGAGAGTTACAAGTGACTTTTTGAAATTGTCTCAGTTTTAGAATCTTTTCAGCTCATATCATTTATATTTTGCTAAACATTCTTTTAAATCTTACATATTCATATTTCTCTTATTTTCATGAATCATATCATATTTAAGTATGCGTGGCATACCAGATGTTTTAGAATTCGAAAGAGAATTGTTAACTAGTTATTCACTTACCCGCAAACCTAACTTAGATCTTGATTTCACTTCACTTTCCCATAATGCTTTGGAATCTTCAGCTTCCCTTTCAAAAAGTGTACGATGAGCAGTTTCTTCCTAAAATATTGATGATACAACAAGACTAAGGACTCATATAGACGAGTTTGTTCCATGTCACTTCCTGTCCCATTGGATTGTGGGAAAAAACTGTACTTATATACCCAGAATGATCTTTATAATCAAACAGCACAACTTTTTTACATAATTCTGTTATTTTTATATGCTAATCTTTAACTCATTGCTGACCAACCCCAAGTTGGGTGCAATTGAAATATATCATCACTGGCTTCACAATTGCATAAAACAGAGCAAAGAGGGTGTTGATACAATTCATTTTATGATTATATGAAAACATGCCGTTTTGCTCAATTTTGCATCAAAATGGCCAGTCACCAGCAAAAAGCCTCCAAAATAGATTTGGCCAGCAATTTTTTGTAAAAAGTTGTAAAATAAATTAAAGACTCATACGTTGAGTTTGTCCTCCATGTGTATTGTAGAGGTTTTGAGATTTGAGAGCAAAGCTTCCATTGTGTTTCGCACCTGGAATAATACAACAATCATCAACAGATCATCATCTTAATAACAAAATCTGCGATATTAGTGAAAGCCATACACTCCTTGAGGTGTCTTTATCACTGTTAGTGCCATATGAATATGTTTGCATGATTTAAATGAATAAAAAAGTCAACACTTGGAAAAGTGTAAGAATTGATACCACGAATCTGAAATGTATAGCTTACAAATCCTTTAGCCTATATTTTCTGATCCATAATTGTCCATGACACAGCCCTTACAAAATTATAAATAAACAAAGATCAAAGAAAATATACAGTAATTAATTCACAGAATGACAAAATATCTCCATAATAAAATATATTTTTAGCTTTATTAAAAAGTTTACAAAAATATGGTAATCTTTTCTCGGTTTAATTAATAGTACATTATTATCATAAGTCATTACCTCAGTCAATCAGGTCACTTTAAACTGGATCATTAGGAAACAAGGAGACATATAGATTAACAATAACAATAAATAGTTATTTTGACATTTTAATATTAATTCAACCAATGACATAAACAAACTAACAATCAACAGCATTAACTCTATGAACATGAAGACATGAACTAACAATCAATGGCATTAGCTCTATGAACATGAAAAGACATGAACTAACAATCAATGGCATTAGCTCTATGAACATGAAAAGACATGAACTAACAATCAATGGCATTAGCTCTATGAACATGAAAAGACATGAACTAACAATCAATGGCATTAGCTCTATGAACATGAAAAGACATGAACTAACAATCAATGGCATTAGCTCTATGAACATGAAAAGACATGAACTAACAATCAACATCATTAACTCTATGCACATGAAAAGACATGAACTAACAATCAATGGCATTAGCTCTATGAACATGAAAAGACATGAACTAACAATCAATGGCATTAGCTCTATGAACATGAAAAGACATGAACTAATAATCAACATCATTAACTCTATGCACATGAAAAGACATGAACTAACAATCAATGGCATTAGCTCTATGAACATGAAAAGACATGAACTAACAATCAATGGCATTAGCTCTATGAACATGAAAAGACATGAACTAACAATCAACATCATTAACTCTATGCACATGAAAAGACATGAACTAACAATCAATGGCATTAGCTCTATGAACATGAAAAGACATGAACTAACAATCAATGGCATTGACTATATGAACGTGAACATGAACAGAGACATTGCTGGTCTGTTTCGCTTGTGTATGTAAGTAGTAATGTAATTTTTCTAGCTTCTGCTATTTACAGTTGCTATGACCAAACTATTTTGGGGTGTTCCTTAAATGTTGTGTCCCTTTAATATCTTGTTATACTACGCAGTAGACCCTTACCTGGTTAGAGTCTTGGTATTCTCTCAAATGTGACTGAGGCATTACTTAAAGATTGTGTCCCTTTAATATCCTAATATACTGCGCAGTAGACCCGTACCCTTACCTGGTTAGAGTCTTGATATTCTCTCAAATGTGACTGGGGCATTACTTAAAGATTGTGTCCCTTTAATATCCTAAAATACTGCGCAGTAGACCCGTACCCTTACCTGGTTAGAGTCTTGATATTCTCTCAAATGTGACTGGGGCATTACTTAAAGGTTGCACCCCTTTAATATCTTGTTATATACACTGTAGACCCTTACCTGGTTAGAGTCTTGATATTCTCTCTCCAGTCTTTCATTTTTCTCTTTCTCAGCTTTCAAATCAGCCTCAAGTCTTGTCTTCTCAAGCTCAAACTTATGTAGTCGCTCTTCCAGATCCCCCTGTATACAAAAAGGTGAAATAACAGTTATGCTGTATATAAAAGGTGAATTACTGTAACCCACCTTGGAAATTTCATGGATTTTTCAAAAAATCATATTTCATGTTATTTTGTTAGTAATGTTAATGTATACAAAACACTAATAACTGTACAATTATACATTTGCTATTTTTTCCAAACCAGGATAGAACTTCAATAATATATATATTATAGCTATAAAAATTAACAGAAACTTTGTAAAAGTTAAGAAATCCAAAGGGTATTGTTCTATAACGTCAATATCCATGGGTACATTTGATTTAAGAATTCTCAACTTTACAAAGTTTCTATTAATGGCCCCAGTACAAGGATTTTGTACATGCATATGAGTTCCGTTTCACTGATATATTTCCCTCCTCTATATTTAGCATTTCCGTTAGTTTTCTTGATATGCCCATCTCTGATGCTAGAACTTGGGTTAGCAATGACAAATGAATGAATATAGGTTTTAAACTGTTGTAAATCTCAAATACAAATATACTCTCAGGTAAGAAATATTGTATGACTGCTAGGTAAATAAAAATATTATTGAACCAAGAAAAAATAAGGTAATAAATTTCTAACACCTTAAATGTACAACACGATTTTGATGATTTTTGAAATAATGTTTCATCCAATAATATTTACATGGGAAAAAGGAAAAATATTAGTCAGGCTGTCAGTATAATATTAATATTGACAAAAGTGTGTTATAAAGTTATAAAGAGTTTATTTGATGAAATAGAAATAATTTCACAAATAAAACAAGGCATTAACATGCAAAATGTCACCACCTTTTGTTACAGAGGCCAACCACCATATACCCAACATCAACAGCTCGAACATCATCCATAAAAAGTTGGAGATTATAACAGAACACTAATAGGCCTATCGCAAAGAAATAAGAGAAAATGATGTCTGAAATTATATTAAACCTAACTCAAATTACATGTAATCACAGGCTGGTATCGAAAGATTTGTCCGCTGTGACGGAGCATGCTATTTTTCATAAAAACACTAAGAATGCTTCACGGTTCATTTTTTAACTCACATGTTTCGTTATATCAAAGATAATTACTTACTCTTATGCAATGGATATATCATTTGCGTGTAACCTTCACTTCTGTTTGAAGTCCAATAACGCAAGGAGTAAAATCTATTGAAAACGGCGCCAGAGTATCAAACTCTAAAATGTACCATTTCTTTTTTAACTTTTTAATGGCATGATATAGTGACACGATAATATTAACATATGTTTTAAGCATAACTCTGAATGTATTAATGAGATATTAATGCATTGGGTCTTTTTGATTTTTTTAATAAAAAATAATATTAATATTTTTGTCAGCTGTGACGGAGCATTTTCACAGTTCACATTTGCAACTGCTCCGTCACAGCGGACAAAATAATTAAACATTATTTTTCATAAAAGAATTAAAAAGACCAAATACATCAACATCTCATTTATACCTTCATAGTTATGCTGAAACCATGTGTAAATATTATCGTGTCAGTATATCGTGCCATTAGAAAGTTAAACAAGAAATGGTACATTTTGAAGTATGATACTCCGACGCCATTTTCAATAGCTTTTCTTCCCAGCGTAATCGGACTTCAAACAGAAGTGAAAGTTACCCGCAAATGATATATCCATTGCATGGAGTAAGTAATTGTGTATGGTATAACGAAACATATGAGTTAAAAAATAAATCGTGAAGTATTCTTAGTGTTTTATGAAAAATAGCATGCTCCGTCACAGCGGACAAATATTTCGATACCAGCCTGTGGTAATTCCATAAGTTCTTCATGTTCAGCAATTAATGCCGAGGTCATCCAGATTTGATGACAACACTGTTGCTAGATCTTTGAATTGAATATAATCCTTCAGTCTTCCAGGTAAGGGCAGACTCTTAACTTTCTGAGCAAATGTGTTTTCATGATAGCCACCCTTTAAATATTTACGTATGCTTATCCTAGTTTGGTTCTGAAGTGAATGCGAAAAAGAGTAAGACCCATGAATGGTTCTATTATTAGGTTCAACAGAGCCATGTTCATTATCTAAATCGTCATTTATGTATGAATTCAATTTCGTATTCAAGATAAAGCTACATTTGGCACAACTTGTTAGAGTCATAGCAACCAGAATTGTTGTGGTATCACTTTGTGTCCATGATGTTAAATCAGAAATTATCTGGTCTTGTTTGTCTTTGGGAAACATACACCAGTCCAGCTCAGCTCCATTTTCAAGTAAAAACAGAATAGCATTCTTATATGCAATATAATCAGATACCAATTTTCTTAATCCATCATTGTTTTTCAGTGATTCTGATTCTAGCTTGGACTCATTACATTGCAGTTTAGCCATGGTTTTGATGTAATTCTGGACAATCTCTCCTCTTTGCATGGTGACTGAGGGATCAGCTCCAGCTTCTATTAACTCCCCAGCTATATCCATATGATGATCTTCAAGGGCATACACAAGGGAGTCCTCTTAAGGACATCAGGATCATATCTAATTAGAGCCCTCACACATTCAATGTTACCATACCAAGAGGCATAAATCAACCCAACTGTAAGATTCACACTAATATACTCCATAATGCTTGCATTATTTTCTAACATTAAATCACTATCAGATATAGGAATATTTTGAATTGTTTTGTCAACCTTTCCTTCAGTTGATCTCCATATGCTTTCAAACACATGAACATTGTAAATTTCTCCAACTGACAGTCCATACTGGTCACAGAGTTCAGCAATACGTTCCACAAACTCAGCACATGTTTCCTCAATGTTAGGCATAAAGTCAGCAGTTTTGATCTTGGTGAAAACATCAAGGATGTCATTCAGTAGGTTTATATTGTTATGTTTTGCAGCATACACCAATGGTGTTAGTCTTCCATAGGAGTCAACCATGTTAATTGTGTCAAATCAAGTTCTTCTCCTTATTATGTTTTTAAGATCCTTTGCTGAAGATGGGGTAGTAAAGTAGAGTTAGTTAAATACACTGTCTAACTTCACTCCTATGTTACTGTTCCGTTTATATACCTGTTACCCTCATTCTAATCACTGTTCCTTATAATTACATCATTCATTGTATTTCAATCATGTCCTCACAAAAGTTATATACAATCATTATAACATGAATAATTTATTACCAGTTGGTAGATATCTATTTATATGAGTGTTTCTAATTTCTTTTAGATTTAGTTTTGCAGTTATATCCTAGGGGAAGTCATAATCACCAATGATTCGATGATCCATTATCATTAACTGTTCATCAAGTCTAAAACTGAATATGTGTATTCATAACATAGCATCAATCATGAATACTCCCCCCCGAGTAAAGTACATTGTGATTATTGGTGGATCAAAAATGTCTCCTGGTTCAACAATTTTGTTGATCATCATCTTCAAATTCAAATCATCTGTTCCAAACTTCCTACACTGAGGATGGTTAATTGACCATAACTTTATTCTTTTTAATCAAGATACAAGTAGAACATTATAGATTTGTGTTTTATCCGCTAATCACAAGCAGTACTGAGTTGACTAGAATATAAGAGAATGACTAGCCAATATTTGACATGGTCCGAGACCTCTGGACTGTCTCAAAAAAATTGTTGTTGCTACGTGTATGTAGATGAGAGACCAGTTTGTTTGTCTTAGAATCCAACAACAGCTTCTGTAGTACATATGTACTGTTTCTGTAGAGCATATATAATTACAAGTTCCAAATGCAGTTCCCAATCCAGTTTCTTGTGTAATAATAGCAGACTATGATGTAATATTCTCTGTTGGGTCATCAATAATTCTTGTTAAAATCCTTCATTTTAACATGTCTATGATCTTAGCATGTTATCCTAAAACAAGGTGGTCACAACTGTGACTTTTTTACATATTGGCGTTCAGTCCATTGCCCAATAGGTAACTAATTTTTCCAAGTCCATTGCCAAGAGTCAAAAGTAATTGCTATCGGGTAGTCAGGCAGTTATGAGTTTCACTGTAGTTCAGGTGAATCTCTGCATGAATCTGAACACAGTCCAAAACAGAGCGATAATGTGTAAAATATCCTATTAGATAAACAAAGGATATACTTTATATCCAATATACTTTTTTCAATTCTCAGATTATACATGTACTATCTTTGTGGATACTAGATATTATTTGCTTTTTGTTACTCACAGCTTTTACATTTCCTACCTAAAGCATCCTAACTTTGTAGTATACACTGGACCCATTCATGAAATACCACATGAGGTCATGCTCATCATCATCAAAAAATGAAATCTATAGGATGTAACAAGGATTTAAGTGAGGAAGAAACCTATAAACACTTCAAAGTTTGAGGAAATGTACAAAAATCAAACACAAAATGAAATTCTAAAGAGAAAAACAGAGAAATAAACATAACCAAATTGTAATATTTTTAGGGGTCATGCAGAAAGTGAATCTGTTAATGTTGATCTGAATTCCTCTAAATCTGGACTTAATAAGGGGGCCATCTCAAAGTTTATTGTAGTAATGGATTGAATGAACAGTATTTTACTGAGATAAATGCAAATGAAATGAAAAGAAATACAGAACACAAAATACTATGGCAAGTATAACTTTTATAGACTATTTAGTTACTTTGCAATGTTATTTTTTATTTAAACTGGTATTCTATATATACTGCCTGACATCAACTCTTTACTTTTTCAAACATATTTGCAATAGATTTTTGTGGTTATTGGAGCTAGAGACTTGGTTTGAGACTATGTTAAATTGTATTTTGTAAAAAGAATCTTGACATGCCCCCCCCCCCCCCCCATGCTCCAATACAATCCAGATTAGCAGAAACACAACAGACTAATGACTATTATATTGTGTTTATATGGTTGTTATCTGATTCTACATACATGCTTCAGTTAAATCAAATTGAAACCATTTGAACAATTTGATCAAATAATATAAACACATCACACTGATAAAAGCTGTAAAGGAAGCATAAAGCAGTTTTAATAGTTCTACATTGACATCTACATATTTCCCTACACCATGCATTCATAGCTAAGAGAACTCTAAAAGCTTCTGAAATGAAAGTGAACTACTGTGAGAAAAAGATAAATGAAAGTGAAGACTGTTAGAGTACATATGTATAGATGGTGTGAGTAAAGAAAGTTAATCCACCATTTCTGAATTATAAATTTGACAGTCAAGCAATTGTGTAGACATAGACTGTACGTTATGGGAGGTTTTGTACAGAGTAAATATCCTGAGGAAAACATATTTTTTTATCTACTCGATGGACCACTATTAAGTCAACAGTAAATGAAACTAATATTCAAAGGTAACTTCAACTTAGAAAATCACCTTTTTTAAGTTTAGTACAATGGACCAAAAGGCCAGGCTCAAAATAAAGAATACAACAAAAAAGTATAGGTTTAACTGCAATCCAAAACTAAGAAACAAGGAAATACCCTCAACCAATTAACATGCCCTTATATTCATTCAGATCCTAAGCTAATTTTAAGTGATGTGATCTCCATGCCAATATGCAATGTTTACCTGCTGGTAGTCATGACGACCATAACTATGCGATGTCATACGCTACAGAAGAAAGTTAAAATACAGATACATTGAAGTTTACAATATTTTTAAAGCTATTATAAATGCAAATGTCAACTTAAAAGTGCAAAAGCAATTAGTTAAACAGCTTGGGGATTGTTCCTGAACATTGATCAAGAACCATGAATTCTATTGTTTTTATTATGATGTTGCCATGGTAACATCAAGAAAGACAAATGAAATCTCAAAAATTTTAGTACATGTATATGGAAAATCTGAGAAACTTTTCCCAGGCTAAGTGCTAGTATAGCTGAATTATTAAGATTTAAAATATAACTACTGCAACAAAAATGAATTATGCAAAACATAAATAAAACGCATATCTTTCAAAAAGTGTACAAAAATAATGTTCAATAACACATACCTTAGATGCCATTGTAGCATCGGCATTAGCACCAGCACTTGCAAGTTGTTGGTTGGCCATGACAGAGCTCTGTTCAGCCATCATTAACTTCTGTGAAAGCTCAGTGATCTTAGCATTTTGCTCCATCTGCCTCTCTTTCAGGTTCTCAAGTTTGCTATTGGCACGTTCTACTTCTGATTGGAGATGGATTTTTTCACGTTCAAGCTGCTCTCGTGTCTGGATAAATAACAAGTAAATTTTTGTTATAACTGAAATATCGTTTTGAAATCTATGCTAAAGAACATTACTTTGTATGTTTTGGGAATTCTAATAGCTTTTGACGCAGACAAAACGAAAGATATTATCAATCATAAAATTTAAAGTCTATATCGAAAGTTTCCCACTTCAGTATACAACATAATAATTTATACAAAATTCATTTACTCACTCTGTTTGCGACTTCAACTGAAGCTTCCAACACAGACACTCTACGGTGGGACTCTGAGAGTTCGGAAGACACATGACGTAACTCAAGTTCAACAGTTGATTTACGATTCTCAGTATTTCTTAAATCTTCTCTTAATCGACTCGCGACATCATTCAGACCACCTGTCTTCTCTGTAAGAGCTGCTCGTGTTTTGTCATTCTCTTCCCGGAGCGAGGATAGCATCATGCCGATCTTGTCTTGAGTGTCTGAGTTTGTTCTCTCGTGGGCTGACGATTTGCCACGAACGTCTTCAAGTTGTTGCTTAAGTGTTAGCACCTCATGCTGAAGACCTTGACATCTACAAAAAGAGAAGATACAAAGATACATTCATATTGATGTCTTAAAAGAGAAGTCACATTTGAAAGTCATATTATGTTTTAGGTATTACAAGAAACAATTATACCTATTTGTTGAAGATAACTTAGAACATATGATGAGATTAGCAATTTAATTTTGAATAGAAATTCATAAAAACTACACGTACGTTTCTAGTACCATTCCAGTTAAGTATTCATGGGGTCATTAACAGAAATTTCATAAAGTTACGAATTCGTAAGTTGTAACGATGGATATAATTACGACACAGTTAGGGAACAATTGACTACGAATTCCTAACTTTAAGAAGTTTCTGATAGTGACCCCCATACTATTAATCCCACGCTTTATAATTAGCATATTTCCTACATTTGAATGATTTATTTTTCAACCATAGGACACAATAAGAAGGCAAAATGTCACCAACTGCCATTTGTTACAGATGCCGCATGCCAAAGGCCAGATGCCGAATGCCAACCACTGTCATAAAAAAACTGAGACTATAACAATATGTCACCACTTTTGGTAGTGACATAACAAAACAAAACTAGATAACGGCAACTCCGCGGAGTAGCAAATCCCAACGAACAGAATATCAATTACCGAATTCCAATCAATTATACTCATTACTTTGGTTAAAATTGAAAAATTTAGATTTTAGAATTGCGAATTCCTGCAAAGCAGCCATTTTGACTTTTCTGAGGTACAAATCTGAAAAATAATACCATAATTGTGATCTACTCCAAAATTCCTTCAATTTGAGTATAATATAGACTATTGCGAAGTCGTACATTAGACGGCCATTTTGAATTTTATGAGGCTCGAATCAGAAAAAAGATACAATATTTGCAATCTACTCTTAATTGCCTTTAATTTGAGTATAATAAAGTTATACTTCAGAAAGATCTAAAAATAAGCGAAAATTTCTGTTTTCCTGACCCCCCATATACGGCCCCTGGGGGTCAGGATGAAAAACACGGAGTATATGTGAAATAAATAGATGTTGCGAATATACTACCAAAATTTCAAATAATAATATTAATTACTTTGGTTTAGAATGAAAAATTTATGATTTTTGCGAAAAAGTCCCGTCATTTTTAAAGCGGCGGCCATCTTGAACTATTCATCAATATACATCTTTCCACTAAATATGAAGAAAATCTGTCAACGAATATTTGAGTTATCTTCCGGACGGACAGACGGACGGACGGACGGACGGACGGATGGACGGACTGACTGACTGACGGACGGACGGAGGGCTTAACTATATCCCTACCGAACTTCGTTCGTTGGGATAATAAATGGATGTGGAATGCAATTTAATATAGAGGTAAAGGTAAACATATTTCACTTACTTTTCCTGAAGAGTTTCATATTTGGCCTGAAGCTTTGCACTCTGCTCCTGTAGTAATAAAATAGTAAAGATATTAAAATAGGTTTTATTAATAATGTACAAGCAAATACAATGTACAAGAGGGGCAACCATTGCTTCATAGAATGACATACTGAGTAGTGTCTAGGAACTGTTGATGTTCATCTGTGATGTTGAAAATTGAAAATTTTGATCATTTCAAATTCTCCATGAAAAAGCATAAGAGAAGAAAATGCATCTCAATAACGCAGATGCGAGTAGGTAGTTCCCAGTTTCACCACCAGGTGGCTCGTTCGGGTCAGATAACATGGCGCGTATAGTAGAAAGTTCCCTTTAACTTAATCTGCATCTGTTTTAGTGGTTCAATTTTCATATAACCCTTATGTATCTAATAGTTATGCAAATCAAAATATGTCCAGTAAATGAAAATGTTATCTGACCAATACAAGAAAAGATATTTCACTTTTTGTGATTTTATAACATGGGCTCTATGGAGAATCAACCCGAACTAGAAGTCACACTTTCAAAAATAATTAAATTTTCAAACTTGATAAACAATTTTCGAAACCATATTTCTAGATGTACTTTTACATGTAGATTTCAAATATAACATCGCTTTGACTGAATTTTGAGTATTTAATGGCGTAAATCAAAATTTTTTCTACTCGCATCTAGTCTATTCCCCAGCCAATCACTATTCACATCCATATATACAATTTGCTGATTTATATGTATATTATCCCCTTTCAAACCAATTATATTCAGATCTAGATTTCAAAATCTGACCTTATATAAATAAAGATATTAAGAGGTTCAACTTTCATATTCATATATTCTTATTGGTTCATTCTTAATGATGATTTTCTTAATTCTCAAAGTACCTTTTCTTTTCTGTAGTCCTGTTCCAGTTTGTCTTGGGAATGCCGTCTGAGGTCAAGTTCCCGTTGCAATGCTGCATGCTGATTGGTCCGCTCAATAACAGTTGTGTTGGCAACATGAAGCTGAAATTCAGATAAAGAGACATGTTGAATAACGTGCCTTGAAAAACTCAATTCAAGTTTTTTTAAACATAATCGGAGATCCATTAACACATGGGACAACATATTCAATTTCAATTCAATTCACGTTATTTCAAATTTTTTAGGCAGATAAGACTTCACAATGACATGAAAAAGACAACCGATGGGGTGTATAAGATCCATGTTTAACATATAATATATCATTTATAATATTAAAATTCAGGTTATATGAAAACAAATGATTTGTGCAACAAAAGATTCCTTTATAACAATTCCAAATAGTGATATTAAGTAAAACAATTTAATTTCACAAACTGTTATTTATGTTTTTGTTCTAGAAATAGGCTAACAGTTTATATTAAGGAGCATGTTTAAACACACAGAGTATATTCATATGTCTGATGAAATAAAAATTGTTTGTTTTTCTCTGAAGGGCATGATAGTTCATGTATAAGCTATAGCAATATAACAACAGGTAATTGCCCATTGAGGCAATGAATAGAACAGAACAATAAACAAGGTATCACATGCATGATATCACCACCTGCCATTTTTTACAATGTTGGCCGCCAAACACCAACAAACACCAACAGACGAACACCATCCACAAAAAAGTTGGAGACTATGACAAAAAGTCGCCACTTATGGTGGTGACATTATAAAACGAGGCATTAACATGCAAAATTTTACCACCTGCCATTCGTTACAGATGTCAAGTGCCAGTTGCCAAACACATTCACAAAAACTTTTTGTTGTGACAAAAATGATTTCCAATGTTGTACCTCATTTTCAACTGAGTTAATTTTGTTCTCTGCAATTGCAATGCGTTGCTGTAAAGACTGATTGTTCTCTTTCAAGTTTGCATTTTCTTGTTCTTTCTTGTCATTTTCTCTCGTCAGAGTTTCACGTTCTCTCTGTAATGTTCTGGAAGCACACAAATGTTATAAAGTGATTAACTTATAGTAAACACAAGGTAAATGGAATAGTAATGCACCATTCAAAATTTTGCATGAGACTGAATCCACTCTCTTACAATGATCATTGGTCTATATCACCAGATGCTTTTAAAGGAAGGCAGGGGTTTTATTAGCAGCAGGCAACATGCGATTTTAGGGACTTATCAACTTTTCCATGTTAAAATGATTTTCATTATTTTCCTTGTTGTTTTCATTCATTTAGCCTGTTATGAGAAATTCTAGTGAAAGCCCTGGGAAGGTATGGCAGGTGTGAGAGACTTTTTAAAGTTTAAATCCAAAAAGATTCCATATGATTAAAGTTCATATTGCATTCAAAGTGATTTAATCATGAAACTAAAAGTCCTTGTATATTTCAGACCGGGCATTATGGTAAAAACATTAGTTATAATGTTGCAACATTCATGATTTCAAACCATAGCCACAGAAACAACAGAACAAGGATGTAAAATTAATTAAAATTATTTTAATTATTTGTTCAGGAATGTTTCAAATGGCAATTACTTAAACTGCAAGTACTCAAATGGCAAGTACTCAAATAGCAAGTACTCAAATGGCAAGCACTCAAATAGCAAATACTCAAACTGCAAGTACTAAAATGGCAAGTACTTAAACTGCAAGTGCTCAAATGGCAAGTACTCAAATAGCAAGTACGCAAACTGCAAGTACTCAAAATGCCCTCTCTGTAAGTCTATGATAAACGCAAGGCTAGGTTTATTGTAGTGTAATGTTCATGATGATGGACAAATGATAAATTTTACTTTTCAACTTTTGCTACTGGTTTGAGTAACATGCAAGAGAGGAAAAATTATTGAATGACATGATGAAACCTAAACATAAAATAATTAATAGCAGCTGGTATAACACAACAGTAAACTGGTAGGCAATAATCAGTTATTTGAATAACAATAAAGTATTATACACATTCATATGTTTAATAAAAAATTACTACAACATTAAAAAAAATCATAGTCACTAGATGAGTGTTATCCTGAGACAACAGTCATGAGGTGTACGATATTACTTCTAATTGCGCTGATGTTAGCTTTGGCAACAACTATTGTAGAAATGGGAAAATGTAAGAACCCCCGACGACCAACTTCTTTTTGCACGAAGCGTTCTGGTTGTCCGTATACATACAAATGCGATAAGAGAAATCAAAGGTGCTGCCAGCTCAATTTAGGAGCAATTCCGGATTGTATAACATTTTTTAATGAAACTGATGGGATACCGAGAAAGTGTAGAGGAGGTGGTTCAAAAAGATGTCCTCCTAACTATACATGTAAAACTGATCCGAAAAATTCCTTTTCTCTCTGCTGCAAATGTGAAATATTATGTATAGACCATAAAGGAAACAGCCATTGTTCACCATGGAGGGCAACTGATGGATGTAATAATTGCAAATGTGAAGCTGATGGTACATCACAATGCACCAATACTATAACTTGCCAAAGGGAGTGCAAGAAAAAATTGAAGAACACATGTGAAATGTGCGAATGTACATTTACAAATGGATGCATTGTGAAAAGACCATGCGAAACAGGAACAAAAGGTAAAACCTCTTGTAATATCAGCACAATAATACTTGGGTATCTGGTAAACTCGAACCCTAGTTAACTCGTTGACTTAGTTCACTAGGGTCCGAGTTAACTAAGGTCTGAGTTGACTTTATAGTTGTATATTGTAACGAAGGTCAGAAAATGCAAACATACTGAGTTGTAGTCTAGTGTTACACTGGGAACATCATTAAATAAAATGACTCAATTGACACTAGATGAAAATGCTCTTTAAAGTGGCAACAAAGAATAGAGTGTAAAAATACATATCTGATCAAATGTAGAGTTATAAAAATACAGACATGTCCTAATTCATTAGAAATTACTAGTAGTATGTGAAAGAGTATTGCTCATTGGTGTGATAGAGCACCTAAATCCCTTTTACAGGCTCATAATTGTGCTCCCGTTTCATATTCAATATTTATAAGATTAAATATTTATTTAAATATATGTTGTAATGTTTCTAGGGAAATTTTCTGACTATACCCCATGCCCCAAAGACTGTGGCAAGAAAGCCAGAGTAAGACAATGCAGTTCAACAGGAAGAGATGGCCAACCATGCAAAGACATGCATGTTGAAATCAAAGATTGCCAAGAAACATGTCACGTACAGCCTGGTGTGAGATTATCTGAAATAGAAGGTATTGTTCTTGGGGGTCAGGAAGTTAAGATACCTTTTAACTATCGTTGGATGGTTTCCATGGATATACCTTTTGGATGTGGATGTGGGGGGTCTATAATCAGTTCAACACATATCCTAACGGCTGCACATTGCCTTCCACGTTCTTGGCAAAGAGACAAGTATGTTACCATCAAAACTGGCAAACATGATCTTACCAAAACTGAACCATATGAGCAAACTCGCACAAGCATGAAATTCATTATTCACCCAGGTTATAATGCTATCTCATTTGATAATGATATTGCTATCCTTGTTGTTGCTCCCCCATTAGAATTTAACAAACACACTCAACCTGTTTTACTACCAGAAAATTTTGACATTAAAAAAGGATTATGCAGAGTTATGGGCTGGGGAGACACCAATATAGATGATGGTACATGTAAGTCTATGTCTGATGTTTTGCTAAATTTTCAAAGTAAATTGGATGACCCGTGTCTCAAGGTAACAATTACCGAAAACATGTTGTGTGCAAGTGGTCATAGTAAAAAATTTAATGGGTCTGATTCGTGTTATGGCGATTCTGGGGGCCCCTTGGCATGTCGGCACAGAATAACCAGAAAATGGGTGCAACATGGTATTGTCAGCTGGGGTCTTGAATGTGGCACAGGATCTGGGGTGTATACTAAGGTTGTAAACTATATCGATTGGATCATGGGTGAATTAGGGTACTGGGGAGGATTCAGTGATTTCACACCATGCTGTAAGTCATGTGGCGGAGGAACACAGTCTCGTGTCAGTATGTGCCACAGACCACCATCAATACCACATGGGAAGTGTAAGGACCCACAAGTAGACAACCAACGCTTGAAAACTCTGGATGGGGAGACTGTCTTGGTTGAGGAGGTTGAGTGCAACACACAAAAATGTCCATATGGATAACATTGACATCTGATTGCAATGTAATCGAGAGCATGAAATAAATGAATCCATGTTAATGCATAAATTATATGTTCTGTCAGATGCATTTTAATTTAAAACATCATTGGTAGAAATAGCATAATATTAGCATATATGAGTTTCTACTTTGTTATCATTTTGTTAAATAAGTCTCATAATTTTCATATACAATGTATGAGTAAGTTAGAAATAAAAAAATCTGAATTGTGGGGACCTAAAAAGGGAAACATTTTGCTATGCAATAATCAAAACGTGACATGAAAAGATCCAAATTATGTTCAATACTAGGAAAGAATGTTAAACTAGACAACAGCAACGCCAAAGCGTAGCAAATCCCATCGAACAGCCATGGCTGGCATTTTTACATTTTTACTTTTCTAGTTATAGTAAAATACATTAAAATGTGTCTACCAAAAGTGACAGTGTGCTATGCTTATACAGTAGTATTCAAATACCAAATATGAAAAAAATCGCTCCACTACTTTTCGAGTTACAGCAAAAATCTTAAAATAACGAGTAAAGGCCGCCATTTTTCAAGATGACTGCCATGTGCTTCTTTAATATCTACATTTCTAGATTTATTAATGTCCTATATAATTTTTTACATTAAAACATATTGCTATTACAGATTCAAATATTGCTCCTAAATTACTGTAAGATCGGCACTAAAATGGCCGCCATTTTTAAATGAGCAGCCATTTTGAAAATCGGCTTTCGAACAGAACTTCTTCCCCCATAGGGTATATGTGTACAAAATATGAACAAAATCGGGCCAACGGTAGGTATTTGAGTTATTGCCCGGACGGACAGACGGAGGCGTTCCCAATATCTCTCCGAACTTCGTTCGATGGGATAATTAAAGGAAGAATCAGATGATTTTATTATCACCATGTTCTGTATACAATGCTTTGTCAGGGGATCATGTTAGTTGATATTTGTATTGTAAGAGCTGATATCCCTGAATTTTAATTTATATTCTTATTTATGCACGTACTGTGCATAGTGCAGTACAAATATATAGTGTCTTACCTTTCCAGTTCATTGCGTGCTTGTTGTGCTCTGTCTAGCTCAGTACTGGCTTGGTTGAACCTGGTCATCAAAGATGTGGACTAAAACATAATACAATAGAATATAATGAATATTTTATGTTTGATGTTCGAATACGACAGCAAGTTGTCTAAATTTTGAATCAGTTTATAGTGATATTTGAGGCTACTGGCACATGGGTAATATAAAGTCCTTCTTGGATCCAAGATGTATTATTTCAAATCAGACATTATTCATTTTAAACAATACATTTTTACAATACTGTATACACATAGAGCTAGGGTGTTACATGTGTGTTGGTGTGAAGACTAGGAGCCAGTTAGTTTTGATCTAGGATTGCTTATTATTCAGTATGTGTAGCAGAATAATGTCATCTCGAATTCATAATTCAACTTTGACCAGTATGTTCCAAATCTTTAAGGCTCCCCCTGTATGCATCAAATAAATATCAAACACCATCTTTATTAAAATGTATTTCTTTACCTCAGTTTCAAACTTTTCCCTTGCGGCTTTCTCTTTCTCCAGGTTTGAGGCTAACACAGAGTTCTCTGTCTTCACTGCACTCAACTGCACATTATATTGCATACTAGCATGGGCTAGCGCCTCTTCATTCAGTTTCTGAAAAATCATAACATCCTTTACGTGTATCGTGGCAGATTCTACTTTAAAAGCACCTTCGTTCACTTGGCTCCCATCACGATGACCAATCGTGTGAAGATACTTTCAATTGTGGTATGATCATTATGCTATTACATAATTGTTCAATCTATAGATGCCATACTGGCATAATTCATTCAATATTTGAGTGTTTCACAGTAATTTTTTAAAAATATATACTACAATTTTCAGCCCTTTCGCATGATACTTTGACCTCAAATTGTACTTTTATAATATAACAACCATTATCTTCCATATGCAATATCTGGTATGAAATCGACATTTTTTTTACTAAATGTCTCGCAATACTATTTCCTATTTTATTGTTCATTACATAATACCCTCATAGGCCCTAAAGGACGGGACTTACAATATCACTCTTGAGATCTTCAACCTTATTGGACAATTCATCATTCTCTGTTGTCCACATAGCCTGATCATCACGGTAACGAGACTTCTCCCTTTCAAGCTCCATCTATAGATCAAAAGATACAATATGAATGAAATACATTGATGCATTTTATACCTACTGAGGTTCTAGGTACATAACGAGCGGGAATATATACTGTATCTAGCCAAGGCCCGGGGCGGGATGGATACACGCTGTATCCATCCCGGTCCCGCTCCTGAAATTTTTTTTCAAATTTTTTTTTGAATTTTTTCAATTTTTAAAAAAAAAAATTTCCCCATTTTTTCCAAAATTTTTTTTCACATTCTTTTTCAAATTTCATTTTTCAATTTTTGGATAAGGTATATGACGTACCTAGAACATCAGTAGGTATGAAATACATCTGTTATGTACGATCGGTTTTGGATACAGGGTTTATCCCTCGGGAAATATGTGTATATCCCTCGGTCCCTGCGGTCCCTCTGGATATACACATATTTCCCTTGGGATAAAACCTGTATCCAAAAACTCCCAGTACATAACCCTTATATATATATGAGTGTAATGAACACTTCCATTATATTTTGTTATTTCCTCAATTTTTTGATTCAACTCCTAGAGGGCCACATCCAGCTTTATACATGGTATCTGATCATCATTCAACTCAATTTATATTTCAAATTTGTACTTAAATTAAAAATAAAAAATCATGTCACTAAAACTAAAACTTTGCAGACAAAGATTTTAGCATTTGACTTCCAGCGCCTAGGCCGACAATATGTCCCCACACAATGTGGTGGGAACATCAAAACTTACCTTGAGGCCATAATTTTCAGCCCTGCGTTTCTCCATTGAGTCATAGGCATTCTTGCGGTCTTCATCTGCTTCTTCTAACTTTGTTATCACCTCAGCCTATATAAATTGTATAACAAAATAAAATAAAATTACTAATGTAGTATGTTTTACTGAAAAAAGATAGGTCATAGTTTTATTTCAGATTTGGTTCTCTTTTTCATCTCAAACCTTTAGGCTTTACTGTAGAGAATCAATTTTATTTGTGCCCTTCACATATAGGCTGCCCATTTATAGATTAAGCTGTTTAAAAGAAATTACATTACAAATACATATATTTCTTGTCTTGACTCCCTGATGTCAAAACAAAGTATTGGTTTTAGCGAAAGTATTGCACGGCACAAAACATGTACAGTTTGTGGATGAGCTACATATTGTAGGAACTTTTCAAATTATTGTACAATCAAGAATGTAACTATTTAGCAGTGTGCACGAAAATATATGAGTTAAATAAGGCAAAAGTGACCTTGTTTGTTACAATATTATTAGACGATATTATTCACAACAGTCATTCAAATAACCTCCACAGCTAGAACACAATTCTAGATTTATAATTGTAAGCGCAACAAACCTCACACTAATCTCAATTTTAATAAAAAGCTTTAAAGTAATGATTTCGAAGCTTATGATTAACATCAAAAGTTAGACTGACATATACTACAATGTTGTTAATAGATATAACATATTATGTTAGATTGTGCAGTTTCAGTTCATTCATCTCACCCTTTCTATAGTGGTATCAAGAGACTCTGATAATGGATTTGTAGACTAAAAGAAAACAGGAAAACCACTATAGCTTTCAGAAGCTGTCATCGCATAAGTGGAAGATTTTGGCGTATTCATCTTAGATTGCATTCAGAAGTAAAGAGCTAAAGACTCACAAAGATATAAAAAATGATGGCGACAGCGTTTTATCTTAGCTTTCGCTTAGCTTCAACCTCTCAATTTAACGTTTCAAAGGCTCCACATGGATAATTACAGAATAGGCATATAGCTGGCAAATCATTTCAAAACTGTATGACAACTCAAATAAACAGACATTGAATAAAGCAAACTCTTACCTTCTGTGTTTGGGAGACCTGAGAGTTATTTTGAAGTTGTTGTTGAAGACGTGCTTGCTCCTCAGATATCTGCTCCTGAAGATGGCGAGCATTCTTCTCTTGTAATAGATGGCGCTGTATCTCTTCTTTCTCCTCCTCCACCTAGTGGCAAAACAGAGAAGTAATATTTTGCGCAAATACTAGCAATGACAATTTTTTGAGTATTTTAATGTCAGATATAATAACATACACATTTAACAATCATGAAACAAATTAGATGAAACACTATTTAATAACAAATCAGATTTAGTTTTACTGTCTACTGACCAAAGATTTTCGATGTTATAGTTCACAACCAATCAAATTCAAAGTCTACTGATCAATCAGATTCAGTATTAGACATACAGCCAATCGAATCAAACATCACATTTAAACTGTACCTGTTTCAGTGTGGATGAGATGTTCCTGAGTTCCATCTGAACATTGCGTAGCGACAGCTCTGCCTTTTGCTTTGCTTCAACCTCTCTGTAAATAGAAAGTCTGCTATAAAATCACTGAATCCATATAAATTATTAGAAAATAATGTAATAAGGCTCTAGATTTGTAATATAAGGAATAAAGATTTTAAGAATTGCTTTTTAAACACTTGAAAAGTTAATGTACAATGAAATTTGGTATATATTGCTGGTTTCACTATTGCAAAGGAAAAATATCAAAAATATTGATTAGGGTAAAGTTATAGCTGAAGAAAATATTTTTTGGAAACAATGTACCATATTCCCCAAGATGTGGGCTTATTGAGAGCTGGTAGAGATAAAGAGGGCATAGCATAACAATAGCAAATGAAGCTTGGGAATAATTGTGAATCTCATCTTACACTGAATATTGGTCTTCCTTCCTGGCTAACTGCTGCTTTGTTTTACCCAGTAGCACTTCAGCATTCTTCCTCTTCTCTGTTTCTTCATTGCACTGGTATCTAAACACATGACATATTTCATTTACGGAACAACTCATTTTTTTTTTTTAAACAATAGGTTTATTTCATTGATATATTTTTCATGGCATAGTACACAATCATGCGGCAAATCGCCTTCTGGCATTTTATGTCCGCTTTTAATTACAATGTTACATATAAATATACGAAAAATTCAAGAAAAATAAAACACACCCACTGTTTAGATGTGGCATGTTATAAATGAAGTGTACTGACGGGGACCTGCTGCAACATAGATGGGGCGACCAATTACACATAGGGGTTGAGTAAGTGGGGTCTAAGGTAGTCAGATTATGTACAACCATACACAACCATTAACAGTTTTCTAAAAGAAATGTTGCTGTCAACTGAAATAGTTTGTCTAATTTATCATGGGTGAATTCGGGATCACCAAAGAGATATAAATCAATTTTATCCTGTTGGGTTTTATAACGTGATATATCATCCACAATTAACTCAATGGCTTCATTGAATTGATGGAGTTTATTCATTCTCATGGGGCAGCTAAAAAATAAATGTCTAAAGGTCTCAGGGGACCCACACTCACAGTTTGGGGAGTCAACATTATTCCAGTTGTGAGATATCAATTGGGTCTTCAAAATAAGGTCGACTCTGGCTCTGTTGAGGTACATCTCTTGCCTGCGATTTAGAATATTAAGGGACACAGTAGATATAATCCCAGGGAACATTTCGATTTTAAGTCTCCTTTTAAAGGAGGCCAATGAAGGAAGGGACTTCAGATAAGGCTGATCACGTTGTACATTGTTCCATATCTCGACCATCTTGTATATTGGTGATTTTCTGGGATAATTAATAGGCATGATATAGTCTCTGTTAAAACGCGTATTTCTAATATTGACTCTTTTATAAGGAATGAATATGTCTGTTATATATGATGGAATGAGGGCATTGTCGACTTTATACATAAGACTCTTAAAATGAAAATTTCTACGATCAAGTAAGCAAGACCAATTTAAAATTTTGAATACTTTACAGGCACTTGATCCTGACAGAGCTCCAGACACAATTAGACCAGCTTGGTACTGTAAACTACTAAGCTTTTTTAGGTCAATTTGGTTTGCACCATCATATAGAACATCACAGTAGTCAAAGAGTGACTGGATATAGGCATTATACATGATATTGAGATGTTTGGACTTCAGTCTTCCTTTCAGAGCTTTCATTGGATTAAGTGCTGTCTGGATCTTAGAGGCTAAATAGTTGATGTGAACTGATCCACATAGCTTATTGTCAAAGTAGTAGCCAAGATGTTTGTGGGTGTCAGTTCTTGTGATTGCGTGGCCATTTAACATAATTGGAGGATAATTATTTGCATTATTATTTTTAGAAAAAATCAACTCTTTACTTTTTTCTGGCTTAAATTCAAGTTTCCAGATGTCAGACCAATTTTCTACCTTTTGAATATCATTTTGGAGTTGAATATGAGATAGGTTGTCATTTGGGCTTGTTGGCAAAAATATTGACGTGTCATCGGCGTATATGAAGCATTTTGAAGATAAAGTATCAGGCAGGTCATTAATGTATATAAGGAAGAGGAGCGGCCCAAGGATACTTCCTTGAGGGACACTGCAGTTTATATAGTTGTCCGGGGATGTTTGAGATGATTTACCATTTACTGTGACCTTTATTTTTCTATTTGAGAGGTATGAAATAATAAAATTCAAGAGCTTTCCTGAAAAGCCATATGCTTTCAGCTTATGTATTAACAGATGGTGTGGTACCCTATCAAAAGCGGCCGAAATGTCCAAAAAGACCGACCTAGTATCGAAGCCATTACTAAAATTTGTCCAAATAAAATCATGAATCGCTAGAAGTTGGATTTCATTGCAATGACCCTTCAAAAATCCGGATTGATATTTGTAAAGTAGATTGTTTTCAATAAGGTGCTTGTACATTTTATCATAGACTATCCTTTCAATGATTTTGGAAACAATGCTAAGGAGAGAGATAGGTCTGTAATTGTTAAGATTATTTTTGCTATCTTTTTTATGTATAGGGCAAACATTCCCAAGTTTCCAAATTTGAGGAAAAGTGTTTGCCTGTAAAAGTTTATTGAATAAAATGTAGAGAGGAAATGAAATTGAATTTGAGCATATTTGGAGCATTTTGATGGTGATTTCATCAGGGCCATTGGCCTTGGAAGGGTCAAGATTATTTATTATGTTAGTAATATCCTGTCTATCAAATGTAATATCACTTAACAGATTATCGCACCTCTGAGGAAATGGAGTGTCAAAGTGGTCAAAATTTTCATTTGAATGATTTTTTTCAACAAAGAAGTTAAGAAAGGCATCAGATTTCTCTTGACTAGAACTGAAGATTATGCCTGACTGTTCCAATGTCGGAATTTGACTATTAAATTTTTTGCCTAAAAGTTTTTTGATAAGTACCCAAAATTTGTCATTGGCATGAGTAAACAACTCATTCAAAGTAAATGACACAATAACCAGCATTAAGGACAAGTTTTTGAAATATCGGAAACACTTATCACCAAAGATAAACAGGATCGTGTCATTAAAAGGAAAATAAACATTAATAAATGATTCAAAATAGTTTTTTGTCACAGTTCATGTCATAACCAAGAAATACTTTATTGTAAAGTACATACTCAATATTCCTGAGTTTTGCTTCTACTTCTAGTTTTGATTGCTCCAGTGTTGACTTTATGCCAAGTAACTCTGTCACTTTCCTGGAAAATATAGAAATACATAGAACACATAGAAATATCAGATAATACCAGTTTTGTATTGCACTTATTATGGAACTTTAAAGATACAAGAGGTACTGCTTAGTGATACCGTATTCTCTCTAATAAACGCATCTCCCAAATTCTCCTGGAGGAGATGTCTCAAATGACAAAATCGTGGGTAAACTGACATATATGCCCGAATAGCAATGATAAAACATCCACTCCAATCTTTCCGGGCCAGGACTTCCCAGTTGAATCGGAAGCTCCAATGACGCACTGCGAGTGTCAAATAGTGACTGATACACTTCAGTCAGATTTGATCTTTATTATAGCTTTAAACTTATCACTAGAAGGTTATCATGAAAGTACTTATAGTCCTAAATATTCCGAAGACATGTCTTTAACAGCATTGTGCACAGAAATGGCTCAATCGATGGCGGTAAGTGACGCCAAAATATTTTTGTGAATTTTTAATTTTTTCTTGATTTTTATTACTCAAGTTGCCAGAGTATTTCATGGAAAAGTCGGGTATGCGTTTATAGGAGTATGTGTGCCTATTAGAGAGAATGTAGTATTTCACTGAAAGGCAAAACAAAGTAGAACAAGGCATTAACAAGCAAAAAGTCGCCACCTGAAATTTGTTACAGACACTGACCACCAAATGCGGAACACCAACCACAAACAATAGTGGAACTGTATGAAGTGAGAATGCATAAATCATATTCTACAAATGTTTGAATGCATGAAAATAAAATATCAGACACTATTTTTTCTCTAGTACCAGACATATAATATATCAATAACTTACTTTTTAAGTTCAGTTTTATCTTGCTCCAAAAGCTTTTTCTTGTTCTCAGCCCCGGAGCGTGCATTTTTCTCTCTTTCATAGAGCCGCCGTAGCTCTCTATTCTGTTCTTGCAGGCGAAGTACACTGCTGGGATCTTCATAAAAGGATGGGAGATTAGTTTATTAAGAAACAATAGTTTTGTAATCTAAATTCAAAAGATTCTATTAAATCACTAATACACATAACAGATTCATATTTTTGATGATTTTTATAACTTTTTGTTTTAGCTGTATTAGCTGAAAAGAGAATCTGAACTGGTATTGAAAAACTATCGAAAAACATAAGTGGGAATGTTTCAAGATCCAAAATTTCTTAAATCACTGAATAGATTCACGAGCATATCCGTGTATTTTCTTTCATTTTCATATAATTCATTTCCTATTTTAATAAGAAACAAATAAATAGAGAAAAGGTAAACAATGTTATTAAAGCATGTCATGTAAACTCACCTGTTGCGTTATATGATGCATTCAAAGACATATTCAGTGGGGAGGGAGGGAAAGCACCGTTATCTTCATTATCAGTAGAGCTGTATGAAAGGCCATCACTATCACCATTCACGTCATTGGATCCATTCGGGACTCCACCATTTACAAATACATTACTAGAGTATGGAGCGGACATGTTTAGCCTAGAAATATACAATGAGAATAATAATGGACGTGTGATATTCAGATTATATTTAGGGTTAGGCATCAAGACAAATAGGTATACATGTATAAACAATTGAACTTTATGTTGAATTGTATTTAATAATAAAAAGTGCACTGATATTTCAGATTTTTGAATTTTAAGCCTCAAATTTGCAAGACATTCAATTTTTTGACATGAAAACAATTTGTATACATATTCTGTTTGCACTGCAAAAAGTACCACTTAAATAATTTTTTGACTAGCACATGCATATGTTAGAATACAGAGATTGATGAGTAAACAAAAATACATTGCTTATATTAGTTAGAATTAGTTACGTGTGAAATCAGAAATTTATCATCGGATATCACCTTCTTTCCCTTATAAGCCATGCATTAATAAACATATAATGCACACAAATTATATAAAACATGAATTATATTCATTTCCTGCACTGTTTTTGCTGTTAATTAGATATCCTGAAATGTTGAAAAATGAAAGTTCTGGAAACAACTTATAATCCATATAAGAAGCAAATGTTATATATTTTATTTATACATGCATACATCCAAAACCATATATTTATCCAACACCATCATATTCTTCACAACGAAATCCAAGACCAGTTAGAAATCAATTGTTTTATTAACCCACAAAACACCCATATAGGTGTCTTGCGAGTTTATTAATTCCAACGCAAGCGATTTTGTGATTATTCATACAGTAAAAATCGAAAGATTTAGAGAAAATTATATAATGACTCAGAAATATAGCAAAGAATGTGGTAAATGCCAATGCATCAAACAACTTCGACAAAATCAATAATATACAAAAAAGCTAATGGCTGGGAAAATCACAAAATCCTTTGCAGAATTATTTACATTAGAACATCCCAGGCTGGGATCCTGTCCATAAAATTACACTCAGTTTAAATCATTCTTGAATTTTATTTCGGATTTTGAAGTTCAATGCATAACCAGAATGAATTTTATGCAAAGGATATTATGCAGTTTTCACAACCTGGTAGGTTTTTGTAATGACTGGACGATTAAAGAGTTGTTCCAGCATTCCCTGTTCTGGCGATTTATGAACACAGTCATATGGTCCATGTAAGGTTGAGTATGCAAGATCCCTGCCACATTATGCATTATGCCACTATAACAGAATATCATGCAACATTACATATGATCCATGTAAGGTTGAGTATGCAAGATCACTGCCACATTATGTAGCATGCCACTATAAGAGAATATCATGCAACATTACATATGATCCATGTAAGGTTGAGTATGCAAGATCCCTGCCACATTATGTAGCATGCCACTGTAAAAGAATATCATGCAACATTACATATGATCCATGTAAGGTTGAGTATGCAAGATCCCTGACACATTATGTAGCATGCCACTGTAAGAGAATATCATGAAACATTACATATGATCCATGTAAGGTTGAGTATGCAAGATCCCTGCCACATTATGTAGCATGCCACTGTAAGAGAATATCATGTAACATTACATATGATCCATGTAAGGTTGAGAATGCAAGATCCCTGCCACATTATGTAGTATGCCACTGTAAGAGAATATCATGCAACATTAAATATGATCCATGTAAGGTTGAGTATGCAATATCCCTGCCACATTATGGAGCATGCCACTGTAAGAGAATATCATGCAACATTACATATGATCCATGTAAGGTTGAGTATGCAAGATCCCTGCCACATTATGTAGCATGCCACTGTAAGAGAATATCATGCAACATTACATATGATCCATGTAAGGTTGAGTATGCAAGATCCCTGCCACATTATGTAGCATGCCACTGTAAAAGAATATCATGCAACATTACATATGGTCACTGTAAAAAATTAAATTGTCCATGTATGGCTGATTATGTAAAATCCCTGTCTTGTTGTTTAATATGTCACTGAAATAAAAGATTACGTAACACATAGTCACTGTAAGAAAATATAATGTTACATAACATCCAATGATCGAGAATACAAGATGCCTGCCATGTTATATAGCATACCATAATATGTAACATGCCACTGTAAGAAATGATCATGCGACATTATATGTGGTCCATGTATGACTAGATCTCTGTAGCAAGTCAATGTAAGACGATACAATATAACATTGACTGAATTATAATGCCTGGATACATGGACTAGATAACATCTTTACTGCTATAATAGATATGATATGACATGAAGCCCTGTGAAATATTCAGAAAATAGATATCAACTCAATACAAACCTCCTGTGTTTACCTCAGACTCCATCTTTGTTTTATTGTCATAGTTACAGTAGCATGACATCACAAAATACATCACAAGACTTCAAATATGTGTGACATCACAATACATTACAGACACATGTTACATAGCAACTGTCACTATGTGTATGATGTATGGTCTCATTATTATGACATCACACAGGATTTGGTTGCCACAAACATCAAACAGAAAACAAACAAGAAACTATGAGGTACTGTACAGGTACATTGCAATACTTGGAAGTATAAACAATCTACAACTGATCTATAATATTACTATTGTACACAAAAACTCAAATTAATATCATGCTTGCATATTTTTTACTATACAACATGTCAGCAAGACATATCAATGCAATATCAAAGCTGAAGTTGTGGGTCTTTTATGAACAAATAAATATAAACGAACCTGTCATTATGATTCAAATCACCAGTTCCACCCATGCTAGAGTCATCTAAACTGCTCATACTGAGGCTTGTGCGACGATTACGCATTCTAACTTCCTCCAACTCACGTTCAGCTTTTTCCCGCCTAATTGTGGCCTGGCGTTTACGCTCCGCCGCATCATCATTCAGCTGTTTCAGTTTATTTGCTTCCTCCCTGTAAAAATATTTTGATGTAACAAATGTTGCATTATGATGTGAAGAGTTGGAAATTCTAGGCTTTTGGTTAAATGATGGTTGCATTTTTAATTTATAAAAATAAATTCAGAAATTTATAATAATATATCGAGAAGTTGAATGAAATTTAAATGCCTGTAGTTAAAACTCCAAACTGTATTAGAAATGTGGCAAAACTAGTAATCCCCAACATTTTAAACATGTGTAAGAATTACTTTGTGAATGAAATATCACCTGCAAAGATGTTCCCAGTAATCATTGATTCGTAATTCCCTCACAACATCGCAAAAATTAGAGAAATGACCAGGTAAAACTATTGCACCGGTTTCATCCATTTTAGTCATAAAGTGCTTCCCACCCCCTCACAGTTTTCCATTAATAGTATCTTTTTGTCATTTTAATAACAGAATAAAAGGAGTCTCATTGTTGTAACATTTATTCTGAGGAATCAGATTTTTAATTGAATTCCTTCATTTTCCTTAAGATTTTTGATGTTCTTCGTTTCAGCTCCACATTTTACTTCTGTATAAATGTTCATCAATTGTAATCACATTTATTCTCAAAATCAGATTTTTAATTGAATTCCTTCATTTTCCTTAAGATTTTTGGTTTTCTTCGTTTCAGCTCCACATTTTACTGCTGTATAAATGTTGATCAACTGTAATAAAACATTGTTCTCATACGTCTGATGATTCCTCAACTTGACATTTCAGGTGTCGCTACTAAGATTGATTATGTAAACCATATTAAAATATTGTAATTGATACCACATACTGTAAAATCAGATTTTTCTCATTATTTCATTTATTTTTCTTTTGAGGTTGTCCCAGTCATTAACATTTATTAAAACAATTTCCTGTAGCTATGTCCAGGTATAATGTCATAAATTGCTGTGTTTCTTCTACTATAGTTTAAGTAATAATTTTAGAAAAATAACACATTTTTGAAATACGCCTAAGAGTCAGGAAAAACCATGTAATCAATTGGGTGCAATGTTAAAAATCATAGCACTCTCCAGTCTTTTTTACTTCTTTCCTCTCCCCAACTTGAACAAAGTCCTCATTTGTTTGACATTTTCATACTGTCAAGCAACGACATCCAGCACATGTGCTTTATTCCATGACAAATCCTCTCCACTTCATCTCTTATGCTTGAAAACCAAGACTGTTGCTGATATTTTATATACAAGTTACTACTATAAGGCACACTTGAGAATATGAGCGCAAATTGTCAGCACTTTTGAGTCAACTATCGCAGCTATCAGATATCATGTAATCCTTGCGTTCCAATTATACACTGGTAATCTTAATGTAATATCGCAGAATTCAAGTTCAATCAAATTCTGTCAATAATAGTCGGACATAAATCAAAGGAATGATGCAATTGGGGATATTCTCTATGCACATTTTAAATTGGGTGAACCAACCTCCAAACCAAGAAGAATAGCAGACAATACTATGAACAAACAAAACAAGGCATAAACATGCAAAATGTCACAACCTGCCATTTGTTACAGACACTGATCCCTGACTGCTGACCACTGAACACCAACCGCGAAACACCCATATAACAGAAACCATGAATAATTACCTCACCTTATGTCATGTATGTTATTTAATTATTATGCTATGACATCAACCAGTCTTGAATCCTCTTGACAATCCTTTAGAAATTACATTTTCCATTGCACCACAATACTGCTAAATCTATAAAACCCTTACTTCATTTATTGGCTTTACAATATTGGTAAATCTATAAAAGTCTAACTTCAGTTGATGGTTTCAGATATGAAATTTTATACTGAATAGGTACAATTCACAGATTTCCTCGTGAATGGTATTCATTGATTGGATACAGGTTCTTCTTTTGTGTTTTTTTCACAGTATTGTTTTCTTAATTGCTCAATTATACACAGTTTCACTTTTTAGGCTCTGAAAATGTGACGAACATGAAATATTTTGTTTGTAGGTTTTCATAAAACAATTGTATTGTTCCTCTATTCAGTACTTGATTAATTCAAATAATCTCAGCTGTAATATAAACTGGAACGATATAATGAAATCAATAAACGTGCTGCTTTTGATATTAAAGGGAATGGTACAGTAAGCAAACTATTAAGTGGTATATTGTTTATGAACATCAGATTAAACCTTTGTTTGCATGGCATATTAACGGAATTGGATCAATGAGTGTTATTAGGATATCAGTTTGCTTGTGTTCTGAATTAAAATGTTGACTTTTCTTTCTAGGATATCTGAAATATGTGAATCTATATGTAAGTATGTGTGTCAAAAGGAGAAAGCGCAAAGAGAGAATTCTAAACACAGCAAGAAAAAATACAATCTAAAAGGACAACTAGTCATAAGGAAAGTAAACCCCCAATATCCCAAATAACAGCCAAATGAACAAAGAATAAATCTCTGAGACCTCATTGCACTTACTCCCATATTTTGCCAAAATATCCTTGATTTCTTGAATTTTTAGACATTGTACTAAAATTCATATCAATTTATTATTCTGCATTTATTTCTAACTGATTCCTCTTTATTCAAGTCTAGTGATGATATAACATGACAAAGAATCAATATTAAGATGATATGAAGATTGATGGGGTCAAAGTAACCTTAATTGAGTAAGAGTGTTCGTTTATTTGCTTAAAAGATGTCTTAATCAATGTTGTCCCTTTATATTCACAAGGATTGAGAATATGTGTTCTTATGAAGATTCTTTATGAATGAAACACTCACAGGGTAGATTATGTCAAGAACAGTGACAAGAAATATTTACAATGAACTAACTGTTTTTTCCAGAGGGGGGGGGGAGATTTCCCAAAGATGACCTATCATATTAGCATGTCCGAAAACAAATTTTATAAAAAGGCCTCAATTTGCCATTGAAATGGATCTCCAAATGTTCACTGTAGTTTTATGAGAATTCTCTTCAAGTATGGATCGAGTAACTTCAATAGTATTACCGTAGGTTTGAAATGATGATGTTGAACTGATGTTAATGCCATTCCCACGATTTCAAATTTAACTCTGTGCATGCGCAGCACTGAGAGAGCACGTGCTCATGATTGTTCATGTGATCGAATCCTGCAATTTGATTGGAGATGATGCAAGAGATGATGTAATGGGGAATCCCCGAATACGATAGAATATGAAAGAATTATGGGAGCTACTCACTCCTCCTGTGTTTTTTTCAATGCCAAATATATTATATCATATAGATCTATGACATTTCAGATAATGTGGAAATATTCTTCAAATTATTCTTTAAGAGAATTTTTGAATTATTTGCAGTCTCTTTTAACACTTCTAAAACCTGTGTACATCTACTGGAACAGATGGGCCACTTTAGAATGTTGACTTAATAAGTTCCTTCAGAATGTTACATTCTGCTATACAAATATATAAGTGTGTACTGACTATGAACCTGTGCCAGCAGTAATTAAAGCATAGACCAGTTACGTCCAATGCAAACTGAAAACCAGTACATCCAAAAGCTGAAATCTGAAAGATTGCTGCCATCCTGGTTGAAGGCTTTACAGAGCAAGAGACAAGGAGAAACATTACTTATCAAAGATGTTTATCAGATTAATACTGCAACATACTGGTTTTCCGCCAAATACAAAGTATAATATATAAGTTAAGCAAATCTAAGTATCACTTTAGCAGAGTAAGAAAATTTACAGGATTTCATGATTACTATTGAACAAATTTCATTTATCTATAAAATAGTTATATGACAGATAGGGTGCTGACTGTTATTGCACTTTATTATCTACTTTGAATCCATTTTCCCATATCACAATCAAACTTTGTTTCAAAGTTTTTTCATATTATCTACAACCCAATGTATAATTATATAATTACACAAAGTTCAAGGTGAAAGGTCAAGGACAAAGTCAAAGTCAGACCTACTTAGTTTCACTGTAACATCCTATTTTACAAAACAAATAATTGAAGCAGAACTCACTTGTGTATTTCCTCCATTTGTCCCTTCTCTCTCCTCTCCCGCTCAAGTTTTAATCTCTCTATCTCCGCCTTTTTCTGCTTTTCTTCCTGTTTTGTTTGCTCCTCTTGTAATCTCCTCTGCTCTGCTTGGAACTTCTCCCTCTGTTCACGCTCCTTCTGAATTTTCTGCTCTACCACCCGTTCTCGCTGCTCCTGAAGTTTCTGACGCTGATCAGTTTCCATTCTTTGCTTTTCTTTCAATAATCTCTGTTCCTCCTCTTCACCTGCAGTTACAATATCAAGATACACATAATGCACATGCTATACAAATTTAAACTTGCTCTTCTCGGATGTGAGGGAGAGTTTACTCTTTGGTTGTTATAATCTTAAACAAGGCATGAACATGCAAAATGTCACCACCTGCCATTTATTACAGACAATGAAAGCCACTTGTGGTGGTAGCATAATAATAATCATTTTGCTGAACTTGAAGAATAAAAATTGGGTATTGTTACTCACGTTTTTCATTCTCTTGTTTCATTTTCTCAAGTAATTCATTTTGCTCTTTTTCCTTTTGTTCACGGTTTTTTCTCTCTTGTTCTTGCTTTTCCTTTCTCTCTTTCTCTTCTTGCTCTCTCTGTTTCTTCAGCTCCTCAGCTCTCCTCTCCTGTTGTAACACAAAAACCACATGATGAACATAAATTAATTGTGCATCAATTAGTTGAAGATATACCGTACATTTATCCATATCTTCACCTTGCACCAAGTTAAGTATTTGAAATATCATGAAAATGTTTGTTGAGATTTACAAATTGTATTCATTGTAAAAATGTATTCATACATCTTCATCAGGTAAACTTTGTAAAATTTGTAAATCTCAACAATTTGTTTTGTTTTTACACTTATAAACATATTACATGAAAATGTTTGATATCTTTTTTTAAGTTTTTGCATATATTGGTAAAGAATTTCACAACCAAACATTGTAAAGACAAAAATGTAAAATGAGAAATAGTTATCAAACTTACTCTCTCTAGTCTCTGTTCTTCCAGAGCCTTCCTCTTCTTCTCAAACTCCAGTCTTTCTTTCTCACGTTCCTCCTTCTCTTTACGACTCTTCGTCTCTTCCCTTGCCTCTTCCTCTTTCCTCCTCCTCTCTGACTCCTCCTTTTCTCTCTTCAACTCCTCCTCAGCTCTTTTCCGTATTTGCTCTTCCTCTTCTTTCTTTCTTTGTTCTTCCTTCTTTCTTTGTTCTTCCTTTTCTCTCTTTTCTTGTTCTTCCTCCTCTTTTTGCTGTCTTATTTGTTCTTCTTGTTCACGTCTGAGTTCCTCTTCAGCTTCTTTCTTCAACTGATCTTTCTTTCTTTGTTCCTCTTTCTGCCATTCTTGTTGTCTCTTCTTCTCCTAGGAATAGTTAAGGTAGTTTGTTGAGAATTTTAACACTCAAAAGTTGTATATATACCATAATAGACCAACCATCAATTTGTAATTAATACAAAACTCTTTAAAAGTGCATTTTCAACAAATCAAATAGTCTTCGGCTAAAAATGTATAAATGTCTGATGTCCTGTTTTAGTTGAACACAAGTCTATTGTTAAATATTAAAATATTCTTAAATATATAAATGCATCTTACAACATTGTTACTGTTGGAATCCTAAACAAAATGCATATATCTAATGCAAATATATTAACTAAAATACATTATTGCATGTAGCAGAAAACATTTGTTAGGTTTGGAGTCTACCTGTTCAAGTTTATTTTCAACCTCCCATTCACTTTCAGTTTCAGTTTCAGTGTCAAGGTCATCTAGGACACTCTTCATTAAAGGAGATTTGAAAGGTGTAGCAGACAACGCCTGGGCAACATTTGGTTGGTCAGTGCTTGGCAACGCGTCATCCTTTAGTGCAACACAACATAGAATAAAAATGAAATAAAAGTTCCAATGTCTGATTCATAATTTTAATGAAATCATAAAAATCACTGAACATTTTGTATTGTCAAACTCGCAAATCATGAAATATTATTGGAACTTTTATGATGAAAATAAACAAAATCAAAAGCTGTGAACAAACAACATATACTTAATTGTATACAAAACATACAAATAAAACTTCTTTATAAAATAGATTATCCAATGCAGTGATTAGGAGAACTAAAATGCAAACTTTTGAATTTTTCTCTAAATAAAAAGCAACTAAAAGTGAAAATCAACAAGCCAATCTTCCTTGACAACAATTCCTATTATACTTCTGATGTGCATTTCCAAATAAAATTCTTGAACATATTACAATAACATCTATTTCTAACTTATATTAAATCTAATTTGAACTTACATCCGAATCCCAAAGTGAATCTGGAAAAAATAAGTTCATGTATTTAAGTTTCCACTTGTGCAAATAGAATATTTTGTGGTTTCATTAAAAACTTGGAATGAATTGACATCTTCATTATAATATACTTTTTTACATATAAATGTAACTATCATAGTTTATGAATAATGGTGAAGACAATTAATACCTTCATCGTCTTCCTGGTCCGCTTGATTTGTGCTAGGCTTGCTTTGGGTCACATTGTTTTGAGTAGCAGGCTTGTTTGTTGTAGCAGCTTGATTTGCATTTTGTTGCTTTGAGCTCCCACTGGCTGGAGTAGAATATCCTGCCACCTTGAAAATCAACAAAGAGAAATAAATATATAATCCTATATCGACTAACCTTTTGGTCCACTTTGTCTACCCTAAATTCTCATCAGCTAGCCTCTGTATAAAAAGACAAAATCAGGTTCTTGCAGAGGGTAGTTTACCAAAGGGTAATATTGCCAGACAATGGGGTTAAGGATATGATATATATCTGAGTTTATCCTTGCTCATTCATTTTTTACTTGTCATGTCTTAAATGAGACACAATCATTTTTCACATCTGATTGTTATTTTCAGTAATTTTGAACATATCTAGGTTTTTAAGGCATTGTGTACATTATCAAACCATGCAATGCACAAAATATAAAATGTTACCACTACTAATACAAAATTACAGGTTAGAACCACTTACACCACACAACTAAAAGAAATGTTAGTAAAAGGACTATTTTGACTATCTATTTACTTTATGTGTTTTTCTATGTTGCCCCTTGTTCTTTCTCACTGTGGTGTAAATTAATAAACTGTTTGTGGACAATTGAGGGCATTATAGCCGATGGTCCAAGTTTGAATATTTCACTATGATGCCCACTAAAATGAGGTTATTAGTATCATCACCACCTTATGTCCAGGGCTGAAATGGCAGGAACGGACTGCCGCTGAACAAAAAAAAAATTATATGCACTGAATGACACCTAATTTCCCGGGAAACATTAGGGCTGAAATATCCATTTTGGCCCGCCACTATGACGCCACACATTGCTAAGGTCAATATATTAAAATATAAGCGTTCTAAACTAGTACTAATACCCTTAGAACAGGCCCAGCAAGGTGGTAATAATGAAATATAAGGATGATCAATATTCAATTGTTTGAATTCATCCTCATTTTGGATAACCAATGTATGAAAATCAAACTGGTAACGGTAAGCGAGTATGTTAATCCTGTTAACCATTTTATGTAATCGCCTTGATGTACAAACAAACAAACAAACAAACAAACTAACAAACACTGAACTTCCAGTTGTATAATAATCATAATCTGTTTGTTCCTTTAATCAACAAAGTTAAGTTAGCATAAAGTCAACACTTCAAGTTAATATTTATATTTCCTACAATAAATTGTTCTTCACTACAATACCAACGAGTCAAAAATAGGAAGCATTAAGTTGGAGTATGTGCAAAATAGGGTAAGAAGACTTTACTTGCTTAAGTTCCTGTATGGAAAGGGGCTCTTATTTTTCAAGTTTGTAGCATCTCTCTTGAGCCTCAATTATATATTAAACAGCAATGAAATGGCACAGCTGTATATCTGGCTAAAATAAACATTTAACGTAGAACTTCAGTCCACTGATTTTTTTTCTGCAATTCGGATTTTCTTGAAAAAAATATAGGTGAAATACTGATGCACAACAAAATATGTGAAAATTAGAAAGATTGACCATTTGGTTATTTCGAAAAAAATAGAACCATTAGATAGAGGAAGAAAAAAGCTTTAGAATTTGTAGGAAGTTGCATCAACTTTTGTAAAATTCAAAACAAATCTTTAAAAAATTTGTTTTGCCTCGCTTATGCCAGAATCGCATCCCCCTGACTGAAAACAGAAAGAAATTTGGCGATCGCACCCCCCCCCCCCCCGACTGAAAGCTGGCTACGCCCCTGTTATTATCATACAGTAAATTGCATCGACCATTTGTTCTATTGACTCATTAAATTTCTAATTTCTCTCAGGTACATTGAGATACTTGTTCTTCTTCTGAGCAGTTCTTTAATGCCAACAAGTCATGGAAGAATAGGATACAATAATAAAAAGTGTATAGTGAATAGTACAGCACATGTTGAGAAGTATGACAGGGTATTTGTGTTTGTTGGGAAGTACAAGGAATTTATTAAAAAACAACCATGGCCAGAGACATATATTGAGTTTCATAAGTTGGCAGGAAGAACAACAAGAAACCAGGTTATAAAAGAAGGTATTATTTTTGAATTCAAAAACATATTAGTTCTATATCAATGTTCAATACAATTTATACATAGCTAGACATGATATATATATATATTCTTTTATTGACTCTTATGTATGTCAGTCTCTCCGACACATGGGTCACTATACAGTTATTTACATGTGTTTTATATACAAATATACAGTCATAAGCAAAATGGAAAAATACAAAAATCATTACATCATGATTCTAATGTAGTGTTGATATATACATTCAGACTGAAAACACCTTTTCAAATAAGCTTGACAAACATAATTGCTACAAAATGTACATTCTATGATACAAACTAAATTTACAAATATTTACAAACTTATACAATGTTAAAGACTGGATATGAATGCTCTTACATTGTTACAATCTATGAGGAATTTGGCAAAATATTTTAATATGTTAATTTTGCTGTTCATGATCTCCTTTATTAAAAATTCAGGCATTAAGTTGCTAATAGGAATATTTCCAGCTAGTATTTTGAAGAATATCGCTCTCTGGTTTGTATAAGAAGGGCAGTAAAAAATTAAATGTAGTTCATCTTCTATTTGATTTAGGTTACAATTTAAACAGAGTCTATCTTTTAGTTGTATCTTTTGTCCATTTTTCTTTTTGTGTCTACCAATTTCAATTTCTAATTTGTGGTTACTTAGCCTTATTTTGCATAATATGTTTCTAAGTTTGCTGTTTTTTATCATAAGGTAAGGCTCTTTTTTGAATTCAACTTTGAATAAAGAATATGTTCTTAGGCATGGGTTTTTTGAGTGATCGTTGATTAGAGCAAGCCATTGGTATTTGTAAAGAGATCTTAATTTATTTGATACTTTAAGATGAAGTGTTAAATATGATTGAATGTTAATATCAGATTTTAAATGATTATCCCACATATCTTGTAAATCACATTCTTTCAAAATATTTTCGATTTGTGACACCCATGATTTCCCACCGCAATGATAGATTTGAAGGTTCTGTTGATACGCTATATTAAGTTTGTGTTGAGATTGAAGAGTTAGTAATCGACACCAATATTTTATTTTTTGAACTTTCATTCTTATAATGAGGGGATACCTTCCAAATTCACCAAGTATTGCTAGATTTGAAGTTTGTGTTTTAACATGTAAAAGTTGCTTTAAAAATCTCAGTTGTAATTTTTCTATGATCTCAAAACTTTTAGATTGTGTAAGTACTTCATTACCATATTCAAGTATTGGTAGAATCAATTTATCAAAAAGATTTAGTGCTACATCTACTGGTAGATTACCTAGTACTTTGTAATAACCTCTTAGTTTAAAAATGGCTTTTGTTGCTTTTTGAGCTAAATGATTTGAGTTTGATTTGTGATTTTTGTTAGATAGAATGCAGCCTAAATATTTATACTCTGACACTTCTTCAATTATTTGGTTTAGGATAGAAAAGTTAATTATAGGTGTATTTTTCCTCTTTCCAAAGACAAGAACTTTAGTCTTTTTACAATTTATAACAAGACGCCAAGAATTGCAGTAATTTTCAAATGCATCCAAAAGTTTTTGTAAATAACTAGGATTTGGTGCACAGAGCACAATATCATCAGCCCATGCAAGATGTGTTATTGAAAGATCATTGATGAAGGCACCATATTCAGTATTTAGAGCATCCTTTACATCTGATATGAATAATTTGAAGAGGAAAGTACTGAGGGTTCCGCCTTGAATTATACCTACCTCATTTGTGAATGTATCGGTGATACCAGCATCAGTTCTAATGCAAGATTTTGATTTAGAATACATTGATTTAATGATGTTTAACATATTGCCTGTGATACCTCTTTAAATAAGTTTATATATGAGCATGTTTCTATCAATTAAATCAAAAGCTTTTTTCAGATCAATAAAGCAACAATATAAGGGCTCTCTGATAAAGACATGTTTTTCTATCAAGTTATTTAAAATAAATAGATTATCAGATGTTCTACTAAATTTTTCATATGCACCTTGGAGTATGTCCTGTTTATGATTAGATACCGTATGAAATTCGAGTCTATTATGAAGAACACCTTCAAAAAATTTTCCAAGTACTGGTAGTACATTGATTCGTCTAAGTGTATCAGGGTCACTTGTTTTCTTAGTTTTGGGGATTGGAAAAATTAAGCCAAAAGCCCATTGTTCGGGATACTCATTTGTGAAGAATATATTGTTAAATATTTGGGTGATTATATTATTAAGGATAGATTTCGATGATTTGATAAATTCTCCAGGAATACCATCCAAACCAGGGGACTTGTTAATTTTGATATTTTTGATTGCTTCATCAACTTCTTCATTAAGTATTGGAGTATTAAGAATACTAGTTGGATCGTTTGCATACATATTTTCATATTTTTTGTTACTGTCAAAAGTGTTAAGAAAATCAATAATCTTTTCATTGTGCTTATCATTAAAATTATATTGTGTAGGAGGTTTGGCTAATTTGCTGAAGTTTTCAAACATTGCAGATGGAGATGCTCTTATTTTGACACATTCTCTGTTGGATGTTTGGGTTGAGTTTAATAAATTCCAAAAGTGAGTTGGGTTATGATTTAGGCTATATAATAGATCATTGTACATTGTGTTGTGAAAATGGCGCTTGCACTTTTGCTTGTGACTTTTATATTCTTTATGTAGAGCACTTGTTTCTATTCCTGATTTTTCTGCTATGTGAATATTTGATTTCAGGCTCTTACATTTTTCGTCAAACCATTTATTTGCTGGAAATTTGGTGGTTTTATTTGTTAATTTTGTTTTGACAAAAACACCTTCTACTGCAAGTGAGAGTGTTAAACTGAGTTTATCCACTATGTGTTCTATTGGACAATCCTGGTCTTTTAAGTCAAGTGATATTTCATGGAGTATAGAATTACATAATGTTGATTTCAGGTTTGATAGAAAAACTGTCGATTTTGATTCATCCCATTTAAACTTAGTAATGTTAGTATATAAATCTGCTGTACAATTGATATTCGAGTTGCATGAAGTAGACAGTTTTGGAGTCAGTATAGAAAATGAGATAGGACAATGGTCTGATTCTGGTAATTTTGCCTGAATTTTAAAGTTTTGTATGTTCTTGAGAGCCTTTGATGATCCAATTACATAATCTACCACACTAGCACCATTAGGTCTGATGCAGGTATGTTTTCCAATATTTTTGTCTTCACCCACTCTCCCATTGGCTATTTGCATATTTGTGGTCTTACATAATTCTAGTAATTCTTTCCCATTTGTTCTGAGAATTTCTTGATTATTTTTATCCTTTGATGCCCTGTCAGTAAATAATGAAGTGTTATTGAGCATGGGTAGCAAATAACTAAGTTCACTGTCAGACCCAAATACTTCTGTTTCATAATCTGCCTTTATCCCAGTTCTTGCATTAAAATCTCCACATATATATATGTTTGAGGTACTATATTGTGCTATGGCTATTTCAGTCTCTAGAATCTCAAAAAAGTCAAGTGTATTAAAAGAAGATTTCTTATGGGGAATATAAACAGTGGCTAGTAAGATGGGGTCATTATTTGGAATATTAACTTTTATCCATGAGAGAAAATCATATTTTTTGTCTAATACCTCAACATTGTTACAATAAAGATTATCTTCTATCAAAATTCCAATTCCACCTGAGTGTTTCTTATTACCCTTTGATAATTTTGCATGATTAATGAAATGGTACCCTGGTATAAATATGTTATCTTTTGAATTGATCATGGTTTCTTGTAAGAATACAATTTTATGGTTTTTGATTAGATTTTCAAAAATATCTGGGTCAGTCAGTTTATCACTTAGTCTATTAATGTTCCAGCATAATATATCAATGTTCTCATATGGAATTGCAGTTTGTGACGTGTCATTTGAATATTCATTCTTTGAGTCTGTGAGGTTGCAAGGGTATTTTGATTTGTCTGTCATCGCTACCTTAGATTCAATATCTGTTGTATAGTGACCCACTCTGCTTATTGCACTACTTTCCTGTTGATCCAGATAGGGTCCAAGGAGTCCATTCGATTTGTATTACTTCTATCGGAGCATTGCTTTGGTATGTTGATTTCATTGACATTTAGGGTTACGTTGCTAGGGTACAGAGTTTTGAGTACATTTCTTGCTACATGCTGTCGTCCCTTTATATTAAAGTGTAGACCTTGCCTTCCTAATATGCTCTTGTTGTAATCAGTTGTATTTATTCTAATAAAGTGTACATCTTGCTTCTTGCATTCTGATTGGGTTGCTGAATTTATGGCGTCAATCTTTGTGTTTAGCTTGTGTGAGAGTGGTTTGTCTCTCCTATATGGTATTTCTATGACAGCTGTTTTGGTCTTGTTTGCTTTACCAGTTGATTTGAGGGTAGTGATTAGAGATTTCATTTTGGATATGGTAGTAGTTGTATTCTCGACGATGATATTGTTGGTCCCGCATTGGACGACAACAGTGTCAGGTTTCATTTGGCTCACAGTTTGAGGAATAGTTGAGTTGATAAATTCTATGGTTGCTCCTCCATGAACATTCCCAGTGGCAACGATTTTTTGATTTGATTGGCTGTTAATTGCTGCTGATATACCATAGCCGTTACTGGCTGCAATGTATAGCATCTTTGGTGTTCGTCTTGGTGTTGGTTGTACAGATTGTTTATCTTTATTCTCCTGATGTATCAGTTTTGGAAGATCTTTCTGCAGGTCATCAGTTTGCCATTGTGTAGCGCTTTCAGTGGTTTTTGTCTTGGCCTTGAGCTTACTATTAAGATTGTCATTTTTCTTGGTAGTAGATATTACTTCCTTTTTCAGCTTTTCTATTTGTAGTTTTTGCTGTTTGCACATGTTGTTGCTTTTTTCTAGGGAAGCCCTGAGAGAGGTTATTGTTTCCTCTAAAAGGAGGACTCTGGAGGTATCACAGCTAGTTGAGTCTGAGCTAAGATCCATAAAACTGGTTGAAATGTCACTATCTTCCTCTATTACATCAGAGCTCATAGAAGATTTGGCAAGGGAATTGAGTTTTGGCAAAGGGGGTCTCTGCTGTGGTATGGCTAGAGAGGGAGTCTGTTGTGGCGTGGTTGATATGGGGCTCTGTGAGGTGATGGGATTTTGCTCTCCTGGGGTAGAGGTGGGGTTCTGCTCTCCTGGGATAGAGATGGGGTTCTGCTCTCCTGGGGTAGGGATGGGGTTCTGCTCTCCTTGGATAGGGGTAGCGTTCTGCTCTTCTGGGTTAGGGATGGGTTTCTGCTCTCCTGGGGTAGAGATGGGGTTCTCTCCTGGGATAGAGATGGGGTTCTGCTTTCCTGGGGTATAGATGGGGTTCTGCTCTTCTAGGGTAGGGGTGAGGTTTTGCTCTCCTGGGGTAGAGGTTGAGTTCTGCTCTCCTGGGGTAGAGATGGGGTTCTGCTCTCCTGGGGTAGAGATGGGATTCTGTTTTCCTGGGGTAGAGATGGGGTTCTGCTCTCCTAGGGTAGAGATGGGGTTCTGCTCTCCTGGGATAGGGGTGGGGTTATGCTCTTCTGGGGTAGGGATGGGGTTCTGCTCTCCTGGGGTAGAGATGGGGTTCTGCTCTCCTGGGGTAGAGATGCGGTTCTTCTCTCCTGGGGTAGAGATGGGGTTCTGGTTTTCTGGGGTAGAGAGGGGGTTCTGCTCTCCTGGGGTAGGGGTGGGGTTCTGCTCTCCTATGCTAGAGGTGAGGTTCTGCTCTCCTGGGGTAGATATGGGGTTCTGCTCTCCTAGTGTAGGGTTCTGCTCTCCTGGGGTAGGGGTGGGGTTCTGCTCTCCTGGGGTAGGGGTGGGGTTCTGCTCTCCTAGTGTAGGGTTCTGCTCTCCTGGGATAGGGGTGGGGTTCTGCTCTCCTGGGGTAGGATTTGGGGTCTGCTTCTTTCTCAGCTTAGTAGGTTTAACTTGTGAGATCTTTTTCCTTGGAGTTGTTTGGGGCTTTGGTGGTGGTCCTAACAATTCATATATCACACATAGATCTTGGTTTATAAATTCCATGTATCTTGGTCCACTGATTAGTATAGTTCCATTTGAATGAACAGTTATTTTGACCATGGTTTCATTATTTCTCGATCCATCATTAATGATTATGTCTGACCATCCCATGTGAATTTCTCTTTTTATATTAAGGTATGAGAAGCTACTCATGTAGATAACAGTCTGGCGTTCCCATTCTTCTATACGATCTGTATATAGTTGTGCACCCTGTATTTCATCAATCGCTAAAATCCCAGAGTCTCCTATATCACTGTATAAGTTGAGGAAGAAAACTTTTTCTGGATTGTCTTTCATTAGTTGCTTCCTGAGTCTTGAACTTTTTCTTTTCTCTCCTTTGGGTGTTCCGGGGTTGTTTTCCAGGAAAATATAGTCACTATTGAGAGGAACAGATTGAGCATCATCAGTTCTGGTAGGTTGGCTAAGAGTTGCCATTGTGATCAAGTATTGATATCACTCTTAACAGTGTTAAGTGTTTGTTATGATGTGGCTTAATCCTGTTTGGAAACAGGGATGCACTAATCCATTTGCTAATTACCTTCTAGTTGAAAGCCCATGGTTTACTGTAGTATAGATGTCCTCTATTGTTTATTAAATAAGGCTGTTATTTTTTACTCCCTTAAAAGGTCATACTGGAATATTTCCTTTTTGAAACAAATTAAATACTTTCTAATTGATAATTTACCTTCTTGGAGAATCAAAATTGCTTTATTTTCCTGAGTTGTTATTTTCACCTTTATGGGTCTTTTTTCTTGTAAATTTTGATGTTTATTGTCAGTAACTGTTGCAGTTCCAAAATTAGAATTTTTAATCCTTTGTTTAAAAATGCAGATTAAAACATCCAAATATTCTTGATATGGTACTGCAGTTTGTGTATTGTTAATCCAAAACTGTCCTAGTAATGTTTATAGTTAATCCAGAACTATTTATATTGGATATTGTAGTCCAAAAACATACTAAAAACTTGATAATATGTGGAGCCAAAATTTAACTAGTATATAAAGCAGCCATCTTGGATTTTTTTTTTTTTTTTTTTTTTTTCAAATAATATTCAAATAATCTGCATGCTTGATTTAACAACAGAGTACATGGCTACTTTTAGATTCAGTGAAATCGATAACCCCTTTAATTTCATAATTTCAAGTTGGCAGTTGAATGAAAATCTATTAATAACATCATAAGTGATAGCAAGACAGGTGCTTATGCAGGTCAAAATGTCAAACCTTGAAAAACCCTTACAAAAATACATTTTCTTGCAAAATTTTTTTTTATCTGATACTGTACATGATCTTTTGCATTGCGTGAAAAGAATTGTGGACGATTTAATGCACTCATATCTTGTATCATAAACTTTCAATTCAGTCTGCTGCCCTTATTCAGAGTCCTGATACAAGACATATATGTTTTAAATCATCTACAATTCATCAAATCCTGGGCTTAAATCCTTTAATATACAAATATTAATGTCTTTTATTCCATAGGAAGGAAAGCACTAGATTACTTCAAGATCAGGTATGGAATAAATGCAAGTCACTTGATAACTGATGATCAGATTTACAATGGAACAGATGTACCACTCGGAAATTACACATTCTCAACGACATCTCCCTATCAAGAAGAAAGTCCCTATCGATTGATAATTGAGTCAAAGGAAAATAAGGCAAAGTATTATAAAAACCCACCAGAAATAGGAGAAATTGTGTATGCAATAGAAATACACAATGAACTTAACGAAGGAGGGACCTTTAACAAGACACTTTTTCCTGGAGATTTTTTAGCGTATGGAGAGTATCTCATTAAGACACCAAAGCGCTGTTCAATGGATGGTTTAACTGTAATCCATTTTGTCACTGATCCTGTGAAAGTTCATGGAGGGAGTGGGACTCTCACACACCCTGAGTATGGAAAAGGTTCGTTACAAGTGTCATTTGTTACAAATGATGATGGACTTACTGATGTAGCAAATGTTCTTCGTTTTCCAGCCAACCAAAACTTGACAACAGCAACTCCCACCGAACAAAACATGCTTTGATAGATAGTTCAAAAAGAAATTTTTAAGATGGCCACTATTCACAAGCATCATATAAAAAAGTAAATTTTAAATTGTTCATGAGAGACCTATTTATTATAAGAACTAATGATATGAGCATATTTATTGTTTTGTCAAGTCAATTCAAAAATTATCATTAAAACACAAGTATAACACATTCTATGGGTCATTTGGGTTAAATATAGCAGTCATATATTATAACATTATTGAGTTGTGTTTATTTGGGTTGCTTCACTGGTACTAGCCTTGCCCAAGTCGGTATTTTTTACTTATCTGATCTTGAATTATTACCGCCTTGTACAATCCAATACATCTCCGCTGCTATTATGCTGAGATATTCAACGGTTTCGAGATTTCCATAATACCTACGCTATCAGGGGTATCGCGAAACCTTATTGATTAACAGATATACGCGTGGACACGACGTGTGACTTCAGGCTGATTGACCAATCAAAATGTTATCAGGTTGAGCTGCACAGCAAAGCAATCTTCCCGTCCAAGACTTGAAATTCAATCTGATCAATCGTTTCTTTAGAGTTACAATATATTATGTAATTAAATGTACATAGGGAATGTAAGAGTCATTAATATGAATTAAATCATGCAATAGATTTAAAACTGATCTCGCGATGAAAATGCAAAACCTAGTCCAATGTAGCGGGTCATGTAGTCGTCGATCAGTGATTGAATCTCAGCCTACATGTTCATTTGAATTCAGCGATCGTTTCAACGTTTATTGTTGAAATCTTCTAACCTCCGGTTACCGATCGATGTCTAGCATCCACTTAACTCTGATTGATATTTATCTGATAAAATATTTAAAATATATGATGAATTCATGCAAGATTTGTTCGTGAAAAGTCCCGACGAAAAGTGTACTTGTTTTTGACCGTGCATAATAATGAGCTAACGCTGCAGGGCCGTCGTTGGTTGGTCAAATTTTACCGACATAAACATTGAGTCGGTAAAGCACGTGGCTTTCTCTTTTGTACAAGGCGGTAATAATTCAAGATCAGATAAGTAAAAAATACCGACTTGGGCAAGGCTACACTGGTACTCATTACATAAATATAATATAATTTGGTTGCGGATGCCTAGGAAGGAGTTATTTTATTTAGAAGATAATACGATCAAAAGTCTCCGATTTCACTGTAAAACCTGTGTACAGGGAACAATCTGTACTGGCCAAAACTGCTCCTTGTAGTCAGGTGTTCCTAAAAACAGGTATTACTGTGCTTATTTTAAAGTACTGAGTTTATATCAATATTCCAAGTAGCACAGTCTCTTCATTCTGACTCTAAAATACACCTAAATGAAAAAGATGAGACACAATAGACATTGATGCAAACATTCTTTTTGGTAAGCATCTTTTGAAGTTTGAAGTAGTATTGAATTAATAGCGCTTGAGGTACTTATGGTTAAGAGTTAGAGACTGGCCCACTGTACAAAACTTAGCAGTATATGAATGAATGCAAGAAATAAATTGTGTGTAGTGTCACCTAAAAGATAGATTCATTCAGCAAGCAGAAAGAACTAAAAATAAAGAAACAACTATCACACATCACACCACCATCACCAAACAGTGCCAGACTAGTCACTACCCCCACCTCATCGTGCTCGCCAAATGGCTCTGGCGTGTTGGCCATTGATTGGTTAATCTCATCATGCAGATTCAGCCGATTTAGATTCGAATCACTACTACTGGAGGAATCTAGCTGCTGATTGGTGCAAAGAACATACATGTGATGAGTGTTTAATTGTGCGATCTTTCAATTGAAATGTGCTTCAGGATATGCAAAATTAAATTTGATCACAAATGTTGAAGTTTTATTTAATAAAAAATGACAACTTTGCTTTTTACTCTAAGAGCGAGGAGGAAAATTCTTAATAAATGGAGTATAGTTGGTTTGGCAGCATTTTCAGTTAGAGGGAAGTCTTGGATGAAAATTCTACCTAGGTGATAGCTTCACAGAGTGGTACATTATTCTTTTTTTTCAGGGGTTAGCCCCCCACCCCCCAAAAACACCCCACCCCCGGAAAATAATTTTTTCATTCTCAATAATTTTAGATATCTTGATGTTTGTAAGTTACATACATAGACATTATATATATGAATCATTTGCAAAATAAATAATGCCAATCACTTCTACAGAATTTGGAAAATACTACAAAGTATGTACCCCAGGGGGCAAATTCGTGACCCATTTTCTTACTATTTAGAGCCTCACTTTTCAATCAGACACTGGAAGACATTGAAAAATTTCATGTGAAGTGCTCAGTAGCAGGGCTATAAGCCTTAAAAGGTTCAAACTAATTGAATTAGTAGGAGCCGAGAAAAAAATTGTTGATTTTTTGAAAAATTTGACATTTTTGAAAGGGTTGATTTTGTGAATGACTATAGCTGATGCCTATGGTTTCCAGATCTATCCGTCTTTGATGATAAATATGGTTTTGAAGTATGGAACTAAGATGTAAAAAATAATTAAAATGGGTTTTAAGGAAGTTTCATGTTTTAAACAAGTTCAAAATTCCAAGAATTGTACAATATCAGGTCTGAATTTACCAATTTTACGTAAGACCTTGGATGAGCCTTAGATTTTTTACATCTGTCCCCCTTTGATGATATTTATGGTTTTGTAGTATGGAACTAAGATGTACAAAATAATTTAGATAGGTTTTAAGAAGGTTTAAGAATTTTAACAAGTTCAAAATTTGAAGAATTGTACAATATCAGGTCTGAATTTACGAATTTCAGGTAAGACCTTGGATGAGCCATATATTTTTTACATTTGTCCCTCTTTGATGATATGTATGGTTTTGTAGTGTGAAACTAATTAGTAAAAAATAATTAAGATGGATTTGAAGAAAGTTTAAGGATTTTAAATGAGTGCAAAATTTGAAGAATTGTACAATATCAGGTCTGAATTTATGAATATCAGGTATGACCTTGGATGACCCTTATGTCTTTTAAATCCTTCCCTCTTTGATGGTATTTATGGTGTTATAGTGTGGAACTAAGATGTAAAATATAATTTAGATGAATTCTAAGAAGGTTTAAGGATTTTTAAAATTTCAAGAATTGTACAATATCAGGTCTGAATTTACGAATTTCAGGTAAGACCTTGGATGGCTCTTATGTTTTTACATCTGTCACTCTTTGATGATATGCATTGTTTTGTAGTTTGAAACTAAGATGTAAAAATGGTTTAGATGGTTTTGAAGAGTGTTAAGGGATTGCAATGAGTCCAAAATTTGAAGAATTGTACAATATCAGGTCTGAATTTATGAATTTCAGGTATGACCTTGGATGACCCTTATGTCTTTTAAATCCTTCCCTCTTTTATGATATTTATGGTTTTATAGTGTGAAACTAAGATGTAAAATAAAATTTAGATGAATTTTAAGAGATTTAAGGATTTTAACAACTTCCAAATTTGAAAAATTGTACAATATCAGGTCTGAATTTACGAATTTCAGGTAAGACCTTGGATGGCTCTTATGTTTTACATCTGTCACTCTTTGATGATATTTATTGTTTTGTAATGTGGAACTAAGATGTTAAAAATGATTAAGATGGTTTTGAAGAGTGTTAAGGGATTTTAATGAGTCCAAAATTTAAAGAATTATACAATATCAGGTCTGAATTTTCGAATTATAGGTATGACCTTGGACGACTCTTATTTTTCACATCTGTCCCTCTTTAATGACAGTTATAGTTTTATGGTATGGAACTAAGATGTAAAATATAGTTTAGATGAATTTTAAGAAGGTTTAAGGATTCTAACAAGTTCAAAATTTGAAGAATTGTACAATATCAGGTCTGAATTTGCAAATTTTAGGTAAGACCTTGGATGAGCCTTATATTTTTTTACACCTATCCCTCTTTGATGATATGTATGGTTTTGTAGTGTGGAACTAAGATGTAGAAAATAATTTAGATGCATTTTAAGAAGGTTTAAGGATTTTAATTTGAAGAATTGTTCAATATCAGGTCTACAATAAATGAATTTCAGGTATAACCTTGTTTAGCCCATATGATTTTAACACCTATCCCCTTTTCATGATTTGGTTTAGTTGTTTGGAAATATGTATAATTTACATCGATTTTAAAGAAGCTTAACATTTTAAACAAGTTCAAAATCTTGGCGTATTGTATAATATCAGATCTGAAATTAAAGAATTTCAAGTATAATCTTGGTTAGCCCATATGATTTTAACACCTATCCGCTTTCATGATATATTTGGTTTAGTTGTGTGGAAATATGTTTAACATAATTAACATTGATTTTAAAGAAGCTTAAAATTTTAAACAAGTTCAAAATCTTGGCGTATTGTACAATATCAGATCTGAAATTAATGAATTTAAAGTATAACCTTGCTTCGCCCTTATATTTTTAACATCTATCCTTTTTTGATGATAGATATGATTTAGTAGTGTGGAGCTAATATATAAAACATAATCAAGATGGGTTTTAAATAAGTTTAAGGTTTTAAATAAGTTCAAATTTTCACAAATTGTACAATATCAGAGCTGATATTAATGAATTTAAGGTATTATGTTTTTTACATCTATCCCTTTTTGATGGCATATATGCTTTAGTAGTGTTGAACTAAGATGTAAAACAAAATTTAGACAGGTTTAAAGAAGTTTAAGGTTTTAAACAAGTTCAAATTTTGGCGAATTGTACAATATCAGAGCTGATATTAATGAATATTGGGTATTTAGGTGAGCCTTATGTTTTTGTTTTTACATCTATCTCTTTTCGATGACATATATGCTTTAGTAGTGTTCACTGTTGAACTAAGATGTTAAACAAAATTTAGACAGGTTTTAAAGAAGCTTAAGGTTTAAACAATATAAAAAATTGAAGAATTGTATAATAACAGGTCTGGAATTTATTAATTTTAGGTATAACTGTGAATGGCCCTTATTCTTTTTTTTACATATATTTCTCTATGATAACATATATGGTTTTGTAGTATGAAACTAAGATGTAAAACATTATTTAGATGGGTTTTAAGGAGGTTTAAGGTTTTAAACCTGTTCATAACTTGACAAATTGTACAATATCATATCATCTGACATTAACGAATTTCAGGTATGTATCTCTCTATGATGATATATATGGTTTAGTAGTATGGAACTTAGATGTAAAACATAATTCAAATGGGTTTTAAGGAAGTTTAAAGGCAGAATCAGATCTATGGGTGTGACAAAATTACAAGCAACATGTACAATTCATGAACCAATCTATTCCTTACAATCTCAAATACAATATCTCCAAAAAGATTCACGATGTGTTAAGTTTAAAGGCAGAATCAGATCTATGGGTGTGACAAAATTACAAGCAACATGTACAATTCATGTACCAATCTATTCCTTACAATCTCAAATACAATATCTCCAAAAAGATTCACGATGTGTTAAGTTTAAAGGCAGAATCAGATCTATGGGTGTGACAAAATTACAAGCAACATGTACAATTCATGTACCAATCTATTCCTTACAATCTCAAATACAATATCTCCCAAAAGATTCACAATGTGTTAAAAATTGATGAAGTAATAATGGATTCAAAAAGTAAAATTCTCCCAAAATAATAAGAATGGTAACCATTCTTATGGAAAAAATACATTATTGTATCTAAATGTTTAGAGCCAACCAAGGTTATACTTGAAATGTAGTGTTAATTGCCGAATTAATATTGTACAATGCGCCAAGATTTTGAACATGTGAAAATCCTTAAACCTTCTTAAAATCCATCATAAGTGTTTTTTACATCTTTTTTACATCTTAGTTCTACACCTTACATATCTTCAAAGAGGGACAAATGTAAACAATATATGGCTCACCAAAGGTCTTACCTGAAATTCGTAAATTCAGACCGGATATTATACAATTTTTCAAAATTTGAATGATAAAATCCTTAAAGTCCTTTAACATTCTTAAAATTCATCTAAATTATATTTTACATTTTAGTCCGTTACTATAAAAGCATAAATATCATTAAAGAGGGACAGATATAAAAACATAAGGGTCATCCAAGGTCATACCTTAAATTCGTAATTTCAGACCTGATATTGTACAATTCTTCAAATTTTGGACTCATTAAATTCCTTAAACCTTCTTCAACACCATCTAGGTTATTTCTTACATATTAGTTTCACACTACAAAACCATAAATATCATCAAAGAGGGACAGATGGCTCACCAAAGGTCTTACCTGAAATTCGTAAATTCAGACCTGATATTGTACAATTCTTCAAATTTTGAACTTGTTAAAATCCTTAAACCTTCTTAAAAACCATCTAAATTATTTTGTACATTTTAGTTCCACTCTACAAAGCCATAAATATCAGCAAAGGGGGACAGATGTAAAAAATCTAAGGCTCATCCAAGGTCTTACGTAAAATTGGTAAATTCAGACCTGATATTGTACAATTCTTTGAATTTTGAACTTGTTTATACATTAACCTTCCTTAAAACCCATTTTAATTATTTTTTACATCTTAGTTCCATACTTCAAAACCATATTTATCATCAAAGAGGAATAGATTTGGAAACCATAGGCATCAGCTATAGTCATACACAAAATCACCCCTCTCAAAAATGTCAAAATTTTCAAGAAATCAACAATTTTTTTCTCGGCTCCTACTAATTCAATTAGTTTGAACCTTTCAGGGCTTATAGCCCTGCTACTGGGCACTTCACATGAAATTTTTCAATGTCTTCCAGTGTCTGATTGAAAAGTGAGGCTCTAAATAGTAAGAAAATGGGTCACGAATTTGCCCCCTGGGGTACATACTTTGTAGTATTTTCCAAATTCTGTAGGAGTGATTGGCATTATTTATTTTGCAAATGATTCATATATATAATGTCTATGTATGTAACTTAAAAACATCAAGATATCTAAAATTATTGAAGATGAAAAAATTATTTTCTGGGGCGGGGTGTTTTGGGGGGGTGGGGGGCTAACCCCTGAAAAAAAAGAATTATGTACCACTCTGTGAAGCTATCACCTAGGTAGAATTTTCATCCAAGACTTCCCTCTACCTGAAAATGCTGCCAAACCAACTATACTCCATTTATTAAGAATTTCCCTCCTCGCTCTTAGAGTATTTATCATAATTCTCTCACTATGAATGGAGCAGCTGTTTTTCTTGCATTTTCATATACCATAAGCCTGATAGCCTTTTCCAAGCATTTTTCTATATCCCACATAAAAGCTTTCCCACGTAAAAGCTTTCCCACCACATTGATTTCAAGACACGATAACATGCAAATAAGCAAATAATATGTGCAAATAATAATAAACATTTATGAATATGCAAAACATGGACGTGCAAAGAATACGTCAGAGCATGCACTACACTTAATCCTATGGATATTCAATTGTTAACAAGGCGTTAACATGAAAAATGTCACCACCAAATGTTGAATGCCAAAAACCAAATGCCAAACACCATCCACAAAAAGTTGGAGACTATTACAATATGTCACCACTTGTGTGGTGGTGACATATCTATGACCACACTTCAGAATAATATTATCAATTTTGACACATTCTCAGACCGCAAGGTTCCAATATTCAGAATGCAGTGAAACCTGTGAAACACCTCTACAAGTGGAACACTTCTACAAGTGGAACACTTCTACAAGTGGAACACCTCTACAAGTGGAACACCTCCACAAGCGGAACACCTCTGCAAGTAGAACACTTTTCCTTTTTTGTAGCCCTGTGATCATAGGATGTTTTCATAATAAACTTGCTTTTGTAGTAATATAGGTACATGCAAAATAACTATATGAATATAAATATACTGTTGAAGTGTGAGGTGGGTCACTTACTTGTGGAGTTTGCTGCGCAGGTCTGCCAGGAGAGAGAGCATCTTCCAAATCACTGTCATACTCAGAGCTCTGAAAAATATAATCATATGTGTTGGGTTTTGTAGAATTGGTACAATTTGGATAAGGCATGATACAATGATAAATGGGCAATTGATACTATGATAGGGTAAAGGGCCATAGGTGTAGGACAATTGGTACAATGATATGATATAAGACATGATTTGTACAATGATAGGGTATCTGACAATTGGTAATGATAGGGTATAGGGCAATTTGTACAATGATAGGGTATCTGACAATTGGTAATAATAGGGTATAGGGCAATTTGTACAATGATAGGGTATCTGGCAATTGGTAATGATATGGTAAAAAGCAATTTGTACAATGATATTATTGGTGTAGGCCAATTGGTACAATGATATGATATATAATAATTAATGGTACAATGATAGGCTATCTGACATTTGATACAATGATATGGTAAAGAGCAATTTGAACGATGATATTATTGGTATAGGCCAATTGGTACAATGATGTGATATAGGATAATTAATGGTACAATGATAGGCTATCTGACAGTTGATACAATTGCCAGTTGACAAATGACAGTTGATATAATTGCCCCGCATCACTGCATTTCCAACAAAATCAGAGCAAACATAGCATAAAAGTGTTGTGCTTAACGTAACAGTTAAAAAATGCTTCAATTATCTTTACTGATGTTACAATCTCATATAATATTAGAATGAGGTTTAAAAGAAGAACATAGTGCTGATTAGAAAAAGACATTAGCATTATTGGTATAGCTGAAAAGAAAGTCAAAATGTGAATAATTAGGAAATACAAATGCCACAAATATAGAGTGATTATTTCTGGAAAGGATAGAAAAGTAGTTAATTAGGAATAACAGAGTGTAAGAAATATGTGACATCAAAGGTTAAAACAGTAATGTGACATCAAGGGTTAAAACAGTAATGTGACATCAACAGTTACTGCGGTGATGTCACATGTGACATCAAAGATAATGAAAGTGCCATATACTGGTAATGGGAGGTTAGAATAAAAGGTGAAGTCAAACAGTAAAAGTGACATATTTGAGTATGATAGTGACATCAAAAAGTATAACTGTGACAACAAAGATGGTTAGTACACAGATTTAGTAGAATACAGTGCACTAGCTGGACTGAACAATTATAGTTTTCAAAACAGTACCTTTCCCAGAATTCCTGGGGTATCTCGTAGATTAGAACTACGATCAAACTCGCTTTCTCCCTGAGAATCCTAGATAACAAAAAAATGACATGCAAACTATAAGTGCCTTTATATAAGTACCAGAAAAAAGTACTTTAGTGCTAAAATATTCAATATTATACATGTTCTGTCAAGTGTCAAAAATCTTCTAAAAAATAATATATTATTAAAATTGAAATCCTTTAACATCTCAAAATCAGCAAACATTCATAATATAGAAAATTACAGTGTGCAATATAAGCATTAATATATCATTGCATGTAAAAAAGTATGACTCATAAAATAAACGCAGTCTATGTCAAGGAAGACCTGTTATGTCAAACAATATTTTTAGTTCACACACTACCTACAAGTGAATATTTAGTAATTCTATTTACTTGTATATTAGTATGCATGCATATACATTGTGCATGTGTAAGAGACATTCTGTGGTACAGAAATGGCAGACAAAAGTTGTTATGAAGATTTGTAGAGCAAGCTTTTCACTCCAGAGAAACAAAAGTTTTCACTTTAAACTAACAAGCAATCACTCAGCAGAAAAAGATCTTCAGTTGATGAATATTAGAGATGGTACTCAACAACAGTTATAAGAGAGTCTGCAAACTTATGTAGTTGTGAAGGACTATATAAGACTGCAGTTTGTTGATGAGGACTATCTTTGACTGCGGATTTATATTGTGATAGACTACATTTGACTGCATTGACTGAATTGTTATGGAGGATTTCCATTGACTGCAGTTTAGTGTCGTGAAGGACTTCAATTGACTGCAGTTTATGTTGTGATGGACTACATTTGACTGCAGTTTGGTATCGTGAAGTACTTTAACCAACTACAATTTAGTGTTTTGAGATATAACACTGTTATAGAACAGATACACAGATTCAGAGTATAGTGAATAAAGAGCAAAACCTACAAACAAGTGAGCACAAAGAAGATACATAAGAAGGTACATATGCACAGGGGTAGGCCTAAACATGTGACCTGCTATAACAAGCACACATTGAAAGAAACACTCTGATCACAAGATTTTAGCATTAATTTTTAATCCAATGTTCTAATGAAAAAATAATTCAACTTTGATGGGATTTGAACCCAAGACCTTTAGGTCTCTAGACTGTTGCTCTCTCAGCTCTCAGTGTACTCATCCTAGCTATTTCAAAGTGAACAAAAGTTTCAGTGATCAGTAGGTATGTCTAACTTTCTTGTGAACTACCCCAGTGCATGAATGTGAAAAATTCTGATATCCATATGCACACAATTACGATATGTTGCACTTAATTATAACACATGTGCACACATTTATAACATATACCTCTTGTTGGGATGTATAACCAGATTGTGATACATCTCCAGTTTGGTATGATATTGCATCACTCTGGTGTGAAATGAAATCACTTTGATGTGAGCTGATGTCACCTTTGTGTGATATATCATCACTTTCATGTGATAAAACATCACTTTCACGTGAAATTACATCACTTTCAGGTGAGATTACATCACTTTTATGTGAAATTGCATCACTTTTCCCAGATACCGCGTCACTTTGCTGGGACGCTACGTCACCAAAATGTGACGCAGGAAGTGACGGAGGATGTGATGAGAATTCTCCGTCAGCACCATCTTCAGAATCCCAATCTGAGTTAGACTACAAAAACATACAACCTGCGACATCACATTTCAAGATATACTCATTAAAACATATAGCCAAGTAACAAATAAAAATCAAGCAAATCAAATTAATGTGACGCAAAAATTGTGCATTTTTCAAACCAACTAATCTTCTGAAGTGAATTGCAAGCAAAATGGTGCGTGACTGTATCAAAAAATTAATACTCAAGGACAAATTATACAAATTAGAAAGCTACATAAATGTGATGCAAAAAATTGTTTTCAGGTATTCAAACATGACTTTAAACTTGTAGACCATTCGTTATTTTACGTTACAGTAAAACTGCTACATGTGAACACCTCTAAAGAAGCGTTATTTATTTTATTCAATTTTGAACATTGACTCCCAATTTTGGAAAACTAAAGAGCAATGTGAATAGTACAATGGATATATGTGTATCATGATACATTGAATTAAATCTATAGATATCAAGGTGTTCACATATTGACATGTTCTTCTATAGCATGTATTAGGGGTCATCTCAAGTTTTACACAAAATTCTACACATTTTCCATTATGTTCACATTGTGAAGTTCACCATGGAGTTCAATCTTTTTCTCAAAGCCAAGGGTACCATAAACATGATTTTTAACTTTTACAACCCACACACTAAAGACATAATTACATGTAGAACTCAGTGTGAAACATATGAGATGGTCCCTTATCTGAATTGAGACAGAGCTTTATTCGGACCTGGTCATTCTCGCTGCCTTGCAGAAGCTTCTGTTGCGCTGATGCCACGGCCTCGACATCACTGTCAAACTCTGACACCTGGGCACATGCAAACACAAATAAGAAATAAATAAATGAAATAATAAATAAAACAATGATTTCATGCAAATTAAAGACAATGTGAGTAATCAGATAAAGAATATGAAAAGTAAAGTTAGTGTTCATTTATCAAAAGAAATAAATTGTAATGGATCGAATTATGCCATGCTCTATTGAACTTGAAGAAATGATGCAGATAACATAATGATCATAGAGGGTTTGGAACTATTCATTTTCATTGAAATGCTTTAATATAATATCCCAAAATGTCGCATAATTTATGGATATGCTAAAATGTTATCTTATAAGCAAAATTAGTCTATATTAAAAATTATGGATTAAAAGTGCTCCCATTTATTTAAAAACATGCTGTCTGTACACACATTTTATAAACATTTTAGGCCATTTTAGGTAATATACAAACTCATACTCTAACACACATTACATAAACATTTGTATCTCAAACACAAAAACTTGTCGCGTTACACTTTAAAACATATAATGTGTGGGTTTACATTGATAAACACATCAGAACTATAAATGTGAATATGTTACAAAGGCAAATACATATACTTCATATATTTCAACACTACCAAACACAAAATGCAAACTATGATACAAATAAAAGATAAATAAATAAATATCTGACTTCTACTGCATAATGTTTAAATCTGACATCTAATCTAATCTGACTACAGTTGAATCGTGCTTATCATGAAAATTAATTTTTGGATGATAAAACAATATTTTCAAATTTTGGGGCCTTAAGCGACACAATGGTATCTTATTACATTAACATTTAAAATGTCTACTTTCACACATGCAAGCTATGAGAAAACACCATCTACGGTAAGTTACTCCAAATCACTGCAGGCTGCACTGTTGGTTGAAAACATGCAAAATAAACACATATACCTATCTATAAAATGCAAACAACAAAATGCAATCAACAAAATATATTGTGCAGTGTCCAAACTTGGATCTCTCACCTGACCAGATTCATCATGATGAGGGGTGGAAGCATGGTCAGATTGAGGGGAGGAGGCTCGTTTAGAGCGCTCTGATTGGTCAACTGACTGGTTGCTATGGTGACTAGGCTGTTCCATAGTAGCTTGTTCCCCTCCACTGTCAAATTCTGATTCCTGTAGCCCATTTATCAAATGCAGTTAGTATTAGTTATTTAGTATTATTTCATTTCACCCATCCTGGCTCTAATGACACGATGCACATTTGCAAAATTTTTTGCCATATTAGGGACATTCAACCATGAGAAAGATGTTTATGTTATGACACTAACATGTCCCGAAATTCAGAATAAACACCACCTTGCAGCTGCTCTATATATCTGTGTCAATAATGGTGAAATTTAATATTGTTAGACCATGTACCACCAGCATATAAGCAATTTCATGATTTTAGTGCCCATGCACCCAAAACAGACATCTCATCTTCACACGTTCAGGTTTCCCTCCATTCATCATACAATTGAAGATGGTTTTAAAATGCAGTATGGAGATTGCCACGCACAACATGCGTCATAATGCAATGTCTTAGCCAAGTAATATTTACCAGGTACATATGCCAGGGACGATACTGGCTTTTATAGCCTTTAAAGAATCCCTAGGAAAGAATGTATTATAAATCAGTAACAATGACATCACAGAGTTGAGTTTACAAACTAACATATTAAACATGGAAAGCTGATTTGGGTGGAATATGGTTACACTGTGGGATTTTAGGGCTTCTAGTGAATAAAAACCTAGTTAAGTAAACAACAGTAATCAAACTTTTAAAATAGTTCCAAAATAATTAACAATTTCATCATTCATCTTATGAGAAAACAATCACACAATACAGTAGTTTTGATACACTTCACTTTGAGATTATTTTCCCATAATGCAATAGATATAGCAGATGTACTACTGGATATACTGACCTCCTGTACAGCAGGCTGACGCTTCCCAGCAGCAGCTGCTCCTGAGGTATTCTGAAATGTGGGAATAGATACACTGATTATCTCTTGTTTCTTATAATAAGATAATAATCCAGAAAGAAAAAAAGCTCATAATACTCAAAATCTAAAAATGACCATGTAGTAAGCCCCGATTTTTGCCCAGTCTTTTATCAACTGACCAAACAATTAAATCGTTAGGACCTACTTGGAATTTCATATAACTACTTACTTTATTTGTGAATGACGCTGTATATTTATTGTGTGGGGTGCTAGGTTCTGACCAATCACTGTCGCTGCGGCCTTTACGTCCAGGGGAAGGAGATTCATCACTGTCGTCTGATAGGTCACTAAGACCAAGCTCTGCTAGGACAGCTAAAATGGACAAATTGTGAAATAGAAATGATGTCAAAAGGAAAGAAGCAGCTAAAAGGAGACAATCAGATAGATTCAATATTTTTCTGGATACATATAGAACATGGTATTATTTCAGTTAAGTTCAAAATACAGATAGATGACAACCAGCAACTTTGGTGATCTTCAACTGCAAAATCAACTCTAAATGATTAAATAAACACGCACCTCTTTACAGAATGATGATTTCTGAAAATGATTGTCATGGTTACCTTTTTGTTTATCCTTGTTGAGCTTACTGCCTTTGTCACTCTTAGTAGTACTACTGGCAAGAGGTAGGTCAGAATCATTGAATCTGTCTCCAGATGGCACCTTCAAAAAAACAGAAAATAACTGAACAAGGCACAGAAATAATTTCATTGGGGATGAAGTCTAAATGTCAACAGTTGCGGAAAAATTAAGTTAATTTGAATAGAATGGAGGAAAATATGACAACTTCAAAAGTAAACAATGCATTAACATGCAAAATTTCACTACCTGCCATTTGTTACAGACACTGAACATAAACCACTGAGCGCTGAGAACAACAAAAAGGTTGGAGTTAACAATGATATGTCACCACTTGTAGTGACGTAAAAATGTTAATTTTTTGAAAAAATCAAATGAAAGACATATCAATATTTTGGAATTTGTAATATGCTGATGCTGCTTGTATGCTGATCATTAATGTAATCCAGAGAATTGTGGTATACCTTGGACTGAGGCATCTTAAGAGAGGCTAAATTGCCTTCCTTGCGGCCACTAGGTAGTGGAGAATCATCCCATGAATCACTTTCCTCATCATCACTTATTTGTTTTGTCGCCTTTTTAGGCACGGCTAATTTCTGTTTTTGAGGAACTGGGGACATTTCAGAGTCATCGTCCCAAGAATCAGCAGCTTTTTGTATTTTCTGTTTTTGTTGGGCACTAGTTTGTTTTGACTTTTCCGGAACTTTGATAGCAGGATTTTGCTTTTTTACAGTCATGGTGACATCATTATCTTCTGCCTCCGAGTCGCTACTATCCCAGGAGATTCCCATATCAGATGTCTTTGTAGAGTTCACGTAGGAATTGGATCCAGGTTTGCCCACAGGTTGGGGTAATTTTGATCTGCTTTGTACGCTAGCATTTGAGTCAGTTCTATTGATATTATTTGCATTGTTTTGTTTTTTGGTGGGATCGTAGCGAGGGATTTTGGATTTTGAGCCACGAGCTTCTCCATTCCTGTCAAAATTGGCATCTAAAAATATAAATCAAATAATTTATAATCTTAACAATTAAAACAATGTTTAAATTGAATCAAGCATACAAGAAATGAGGGACAAGGCATCAACATGCAAGATACCACCAGCCATTTGTTACAGACACAAAATGCCAACTACCAAATGTCAACACAAAAAAGTTGGAGACTATAACAATATGTCACTACTTCTGATAGTGACAAAAAAATCAAACATTTCATTCAGTAAATACTGACAAGACAGTCAATCCAGAAAAACAATTGTCAGAAATACGACTTATACATCTTCTGATCATCCAAAGTGTATTGCACCAAAAATTAATATAATTATGAGCTATGTGTAAATCGTGCTAGAATGTACTTAAAATACTCAAATGAACGCGACAACTTCATTATTATTCCCAGCATGCCAAAAGAATTGCGAGATAATCAAGGCCACTCAACTGAACTTACCTTTTTTGGGTGGTGGGGAATCTTCCTCGTCATCAGACGGCTTGAGGAGTTTCGACAAGTTCAGTTTAGGTAATGATGCCTGAAATTAAAAATCATTGTGATTAGAACTATATATATGTATGCAATATTTTCATTCAATTTTGTACTTTGAAGACGTTACAATACTACTAGTGAAAAATATAGCTTTTGATTCTAATTCCATTTATCAAAAACAAGACACAATTCCATTCCATGTAATTATTTTTTTACACTAATATTATGGATTTATTTTATTTTATTTCACCATAGTTATATTTTATACTTCTGGATATCTATCTGATCTTTATTTTACAAAATTCTAAACCTGCAAATAAAAAACATCAACTCAAGCGAATGACAACAGAAAATGGCGAAATCATCAGTGAGATGAATAAATGCAACATAATTATTGAAACATTGGTATTTGAAGACTTATATAGTGGCGAACCTCTTTGGGTGTTAAAGCATCATGTTTTATAGGTTTTAGTGAGACGCTGCATGTGGGACATTGAATCGGAGAATATGGAGCTTTACGCTCTAACACATACTCCCGATGCTGAAAGGAGTTGATCATTTTAGCATCATGCATAAATGCTTTCAAACATTGGTAACAAATGCACATAATCCCAAAATCATTCCATGAAGGTAACATATTCTAACTAACCCGAATTCTGAGCATATATAGTTTGATTTTGGATTATGTGCAATCAATGTTTCTTTTGTGAATATATTTGAATAAACTGAAATAACTATTATATAACACAATAGATTTATGTCATCCTCCGAACACAGGCCTCCAGAACTCGTACCTCCTTCTTCCATTGATAGAAGGAAGGAACTTAGTGGATGATGTCTGGAACTCTGCGTTCGGAGGATGGATTTATGTAAGAACAACAACAATTCTAACAATATAACAGTGATAAAGCAGTGATCCGTGTGTCCAGTGCAGTAACAAACCTCTCCATGGACTTCATCATCTTCAGTCTGATCATCATCATTTTTGGCACTATTGACCTCCTTTGTATCATTTTGGTTTCCAGTTTTCTCACTATCCTCATCTTTGACATTACTGATCTCGCTGGTTTCTATACCCCTCTGGTTTCCACTCTTTGCATTGTCATTGTCTTTGATTGTATCATCTTTTTTCTGGTTCTTAGCACCATCTTCATCAACTTCACCATCTTTGAGATTATTATCATCATCTGTCCCGCTTCCTTTTGCTTCACCATCTTTGAGGTTATCATCAACTGTTCCACTTCCTTTTCCTGTTGATTCAATGGTTTCTTGATCTTCCATCAGGGCATCAACATGGATGACAGCATTTACTTCTTGTTTATTCACAACAATTTCACTGTCACTTGACGTATTCTCTGCATTATCAACAATATGAACAGTTGATTCAGGACCTTTAACTCCAACATTCTCAGCATTAACATTTGAGCTGTCATCTACATCAGCATCATGGTTCTTGGTATTATTTATTTGTTCAACACCTTTTTCCTGGTCTGACAACTTTGACTTTGAAGTACCTGGTTGATTTCTTTCTATTTCCACATCACCGTCTGGCCTGGTAAGCTTTAAATTTGGAAATGTGGTAAATGATAACAATAAAATTCGATATTGTCAAAGGATAACAATAACATTTGAGATTGGCAAAGGATAACAGCGATGGAATACATAAAACAAAAAGACAACAATTAAAATGACAAATGATAACAGCAAAATTTGAAATTGGCAAAAGATAACAATGAAATCTAAAATAGGCAATGGATAACAGCAAAATTCAAAATTGGCAAAGAATAACAGCAAAAGTCGATGTTGGCGAGGTATAATAATATAAAAGAGATTGGAAAAGAATACTATCAAATGAAATGCACAAAAAGGCAAAGGACAACAATAAAATCAGTAAGATTTTCATTGGAAATTACTGAATTTCATGTTGAGTTCCCCAAATGATAACAATTCCAGAGCACTATGCAATATCGAAGCTTGAAGCTCTTATCCTGAAAAGGCTTAATAGTTACAGACTTGTGCAGCAACATAGTGCATTATACCCCTTTAATTTCATGGATGTTAAACACTTAATGAGCATTTTCAAAACTGAGCGGAAATTCCATTTTGCGGAAGACAGGTTTCCTTCCATTGGGCATAATGTTAAAAATGTTATACTTCCCTGTAATATTAATTTCACTCATTAAGTTCAACAATTAAAAAAGTGATATAAAAACATTGAATGTTCCCAGGAAATTGTACAATAAAATGATGATATCAGTAAAGGATATACATTACAACCATAATATTCAATGAGATCTGTACAATATTCTCAAACAGTCAATCACACAAAGGAGGTGCTACTGTCAATCCCATGAACATAAAGATCAGAGTATCATGGGATTAACAAACTTGTGCTATGAAAGTAGTGTATGACGAGACAACTTCACACAAGTTTACCGTTTCCTCTTTTACATTCTCCTTTGGCTCCTAATTTTAGAAAAAGATTCAGTAATTGAGAAGCAAGGTTATTGAAACACAAAATTTTTTGATACACAAAAAAGCAGAAACTGAAATTAAACCCAGGTGATGTGAACACCTCTTTTAGGTGCATATTTTCGAATAAATGGTTTCTGTTATAAAAAAATTGTAGTTATTCAGAAAGAAGTTTCTATACAAAAATGTTATACAACTAATATTATAATTGGTTATTATAAACAAACATGCATATCAAATTAATATACGAGGGGTGATCAATAAGTAATGGACGCTTTTTTACATAAATGCTTTTTATAGACCAATCTCTTTAATTTTTTCACCAGTGATACATCATTCAATTTTCTATCAACTCTGAAGATTTGGAGACAAAGCATGTAACATATTTTGATATATCTTTATTTCTGTGAAGGAGGTATAGGTACCCTGGGACCGACATAACGTCACACATTCTGAAGCTATTTAGCTCATTTAACGTGCAATGCAGTTTAATTCAAGTTGAACAAAACGAACCATGATGGTTATGAATTCCACCATTTCGATACGCCATAATTGATTTTGAATATTTTGTCATCACTTTGTGGCATTCATGCCACCTTCATTTTACAGGGCCCTCTACAAAAGTTCCATTTAGTGCTACACACTCCTCATTAGCCTCATTAACCCAAAATTGAAAGACAAGGCCGAATCCATTCTCATGACACGGTAGCAAGCTGCAGTTCCACAGCCGGTTTTATTTCATCAATGTCATAAAACCTGCATCCTTTCTCTACAGAAATAAGTAGAATTTGGCCAGATCTGGACTAAAGGCTGCATGGGCCAAGGGCTTCATGTTCAGGTCCAGAGATATTGTATCCTGCACAGTTTGAGATATTTGAGCAGGGGCATTGTTCACATGGAGTACGGTGTTACCTCCTCTCCTCTGACTAACCCTTTCTTCCTCAGTACATTCTCAAATCAACCTGCAAACCCTAACTATACAACACTTTGACATCACAATACAATAATCTTTTATGTGTTACCACAGGCAGCATGATATTCAAACAACACAACTCTTTTGGCATATCAAAAAGTTCAAATCTAACTGATATGCCAAATTGGCATTACTTCAGAATATGTGACATAAATGTCGGTCCCGGGGTACCTGTACCCCCTCCACGAAAATAAAGATGTATCAACACGTATTACATATCTTGTATTCAAATCTTCAGAGTTAATAGAAAATTGAATGATGTATTACTGGTGAAAAAATCAAAGAGATTGGTCCATAAAAAGCATCCGTGTAAAAAAGCGTCCATTACTTATTGATCACCCCTCGTATTATTGCATCAATAAATCAATACATTCACGAACTATAAACAAAGCTGGTTAGCAAGATGTTATAATCACAAACTTATGGTTTAAGCTAAAAGTACACATATATTATGCATCTTGCCCAGCTCAGAGCTAAAATATGTTACTATATCCAGATTAAAACATTCATCTTGACAGGCATGCAATATGAAGATATAACTGAAATCAAGGGGATTTTAAAAATTTGGAAAAGCCGTCTGCAAATAAAGGTGTATTATGGGTAATTTTTACCTGAGGTTTGTGTTTTTCAGCTATGGAGTCCTCTGCCTCTGTATCGCTCCAGTTAGACCCTGCATTCTGCTCAGATATCCGACTTTCAGTGTTGTCATCAGAATAGTCACCTAGTAACAACAGTGTGACATCAGAGACACAGAAAACTATGATTATCAGGGGTCCATTTTGGTATGATCGTAACTTATGATGCCTAGAGAGCTGTTGTCTATTGCAATATGAAGACATATCCAAAAATGGACCTCAGAAGCAGTGTAAGGAACCATTTGCTATGAATCATCAAATGAAATGAATACAACTTTATGATCACATGTTCTGAGAAGAATAAATAATTTGAAAGGTTTGAACATGAATTTGGCTTGGCTTGTTGCTTGACTGGGATTGACTTATGGCTTGAGCTACCCCTTTGAACATCATTGGATCCTCTCTTAAGAGTTAGACAAAATGTTTACTATTGAAAAAGAAGTTCGAGTTAATTTTCTTATCTCCATGTAAAGTACCTGTACCACCAGTGTCCATTGCTGGAATACCATATCCCCCTAAGGCAGGCTTGGCTTGTTGTTTGACTGGGGTAGACTTATGGCTGGAGCTACCCCCCTGACCTGCGCTGTGACTAGGAGACTTGTGATTATGCACCTGGAGAAATAAAAATACATCTAGTGTAACAAGCATACAATCTACCCTTGAATGAAATCTGTGTACATTTATGTCCCTCCTCATACAAATTTCTAAAACAAATAAACGAGGGGGCAGACACTTCGAGAAGACGACATAAAATTTCATTATTTCTAAACCCTATTCCAACAAGGAATGGCTAAATAGTTGGATCTGTGATATACAGATGTTGTTTGGAAAGTTTACCTTAAAATCTTGAAGCAGCTCTGAACAGGAGCTATTACCCTGCATAACAGCATGATCTTCAGCAGTCCAACCTGAAATTCAATTACGGTTAATCTTTTTCAATTCATTTTATAGGTTTTATTATGGTGAATTAATTTAATCAAATAGCAACATAACAAACATTTTGTCAATGTCAGTGTTTCTGCGTTTCAGGATTAAGAATATTCAATGTTTTGTGTACAATTCATTCACTCAAACTGAATTTTGGACAAAAACTATACTTTTTGTATTTAGCCAAAATAAGTACTTGTGCTGTATTCATGCACATAACACGAAAAACACAGGAAAAATGCCTGTTATCCTACATCTACGGGTGTACTGTATTCTGATATGATCTACTGAATCACAGAAGGGTAATACAGTTAAAATAGTCTGATATGACTGTTTTAAAGTGTTTGGATTAGCAGGTATTCACATTTCAAGGTTTCTTATTATGTAAATCAATAAGAGATAATAAAATCGGAACCAAGAAAAAGTGTTCACATCAAAGGATGCTTGGATGAGAGAGGTGTTTGGATATACCGGTTTTACTGTAAAACATTATAATCTTTCGACTTTGCATTATACAATGTCAAAATTCATTGTTATACCTTTCTTGTCTTTTACTCCAATGTCCACCTTGAACTTCAACAACATTTTGATGAGGTTCACATCATTGTTTCTGCATGCTAACATCAAAGGTGTTCTGCAGAAAAAATAAATATATTCCAAATTGGAAACATTATCTATGCTACTTAGTTGCAACAAGCACAATGCCTTTGGCAAGCCATTTTCAAAAAGAGCTCTTAATGAAATAGTAACAAGCATATTTAAAATGAAATAAGTTGACAGTCCAAATCATTGTTTGAAAAACAAAACCAATCCAAACCAGATTATCCATGATAATTTTGTTTCATTGATTCTGGTTTGTTTTCGAACAGAATTGATTAGAATGTACAAACCTCCCTTCATCCACAGTTTCTCGAATATTAGGGTCTGCGTCACTCTGGAGCAAAAGTCTAGCTATCCCCACTTGGTTTTCTTCTGCACACACATGAAGGGCAGTCAGTCCATTCTGAAAGAACAGACAAAATGGATGATATAGTATGAGTCTTGTGATCCATGTATCACTGATTTGGTGTGGTTTCAGTTCAGGTATTTCTCATGCAAATTATTAATTAGGTCACATTTATAACACACAAAATCATAAATAAGGAAAAGAAATGGATAGTCTAGGACTTAAATCAATACTGGAGTGTATAATACTTTTTTTAACATGGACCGAGACAGTAAATGAAAAAACACCTGGAAATTTAAACAGATGTTTTCTGTTATGATTTACAAATACAGCAAAATGCAGTGTACTCTTAGATGGAAAGAACAAGGTATTATAAACGTGCAAAATGTCACCACCTGCCATTTGTTACAGAAGCAAAATGTCAAACGCAAAACACCACACACAAAAAAATTGGAGACATACTTTGTTCTGGATATCTGGGTCAATGCTGTAATCAATAAGGAGTCTTGCGAGAGTCTCGTTGCCAGACCTGGCCGTATAGTGGAGCCCTGTCTCCCCCTGGAGATCCTGTACATTGACATCTGCCTTGTACTCCATTAAGGCCCTGGCACAAGCCTCTTGGTCACATTCTATAGCCTGAAAGTGAACATTGTATCAGTTGATGCATGTTTTATTTAGATGTTATAAGATTTTCTTTTTTTGTGACTTACACATGACACATGATATTTCTTATGAGATTGACTGTATTTTCATGACTCATTGTCAAAATCTCTTGGAGTCGGTAATCAGTTTTTTCCAAAACATGACATATAACCCGCATTTCCCAAATATGAAATAAACACTCGGTCAAGGACCAGAACAGATGTGATGCACAGATTGTTTAAGATAATAAAGTATCTTATAGAAAAGAATGTCAAAATGAGAGGCAGAGGGTTTATCTACATTGTACAAAGAAATTAATTTTGTTTTTACAAGCAATGATTTTTGACATGACATCAAATTAATGATAAACAAAAAGATCTCCGAGCTGTAATTTAATAACAGAACATAGTTTCTTATTTGAGCAATAACGAAATATGTGCCATAAATATTTAATGAATGAATAATTAACGCCAATACACAATATAGGTCTTCTTCTACATAAGAAAAGCATTCATATGGGTCTTATTAATTATTCATGTATACTATTAATGAAAAATAATCTAACTCTGCTAGTGTATGTAGTTAAACAACAGAGTGGTTCTATTATCACTCTTTGATGTAAGACAAGAGGCCTCAAATTTAGGATCTTGTCAATGTTTTGATTGGTGTCCCAAAATGTAACCAATTTCAAGACAGACTTAACGCCATTTGCATCAAAAAGAGAAATTGGTCTTGTATTGATTTTCTTGATTCAAAAGTTGCTCCCTGAAAAAACTGATGTACACGCATTAAATGTAACATTGAGCTTTCCATCCCTCCCTAAAAAAAAGAACAAGCTGACAAACAACAATTTAAGGACCTTTCATTTGACCCCCCATTTGGTGCCTTTGCCTATGTATAATACAACTGAAAGGGCTTTGTCTCTTGGAGAACTAAGAGTTAAATTATTGTACCTACCTTCAACAGAGGTGTTTTGCCTTCATTATCACCTTGGCCAGTCTTGGCTCGCCATGTACTTATCAAAGCCTCTATCACCTCACTGTGGCCACGGGTACTCGCAAAGTGCAAGGCTGTCCTGAAACATAAAACAGATGTTGAGAGGATGGGACATTCCATTGAGTACTTGATAATCTAAAGAGTGTCAACATCAGATTGGAAACTAGGCCTAAACTAGTTTTTTGTCGAGAAGGAAAGAAGGCAATTTCCAGACAGGAAAGGAAATGGTAGACATGCATCTCACTTCATCAAAAATAATCCCCAAATCTTAAAAACAAAGAAGTTTCACCTACTTTCTTTGATTTCATATTTTCAAACATTCAATTAATAGAAATATATACAAAAGAAAAACTGTTGCAGATCTAAAAACATCTTCTTCCAGTTTTACAACTTCGTTTGCAATGCAAGATGGCATGTAATACTCCATTTACGGCACAATAGAGGCTACAGATGAGTTTATCACCTTCAAGCCTAATTTTTTTTTAAATTAAAGAGGCTCTATGCCATAGGATAGCATAGGACAAATATAGGATAGCACAATCAAGACCCCTCTGGACTTTTTTGCATCTTGAGTTTCACCACATAATTATGTACCCATCTACTTATCAAAGAAGACCCAAATCCCCCTCTTTCAGTGCTTTAATTTTTCGATTGTGCTGGCCGATCTAATTATTTTTGAAGAAATTAATTCAATCTGAAGTTTGAATATACCGGGAAAGTCCTCCTGTTATCTGATTGGTCGTTAACTTGTTTACCATAAACCTGATTGGCTGCCTGGTTCAAGGTGTTTGTAGGCGTTTGTGTGATTCAATGGGGATTCCCCTCGCTAGACGAGGAATCTTTTGTGTTTAATTCTGGAGTTTGGCTGTTCTGTTGATTATTTCCGATATTTCGGCAATAATATACCCAAAAGTTATTCTCAAGATATATCCATGGTTTGCGAGATATTATATGAGCAATAACAATAGGACATCATTGATTGTCTGGGGGAGAAATCTATGGCATAATGCATCTTTAAGCCTAATGGAATATTTAGCAATAAATCTAAACTGCTGAGAGGACACATTAATGCAATTCTTTGAAAATAGCTGTGGTGGTCTTGACACTAGATAGTCACTACAAGACAAATACTAATGCCTCATACAAGGCTAAATCCCGGGGGCTATAATAATATGGCAACTTATGATACCCATGCAACCCTTATTTTAGTGATTATAACTCGGATCGTCCTATGCTATGGTATTTCAATGGAGAAAAATTGGTGTCAGAAAGGGCATTAAGTTTTCGATTTAATTGTATCTATGTATGCATACCTATGTAATTTATCTGTAATATTAGGATCCTTCTTTGCAAATTGATGTATTTTTGTGACATCTCCAGACCAAGCTGCCTTGTGAAGTTTGTTCAAATCTTTTTCTCTGACCTCATATCCTAGACTCTTGTTGAGAGATCCAGACGAAGCGTTTAGCTCCTGAGAAGTATTCTTCTTTCCTTTACCGAATTTGAATAGTTTCTTCATCGTGACTTACATCAATATTCTTTTATTGTGAGATTAATAAACATTTTTGATTTTTTTTCTTGAAAATTGTTTTCGTTGGAGAAGGTCGTACACCACAGTTCAAATTTCAAAACGCAGAACACATTACAAATATTTTATAGTCAGCAACTATGCTATTTTTCGGCGATTTATGTATTCAAGAACGAATGTAAGAATATACCTAAGAACTAAATAATGTTTTTCCATTTTTAGGAAATAATGCTTCAGAAAAATATGGGAAAATTAATCGGAATGTGAAAAAACTGTGATGCTAGTGCCGCTATCAACCGGAAGTAGAAAAACTTGCACATTTTTATGTTTTTCACTAAATTACTGAAAATGAACCTTTTCACACACAATATGTTAACTTCTAACATTATAAAGGGTGTAACTAAAGGTTATCCACTTGGCATTGAGGTAAGGAAGTGTTTATTTACCATTAGTTGTAAGTTCAGCTACATCATGGGTTACTTCGGTCTAGTCATATAAATCCGACCATCGTATGCTTTATTTGTCATTATTTTTTGATAATTTGGATATTTATTTTTTGTTATTTTCTTGCATACTAGGGTCGTACACACTTCCCGGTTGTAAATTGAGGGAAATGCTTTCCTGGCCTGTTTAGGCAACCAAAATCACACAAATTATGTATTAGAATATGCTCTTCATCGATAATGTATTTAATCCTACCTTACACACGTCAAACGCTTGATAATTGAAGAAGTATAAGAATTTTTCTGGAAACAAATTTTTTCCCCATGTGTAGATGCATTCTGGGTAATGATTGTGTAAAAGTAAAACTCTAGGTGAAGCGAAAAAACGAAATTACAATAAATTACGGCAGCCATATTGAGATCGATATTTCAACTCGAAAAAGTTTATCATCGTCTTATGACAATTGAATCGCCTTCTCAGACACCAAGGAGGGTGAAGAAACCGAAAACAGATATGTTGGTAATAAATAATTACGATTTCGTTTTGGTTGCATGGTTTCACATTTAGACTGTATTCAGTGACCTTGAGTGACCTTGAGAGCCATATTGGAAATTGGTTCAAACATATACGAAAATGATTACATTTCTTCAATTATCAAGTGTTTCCTGTGTTTAAGGTAAGATTTAATACATTCTAGTTGAAGCATTGGATCCATTATCTTATCTGTGTAACTTTTGTTGGGCATAGAGGGCAGAAAAGCATTTACCGCAATATACGGGCCTTAATATCCTCGACGCAAATGTTGAAAACAAAAATAAAAAACAAATATCCAAATCGTCAAAAAGAAACGTGAAACAACAACATTTAGTCGAGTTCACTTGACTACTTCGGTCCAAAGCCTTCTCTATATTCCGGCTTTGAGGAGGAAGATTGAGCTGCCTTAGTATTATAAATATTGTAAATCATTGTGTCACACGCACAGTAAATATGGCATAATAATATGAAATATACCTTTATGTATAGATTTGAAGAACATCAGCTCACATCCCCGTCTGAATCTATTGTTACATTTGATTTCTTTAAGCGAGAATAATTTCAAATGTTATTCACGTCCAGAACCGGAAGCCATTTTTAGCTACAGCGAGAAAATTTCACCATGTGTCAAACTCCGAAATGAAATTTTGAAATATCTAAATCCAGACAAGCAACGCTTCATCCTAAATATGATTAATATTCTTAAAAATATTTATAAAATTTATTAAAAATGAGTTCTAGGTGCGTGTAGGTGCGTGAAGCACAGTACATACGAAATCAATGAAGTTTCGTCTAGCTGTAAGCTAGAGACTCGAGTAAATCATGGGCATTCAACATTCTAGTTGAATGCCCATGGCTACATGAATGAAAATATTTCAAGTTGGGTCGGGATTAACCAAACCTGTCTGGCCCAGTAATCTACTCCCGACGTCGTAGATCTGGGCCAGACGAGGTCTGATGCAAAAAAAGTCGGGATTTACTCCGGAAAAAAACATGTCGCTGAATCATCACTATTCCCTACTAGCAACCAAAACATCGGGCTCCATTTTAAATCAAGTATTTATAATAACATTACTTACACGTAAATGTGGTGATTTGTTTGTCATATTGATGTTGAAATTGGCACAACATTTCGTCAATATTTTCATCAGTTCTCCGCACCGAATAAAGTCACGTGATGTGACGTAACACAAATGTGACGCTATAATTTTTAACTTTCATGGAACGAAAATACATTTCCCGGGAATCAATACATTCCAATTATTACGATTTCTTCAGCAGATTTGTTATCAAAATGTAGATTACTTTATAAAACAGACGTATCTGTGTTGTATTTAGACGTGAAAGAAATATGGTGGACATTAAATACGATTTTTCAATTTGTTGAACTGACCGAATGTAGTACTGAACGAAATATGCAGCCGAGATATATCGATATTCTACGAGATCACAAACAGATTGCAGAAGAATTTTTCTTTTTGCTGCTTTAATCGTTTTGTTCTTATTTAATAGCCGCCATCCGGCGATGGAAATCTAATATAAATACAAAGTTTGATACAAGGAACAAACACGTAAGTGTTTTTTATGATGTTTATTCATTTATCAGCATGTATTTTTCATCGAAAAACCTATGTGTTTTTTTCGGAGTAAATCCTCCTTTTTTTGCATTGGACCTTCTTTGGCCCAGTCTACGACGTCAGGAGTAGATAACTGAGCCAAAGTGCTTTGGTAAGGTCGGGATTTGTAATATGTTGACTTGTAGATCTAGATCATGAGCTCTACCTGCACAGCTGTAGTAGGTGAAGTTTTTAGAGCTCAGTTGGTAGAGGATCAGACTTTGGATCTTAGGGTCCTGGGTTCAATTTCAACACTGGGACTTTGATTTTGTTAGTTTTCCTAAAGTCTTTATTAAAGAGGGATTTACCATTTTCTTTACAATAAAATCAACTGGAACTCTATTGTGTATCATTGGTCCTTCATTAGGCTTTTAGAGAAGCTTGTGGCCCATTTTTATTTATGTAAGCTTACTGTTGCATTGTTAAAAATCAAAATTCCCAATTGCCTTTACAACATACTGTGTAATATCTTGTGATTTATGTAAATATGAACACTTATTTTATAAAAATATAGATTATAATGTGCTATATTTTAGATGGATTGTTCAATATTCTAATACAACCTCAAATAAAAATAATTTTCATGCAATTTTATTTATAGTGGTGACTTTGTATATTAAACTCCCAGTCAGTTCTCAGAATTACAAGTAGGCAATTAGTTAGAATCTGTCATATAGATATACGTTATAGATATGCGTTTTTGCATTTTAAGGCTACAGAAGTAAAGACATCAGAACGTGAGTTTAACCCAGATTTCATTGGCAGAATGATTCCAAGACTTGAATGGCCAGCAGTTGTAGAAGGAGCAAAGATGGTAATAAGTATTTCAAATATCTATAAATATTTCTGTTGCATTAAATCTAAATAATGTGAACATGCTATTTACAAAGCTGATTGTAACAATTTCTAGTCTGGACCCTTATGATAAACAGTCTAAAAATCTTTCAAGAATACAAAAAGAGGCTCAGAATATCAGGATATCTACTCTCAACCTTACCTCATATCACATCAAAACCTACAAGTGAAAATTCTTCTTGTGTCAATGTCTACAGCTTAAAAGCATTGAAAATAGAATACAAACAATGTCTGTAGGGCCTTTAGTATGGGCTCAATAGAACATTGCTTGATGCAGAACAGAAAGTATATGATGAGAATCAGAATAATATGATGAAATCATGTCTGCTCTGCCATCTACATATGTATTTGCAATTCTTTATGTTTTAAACAGTATTCATTGTGAATTATTATTTTGTTTTTGACCAGCTTGGACAAGATGCTGTTCCTGAAGAAGTCCCATCAGACTATGAGACCAATGAAGAATTTTTAAAACAGGCACACCGACTACTTCTTGAGGTACTTCTTTATCTTAAAAAGAACATGTTGATGTTGCAAATATAGTGACATTTATTTGACTCATGAAAATTCTCTAACATCTTACAGTATAAACTCTAAACATTTCCAAACATAAATACAGTAAAACGTGTATTTAATGAACACATATGGAGCCACAAAAGAGTGTTCACATTAGGTAGGTGTTCACTACAGAGAGGGGAGTCAATGTAAAATGTGTCTTGAAGTATTGTTCACAAAAACAGGTGTTCGCTAGAGAGAGGTGTTCACTAAGACAGGTTTTACTGTCAGTGTTTGTTCTAAGCGAACACAACTCACAGGACCAATGGACCGGCAAAATCAGGTCTAAAACAGGTGTTCACTAAGACGGGTTTTACTGTACGCGTACTTGTTATATTTTTGAGAGCTGTATGATGTAATTACCTTGAGTATTATAATAACCTGAGTATTATAATCACCTTGTAATCAAGTTGACTATTTACCTTAACTTGATTATAGTGATTTCCTGTATGTACTATATTTTGTATCAATTATTATCATCCCATCTCATCTTGTCCATTTTAAAATATTCTTTTTTACAGGTGACGGTACAGGAAGGTAATCTCATATGTCCAGAAAGTGGAAGAAAATTCCCCATTACAAACGGTATTGCAAATATGCTTCTTAAAGAGGATGAAACCTAACAATAATGCAGAACAGACTGGTGCTATGACCATATATGGAATTATTTTATGGTTTTACCTTATATGGGACTATTTTCATGGTGAAGAAGTAAAGACAGTGGAATTATTCGAGATAAAAATTACTTTGAAGAAAGCAGAGGAAAGGAGCTTGTAATGAGAGAGACTTGATACATATAGTTCACATTTTGTGACTTGGGCATTCTGAAAAATGTCTATAATGGGGATACCACTATACATTTTCTAACATGAATTATTTTCAACCTGTACAATATCTATACTATACTCGTATGTATGATGCATATAATTATTCAACATGAAATACATGATCATGTAACTTCTGTATTTTGCACATCATTGAACTATATGTGCTTTTAATATATAAATTGTATTTAGATAGATAAGAGTTTCTTGTTCTTAAAATCTGCCTGAGTGACAGTCAGTGTTTCATGTCAACTTATTAAGGTTGTTGTTTACCCGAAGGCCAAAAAATAACTAATACAAAGTGTGTACTTTTTATGTCACCGCCAGAAGTGGTGACATATTGTTACAGTGTCCAATTTTCTGTGGCGGCATTTGGTGTTTGGCACTAGGTCTTATCGGCATCAAATGGCAGGTGGTGACATTTTGCATGTTTAATTCCTTGATTTAAATTAAAATGACAAGAACATAACTAATTCATATGCATGTGGAATGTGCCCAAAAACCATCAAATCTTAAGAATAATGACATTTCTTGGGAGATGTCCTCCGATAGACAATTTGCTATATGCATTGATAAATAGATGGCAGCACTTGTGTTGATCATTCTGAATACCAATATGCATAGTCTTAGATTTATTTCCAATTGTTTTAATGCAAAACTCCATTGGCGTGCAACTAGATAATATTATTGACATGCAAATTGATTGTGGTATTATCTTAAAAATGGAATTAAAGATTAAAGATTTTAACATTCTGTCAATGGAGATTTCGCTTCGCCTTTTTTCAATAGTAATAGAAATCCTGTAAGTCCTTAGTGGTTGAATATGCAAATGTTTTAAAATCTCATTAAAATGAAACTTCAGCTAGATTTTAGGGAATGTGCTTTTCAAAAACTGAATCATGACGAACACTCAGAAAAGTAAGACATTTCATAGTTTTTAACCTGGAAGTCTATGGTATATTTAACCAAGGTATTAACATGCAAAATGTCATTTGTTACAACCACCAAATGCCATTTGTTACAGATGCCAAACACCATCTGTCAAACATGGACACTATAACAATATGTCACCACTTCTGGTGGTGACAAAAATGGGACAGACAAAACATGTTCACATTTGGAGGTATTTAGATTACAAGGGGGTCCAACTATACATTATTCTGTTATGCAGAGTCCCTCCTTTCAGAGGGTTAATGTCCCCTGCTGTGAGAAGCGCTTCTTACAACTGGGGACCCAAATGTTGCTAAAAGGAGAATGGAGGGACTTTGTATAACAGAATAATATACCAATAGAAAGGCATTCTTGTTTTGCTTCGTGTAGTTTTACTTTGTATGGAACAATTTTGAAGTAAAACAATGCAGTATCAGACTAAAAATCCTTGATTTGCAATTTTTAACGTTTTTTGTGTATAGTTGGACCCCCGTGGATTAGAGAGGTGTTACATCCAAAATGATGTCAATAGAAAATATGTTTAATGCAGAATCTATTAAAAGATGGCATTTGTGTAATGTATTAAGTACGATATAAAGATGTCGTTGACAATGAATATTGTCTACTGATAATTCTCAAGTCAGAGAGAACTGAACATTTTGGCAAGACCAAAATATATGACCATTTTTGGATCACCCTGTACAATATCCCAGAATACTATGGAGGTTTACCATGGACTCAAGTGATGCACGCTAATGTGTAACCATTGTGTAACACACTTAATTTGTAGGAACACTATCTTTATTAATAGATTCAAGATGGTTATAAAGATGACATTAAGGTCTTAGGACGTGTATACATTATGGCAGCATTGTTATCAACAATATTAAATGAAAAAATCTTTTTTCGCCCTCAATATTATTTCTGAATGATTATTCCTGAAAATCTCATGTCAGGGGTATATCTTACATTTCAAAGAATTTGTGTGCAGGCCTGTCGTTAGATGCTTTTAAGGAGAAGGGTCTTTTTCAATTTTGCCAAAAATGTCACTACGTTTTTAGAAATATTTACTTTGACCAAGGAGGACTATGTTGACCTTTAAGCCATTTTTTGGTTGTAATGTGTGGTACTTGTTCTGTTTCAGGGTTCAGTGTGTATGTCTGTGGGGGACTTGGCCGAGCTGAGGTAGTGGGAAATGGCAACGGTGACGTTATGCAACGTAGAATAATGATCAGTGTTTTCAATTTAAAGGTGCTCTGCATTTTCTCAGAAATACACTAAAATTGAAAGAAACCCCGAATAACCTGCAACCTAGGATAGACGTTACTACAAATATTCCCTCTGCAAGTTATTAGAGCTTAAAAATTGTTAGTAAATTAATTTTCTCTAGAAATTAAAAGAGATGCATGCACCCCTTATGATTTGCACATGTCGTGCCGATTATTGGGTGAAATGTTTTCAAGCCTCGATACCTCTACGTATTAAAGAGACTAGGCCCTCTACCTTTTACAATGTCTAATGTAGCTCTCACACTAGCCACGTGGGCTCACTTTTAGCCACCGAGTGGCTTATTTTATGGATTAATTTTTTAATTAATTAATTTTTGTGTGATGGAGGATATCTTACCGTAAAACTTTTTGTTTTGCCCACCGTATATCTATACCGTGCCCCGCCGTCTGCCCAAAGTATTCACACGGTGGAGAACGGTGGGCCAACACGCCCTAAGTGTGACAGCTCCGTAAGAAAGGGCAAAATGATGTAATTGCAAAACCAGATTACTTTTACCGTTTGCATTTAAAAGTGGGCAAGTTTCATACAAAAATGATCAATAATTTCCACACATAGCTTATATCTCCTTATCCAATAGTTTTGATCATTTCAAAAATTCCAACATTTATATTTTTAATACATGGGGGTAATATATCCACGTGTTATGTGACCAGTGAGTGATGCCGTCTGCAAGATTCCTTTCTTGGAAACATTGAACGCAGTGAAGACCGAGCATGGCTAAGATGATTGCGAAACAAAAAGATGCGATGACTATCAGAATGATTGCACAATCGGCGATTTTTTCAAATTAACAAATGCTTCCTTCTCTATTCGTAAAATCAATGTACAATAGCATTGGCTTATGTTCAAACGTTATTACGTGGTTTTTGACGCTTTGAACATAAACGCTATGTCCCAACATATCGGAAATAATGGAGCTGTCGTCTTACGCTACCGTGGGACAGACGTCGAGGGCAAAGTGGGCAAATCATATAGTTTTAGCAAGATAGCCTACCCCCATCACACCAAATACAAAACCCATTAATTGATTTTAAAAATAGTACCCAGAATAAGCCACACGATGGCGATCGGTGAGCCCACATGGCCATGTGTGACATCTTAAAATATGCCGTCTTTGTATTTTCCACAGTACATCAAATTATGAGAAAGTAAATGTCTCAAGAAAGTGATTGTGTATATGTTTATAACTTAAACTATATGTTTATAAATTTATATATAGGCCCTGTGTATTAATTGATTAGGAACAATACAAATAATCCGATTTTGAGTGCTCAATGATACACAATAAAACTGAACGGATTAAAGTTGTTAAACATCCAACCAGCAATTGCCAGGTATAAAAATCAGATAATCAAGTTAAATATATTTCATACAAATACGGCATATTTTCAGATAATTATTTAGGTGGTATGAATTACATTTGCCATATGACATACTGTTAGACAATGAAATAGTATAATTGGATGAGCTCCTTAATGTGATACTGCCACGTGCTGGAGAAATACAATTGTTCAAAGCAGGTGTGCCATAAAATCGTGCTACTAGTCCCAAGAATGAACACACATTAGCAATTCTTTGAGAAAGTCTTGCAAGATTCCACGCATGTGCATCACATTTACGTCTAAATCATTCATGATTTCATGGATGTTGCGCAAATTATTTATTAACGGTTTCGTGGGGATCTCTGCTAAGCTCCACCCATTTCTCCTAATATGTTCATGAACCAGATGTCAATCAATATATTAAAGGCTACTGATTGGATATCGGGGTGATAATCGCCTGGGTATGCTAGAAACTCCCTAGAGACGGACTAGAGATTCCTGAGGGATGTTTTATATAGTGCGTTATTATCCGCTTTACTTTAATGGAAACAAAACCGACCACTCTCGAGGATTAAAACAACATCAGAAAGCAAACAATCAAATTCTGATCCACAATTATTGATGGTAATGTATCATTTTGTTCTAGTTGTATTTAAGCAGTATTCGGGAACAGTAATTTCCAAATAAAATATATGTTTTTATATATAGTTTTAACATTTTTTAAATAATTTAGATTAGAACAATCAACTATTAGTTCAAGTTTTCTTAATTTTCTCAAGCTGTCATGTGTGAGGTTATCTTTAAAATGTTACCAGTTTGAGATATGCGATGGTGTAGTTTTCTTAGCGCAAACAAACAAGGCATTGTATTGCTTTCACTCAGTGGTTGCTGAAACAAATGCCTCGTTTGGAAAGTGAATAAATTATCTATGTGTGCGATTACACACACACATGAGAAACGGACGAAATCTTGGGAATATATAATTAGGTATAAGACTATATAGTGCACTGTCAAACATAGTAGTTGCTGAAACAAGGGTCTTGGGACTGAGAAGTTATCTTGTGGTATAGTTGATATAATTTTCTAGTGGTGCATATATAATCAAGGGGAGGCGCTTTGGTTGGCTGACAGAATAGAAACAAACCAGGAACAACGCATAGGGGAGTGATTGGATGTGTTTACATTCATACGTTTGGGCCACAACGGACTCACGTTTGCGGCACTTATGTTCCATCAGAGGATCCAGTGCCAAACGAATATCCTACAGAGACACATCGGTTTAACTTAGTTAGTCGTGAACTATCAGAGTACCTCCATCGGGACAGCACAATCACGTCGGTGACGACGACATACAGCCAAGCGTGAAGAAAATAATTCAAACAGTGTCGCTAAAAGTTTGGATTTATAGACGTACCCCAGAGTGATATAACCACACCTTGGGAGCATCGTATGAAAAGATAAAAATAAAAACGCTCTGAATAAATCCTACTCCAGGTGGACATAGCCAATTATCATTACAATTAAATACAAATTAAAAGGATCAAAGGGATCTCATTTCAAAGATCAAAGGAGATAATTAAAGATCAAAATTAAATTGAATTGGATTTTTAATTGAGAGTATTCAATGTATGGGTTACAGGATAACGGGCTTCAACCTCGTGGACCATCAGTGACGTCACTTAAAGAAGAACCCCTCACAGGAAATCAATTGGGGGTGAGATCCTGGATGCAGCCGTCCGTAGTAGAACCCACAACCCCTGGCAGGTGAGGATATTGTCAAAAATGATTGTAGTATATTTTAAAGCTACCTAAGTTATCCTAAATTATTGTAAAACTATCCTCTTAGCCTTTTAATAACGTGAATATGTATATGTCAGTTTATTAAAAATGTATAAGAAAGAAAAAATAATGTTAAACGATTGTCCTAGAATTTAAACAGTTATTTTATCATGCATAGTTTTGTGTTGTAAAGTACAAAAATATCAGTTCTAGTAATTCAAACCGTGGTCCTAAAAAGTTAAACTACAACTTTATTAAGTAACATTGAAAATGAAAGAGCTATTGTAAAATATATAAAAGTAATGTGAAATGAAAGTTCAATATATAGTATGAAGATAGATACTATAAAGTTTTAATTTTTTAACTTCATTCAGGCTAAATCAAAATTGATGGGAAGATCAGTTGCAATTGCGTGTCAAAGTAATTTTTGCTTTAAAACACCAGCTAAAATAACATTTTTCATCCACGTAAATATGTTTTGTTTTTTTCGACTTAGTTCCATATATATAGTTTTTTATAAAGTAATTTTTCATAATTACCAATATCCAACATAAAACCTTATCAAATCATTGTGATTAGTCGCTCAAAGTATAGCCGTGGGATGTGACAAATACACATCAAATCCATTATAAAAACATGCACGGAATACACCTGTTATCTCTAAATATTGCGTTTACGTCATTACATGTAAAGATAATCAAAATTCTTGTAACTTATCCAACTGTAAATTTGTTGTAATTTTTAAGTCTCTGTTAATTTTCAGTATTTTTCCCTGGGAGTATTTTGCATTGATCTAAATCCTAAGTCTTGATGATTTCAAAACATTATTTCTGTTGGTCTTAAAAACTTAAATAAAGTGTCGTTATAGTCGACGTATGTGTTAAGGATAAGAAAAGATAGAGTTTCACGGCTGAATGGTACCTTTGAGACTTATCAAAATCACTTTAATTCTGAGCAAATGTCGGCATTTTTCCAGGTTTGAATCGACTAATTCGCATATTTATTTCCCGGTCGAACATTATAATTTACCATGGGGTCCATTAAGTAATTTTCAATCCCCAGCCCTCAATAAATAAAACTGAAGAGCTGATGATTTCTACACACGTTAGTTACTGTTTCAGTATACTTAGCCAAAGACGTTTTATTTTTTAATTTATCTTGAAATTATTTCGGAAAACGACAATAAATCATCATTAAGGCCGATCAACTAATCTCTCTTGAACAACTTAAAATTGTGTTCCATGTTTTAGAAATTATTTTAAACACTCAAGAATGAACTTAAAAGAAATTAGTTTAATTTTAGGTAAATATTTTTTTCAGCACGGGGCTTGCCAGGGCCCACTTTGAGAAACAGCCACCGAGCAACTTGCGCAAAAGTAACTTCTTCCATTTTGTTCTCGCGCTATATGATCGTCAAGGGCAACCCGTTGAAATAGAAAGGACGGCGTTTATTGATTTCATTGAAAAGGAATTGGTAAGTATATTTATTAAATCTAACGTAATCAGGCCCGTAGCCAGGATTTGCCAAGGGGGGGTTCAGTTTTCAAAAATTTCCAGGGGGGGGGTTCACATTTGACAATTTTGGCCCAAATATGCCCAAAATCACTTAAAAAGTGCTCAAAATGGTGAAAAACTGCATGATTTTGAAAGAATTTTTGGCCAGGGGGGGGGGGGGGGGGGTTCGCCCGAACCCTGCGAACCCCCCCTGGCTACGGGCCTGGTAATATACTTAATCTTTGCTATAAAGAAATATCAAATATTTCCATAGGAACAATATTATATTTTATTTGCATATAATAACCATTTTTGAATAATTATCTTAACGCAACTTATTTACAAACAAACAATACGTTAATAAAAGTAAATGTTTAACTTATCTGATACATTTTTCCCTCCAGGTTGATTTTGAAACATTATCTACAAAGTTGAAAGTTTAGAAATTAATTACTAGAAAGCCGACTTGGATTATTTTGCAATCCCGGTTACTTCAATACTTCGTGAACATATCGTTTTAATTATCCTGTTTATTGCTAGCTCTTATGAGTGTAATTAATGAATAAAAGGAACCTAATCATATCCCGGGGTTCATTACAGTTTTATCCACCGCTCAGCAAGAGCCAAATGACGATCACCAAGCCCAGAAACAAATTGATAACAAAACTGGGGAGATTTTCTGTGATCTTGCAAAGGATGCGCTATCTTTGTATCTGTCTGTATCAACTTGTAAATGCGACATAATGGTTATATTGTGCGTGGGGCAATTTGCACATATGTAATGTTAATTAAAATCAGTTACATGCTGATCGGTCGTCTGCTTTTCTACATCTGGAAATGGTAATGGCGAAGGATGAGATGGAATCTGTAATGATTAGAAGGCAAATAGTCACCATATCCTGGTAGCCCTACTTATTCTGAATGTAAAATTTCAATCAAACAGGACTTTTCCACGGAAATAATAAAATGAAAGTAGATCAGGCCAACGCTGAAAAAACAAGTTTCCAAAATTATGAAGTTCAGAAAACGTGCTGCAAAATAACTGGTACATCAGTATATCTATTACCAGGGATTTTTCAAATTATTAGATCAAAATGAAAAAAAGTCGGATAGCCGTACTTTGTCCATAGATAAAACATGATTTTTCCAATTCAAACTCTAAAGATATTATTTAATTTTTTGATTTTAGGAAGTAGATAGTCAAAAAACCAACAATGGAATTCACTATAGATTACAGCTCTTATATGCAAACGGTAAGTCAGTCAACCTTGACAACGACTCATTAATTAACCCCCATATTAAAGCCCAGACCCAAAATGTTCCGATAACCTCTGTTTGACTTATTCTTTTTATATAGCAACCGTTCTGTTGCTATGGTAACTGTTGACAAGGACATGGCTAATGTTTCTTTATTCTATGAATGATTCACTAAAGCTGTCAACACATCATTTAACTGATGGTGTCTTATAAAATGCTACATTTAGTTCTGATGTGCCTACAGGCTTCGTTTTTTACTTGTTTGCACGAAACGTATGGTCCAGTTTTTTCTCAACAGTAAACGTGCAAGCCCCAATAGTATGCCCAAATTAGGTAATAAATCGGGGGGGGGGGCATTCAACAACAATTTTGAGCTATTCATCAGATTTTACTACAGTTACATATATTTGACTTAATATTTACACTTTACATTTTGTTAATATTTGATAATTTTATGTTACACTTTTTAAATTTTAGGAGTCAGACAAGAACAGGATTTATATGTGCGTCTCATCGATTCAGTCACAAAACAGGTATATATCTTTTATTTTTGTTTCAAATTAGATTGAGACATGAGATAGCTGAAAAATATGAAGATCGTGTGACTTTGCAATATCAATTACTTGTCGGAAAATAACGTAGTCCATCAAACAAATACGTGATAATTACGTAGTGCCACAAAATGCATGTATTCCAGGGGTATATTTAAATCAGCAAAATATGCAATGCGTAATGATTGATCATGGATACACTTTTTCTATAAAATTAACTTGAGCTTGGGACCATTTAAAACAATTTTCTAAGACGTCCGGTGAGGGAAAATGGAAATTAAATGTGCCCGATTATTGAATCATTTACTGGATCAGTTCACTTCATATTTAGATTTTGAACTTGAATTTGTTTGTTCTTTGTTCTTGATTGACCGCATTTCGCAATTTTTTTCATGGTAAATTTGGTACACGTTATGTTTTAGGTGTATCTTCAAGATCAAAAGAACAAATGTCATTGGATATATAAATTTCATATTTCTCCCGACGGAGACGCCGATATTCTCGGTTGAAGGCCACAGAGCGCATGCGTCAATATTGGTGCTTATACTGTAACATCCATTTAGGCCATTTATATCCAATAACACAGTAACAGCCCTCGAATACACTACACTACATCTCTAATGTACAAGAGATTGATGCTAAATGTCTGTTTTATACAAATTAAACGGCTCTTGAATGTATGGAGAATGCTATTGAAGAAGTCAAGCATTTCCTGCAGCACACTGCTCCACGGAACTAATGCTTTCCGATCGCTCTAACTTCGTTTAGTCGTTGACTTTCCGATATACCTCATAATAAGAGGAAACAGAATGCGTCGCATGCCGTGAACCCAACGTGTCTTGTGCATCACAATTGTTTTATAGCACTTCGCACGGAACGGATCATACCCCGGGGGTAAATGGTCTGATTTTTTAGAACTGACTTTTTGCAATCAGTAAAAAGACGTTCTATAGTAGAGACAGCAGAATGTTAATATTCTAAAATTGTTATCATAAGTTTTTATTATCGATCCTTAGGGGTGATCTAACCCTATCTTTGAATAGCATACTATTTTTACTATTATTACTTTGGAGTCGTTTCTATCACAGTTCTATTCAAAGACGCAAATTGAAAATTTAGAATTCACATCATGACAATATCGATTTGGGAGATATAATATTCATCAAAATATTGGTCAGACATGCATTAGTTCATATAGCGAGATAAATAGTGACATGAAAAAGGCCAAAAGCGCCGAAAACGGAACAAATTGTGGAACTTGCAATATATGACCAGACAACCTTTCTGGGTGCAAAAAGCAACTGTGCCGAAAATTTCCTCCATTTTTTATCTACTTTTCGCAATTTTTACCCCTTCCCCTAAAATTTATAGGGGTAGGTTTAATGACCATCCATAACATTTTAGGATTATCATTAAATAGTATCATAATTTCAATGTTGGAACCTTTTACCATGATACATGTGATAATGAGAGAGATTGCGGTCAATTTTTAGCAAAATGAATATTTACTTATCTTTCATTAATTCCTTTTATCTCTTTTCCAGAGTGGCATATACTTCGACATAATAAACAATGTAATTTTAATTGAAAATAAAGTTTGACAAACTATGTTACATCTGATAAGTGACTTTAATGCTAATAAAGAATAATCTAGCAAAAAGGGTATCTTTCTTAAAGAACTACCAAAATCACTTCTTGTTTTTGACAAGGTCATGCTTGAGTGACAATGAGCATCAACATTTATGATAAGATCTAGATCAGTTTTTGTAAGAATGATTTTGACCTACATGATTAATAAAAATAATCAAGATATAGTTCTGCTTATTTTGCTGAACTGTTATGTTTTGAAATATGATATTGTTGGTCTAATAAGGACAGTTTTGAATATCCTAGATGCGAGTAGAAATAATCTTGATTTACATCATTAAAAAATCACAATTCAGTCACACTGATGTCATCTTTGGAATCTACATATAAAATTACATCTAGAAATGTGGTTTTGAAAAGAGTTTATCAACTTTGAAAATTTAATTTTCTTTGAAAATGTGACTTCTAAGTCGGGGAGATTCCCCATGTTGTAAAACCGCAAAAAGTGAAATATCTTTTCTTGTCTTGGGCAGATATTTTCTTTTACTGGACATATTTTAATTTGTATAGCTATCACATACATAAGGTTAATATGAAAAGTGAACCACTAAAACATGCATATTCAAGTTTAAGGGAATTTTATATAGGGGTGGGACGGATAACCGAAATACCGAAAAACCGCGGTTCATAGCATTCGGATCGGTTTTCGGATCACGGCCCTACTTTCGGATCAGCTTTTCGGATCGTTTTCGGATTAATATTTCGTTGGTCAAGTATCAATAAAACAGTTAAAAACACTGTTTTACAGCAACATTTTTGATATTCCTAGTCCCTACCTTGTCTGTCTTGTCTGTTGCTAGCTCACTCGTTTACTAGATTCGTTTCGTATCCGCGTATTCGTATCCCTCGGTAATCAATCATGTGGTCCCTGGTACTATATTCTTTAGTCGTGTATTCTAAATAATATGTATTGTTCATGAAATACTATAACATATAATTCCATCTATAAAATATTGTTATAACGTGGCTAATCATGTCAATCAATACAAATCCTTAAAATGAATGAACCGAACCGAAAAAACCTAACCGACGGCTGATGATCCGAAAAACCGAACCGAACCGAACCGAAACGAACCGTCCCATCCCTAATTTTATAATACCCTGCCATGTTATTTCCCCCGAATCAGCCACCTGGTGGCGAAACTGGTAACCACCTACTGGCATCTGAGTAATTGAGAAGGAGAAGGAGTGTTATGTGTATTGGGAGGGGGTCTTGTTACTTGGGTAGATTTCAGGTAGATTGCCAATCAATACAATTTTGCCTCTTGATTTTGAATCTTTGATAGATACCCAGCAGAGTGAAGAAACAGGGTCACCTATATTCAAATTCTGGTACATGGTACTCCAATTACAAGTTGTGTGTCTAACAAATGTTAGAGCTGTGAGACTTGAGGACTTCAAGCTCTACAAAGAAACTATCATCAAAATCATACCATGGTTTTTCTCCCTGGATCATACGGATTATGCGTACCTGTCCATGTAAGTGATATGGTTCAGCTCAAAGAAATCCACCCTGGAGTTCACAATGCTTTCATGAAGGGGCATTTCACTGTCAGTAAGTTAAGAAGAAGCTTCTCCTCCATGTCAATACACCAAGCCCATGAGCAAAATAATAATGTGATCAAAAGTGAGGGTGGAGTTGTGGGGTTGTTCGACAATCCAACCGCATTACAGAAGTGGATAGTAGGTGGTCCAGAGATCGCAAGAATGTTAACTGAGTTTGAGGATGAGATGAAGGATAATGATGGTCCTTGCAAACCATGAGCACGGTGTTAGTTATCAAACCAGTTTCAAGAAAGAAGTCAATTTTCTTACCGAGGTTATCAATGATTTCGGAAACCCCTTTATTGCAACATCAAAGGAACTTTGGACACTTGATACTAAAGATGTAATGTCAAGCAGTGCAGTTGACACATTGAACATATTTGAGGAAAAGTGGAAAAGTCAATGTGAAGTATATATAAAGGAGAGAATTATTGAAAGATCAAAAGCCATCACAGACCCTATCAAGAGAAACAATTTCAAGATCTGCAAACAACAAAAGAAGAAATCTCACTCAAGTTCAAAGCTAGCAAGCTTGAAAAATGACACTGCCCAGTTTTTTTCACAACTATACATAGCGTGCCAGAATAGAGATGGCAACTTAGATGAATTTTTCCGACATGAGAACCAGGCATTCCCTCCATCCCTTTCACAAGATGGCACAATCAAGACTGGATTCAAAGCAGATATCTTAAAACCAGTGGAAGACCTTGTTCCAAATAAAGAGATCAATACACCAGATGTTGAAGCCCTGTTTCTTGATGGTGCCGTAATAGTCCACCTGCTGAAAACTCAAGAAGCAAGAACCTTCCTACAATACTCAAATGACATATTTAATAAGTATGTTGCAGATCAACTTAATAGAGTACAAAGACTTGATATTGTATGGGATCAATATATACCAAATCGTGTCAAATCTGCAACAAGAAAAAAGCGTGGATCTGGAAAGCGTCAAATAGTTTATCCAGAAAACAAATTGCCAGGGCATTGGCCAGAATTTCTACGCTCGGATGACAAGAAAAGTAATCTCTTTACCTTCCTTGCATCAAATGTCTCAGCCATTCCAGTACAAGAGAATAAAGTCCTGATTACAACAATTGGGAATACTGCAGAGGCATATCCTAAGCAGCATGTTTCTGAGATTTCACCATCATCCCATGAAGAGGCAGATTCCCGAATCTTTCTTCACATATATGATGCAATGAAAAAAGGCTTCACAAAAATGATGATTAGAACAGTTGATTCAGACATTGTTGTTCTAGCAATTAGTATAGCTGCACAACTTAACATTCAAATCTGGCTCGCCTTTGGCAAGGGAAAGTCCTATAGATACCTTCCAGCCCATGAAATTGCCCATGTTATGACTCTAGAAAGCCATGTGTTTCTCAATATTCCATGCTATGACTGGGTGTGACACCACATCGGGCTCTAATGAAAAGTCTAAGACATCAGCCTGGAACCAATGGAGTACCTACCCTGAATTGACTACAGTATTAACAGAAATCTCAATACGACCCAATACCCTGCTTGATGCCATGCCTATTTTAGAGTGGTTCATTATTCTGGTCTATAATAAAACAAACAATGAAACATCAATCAATGCTGCGAGGAAGGAGATGTTCACAAAGAGGACTTCAATAATATCACACATTTCTCCAACATCAGATGCCCTTTTACAGCATATGAAGAGAGTCATATACCAAGCTGTATTTATTTGAGTGCAATCACTTACAGCGAATCCTCAAGTTCCTTCCCCAGCTGAGTGGGGCTGGATATTTGAAGACACCAAATGGATACCAAGGTGGACAACTTTACCCCAAGCATCAGACGCTTGCCAGTGTCTCATAAAGTGTAGCTGCAAAAACCAATGCATATCAACACGATGCAAGTGCATGAAAGGAAATCTTGTTTGTACAGCATTATGTGTGTGTGATGGCAATTGATCTTCATAAGGACACTGCAACATACCAAAAAGTAACTATGAAACTGATAGACACTAGTATAAATCCTTCTATTGATAAGATTAATAAAACTATGATTTAAAAATTTGTGCAAAGTGAAACTAAAGGAACTATGAAACAGATATAGATAGTTGATATATGGAGTCTAACTGCACTCAGAAGCCAAAAGAAACCACAAGTCAAACTGTATCTACCATTTTTTCTGTATATCCAAAAGATGGGTGTGACTCAAAACAAGCCTTTAACAGTGAAAAAGGTAACAAATAATAGTCATGTGAAGCATTAGATATTGATGAAATTTTAAAATCATATATCACTTATTTGATTTACTCCTGCTACTGTGATATGGTGCAAAATATTCAATACAAGAAAAGTGGGCGTCGCCCATCACCACCCTTTAACATAGCAATCGAAAATCAATGGTATTTCATATTTTTAGTTCAACATTAACTTCTTAACATGATAAGGTAATATTAAATTTGAAGTATGAGCATAATTTAGTAAAAAAATTGTGTTAAATTTTTTTAGCCCCCCCCCCCCCTCCGTGACCATGGGGGGGGGGTAAGAATTGTAAAATTAGGGTAGTTCATATGGAGCGATTTTTTGGCACAGTTGCTTTATTTGAAGAGTAGCAATCAGTGATCATTTGAGGAAAGTTTCACGATTTGTTCCGCAAACGGCGATTACTTTACACTATTTATCCCGCTAATAGGTCTTTCTCTGCTCTGGTGTTCCACATGGCCATCTGTTATCATTTTAGAACTCCAAGTGCCCATTAATTCACATGACAATAGCTAAATAATACAAATATTTTCATTTAGTCCATGTAATCTCAGAGAAATCTAATAGAGAATTATTTTTGTGAATGTTTTTGCCATTGGTAAAATATATTTGACGGGGTCTACACCCACACTTTCCATACTACTTACACGATGAGACCCCTTATAAACGCGAGGAACAGTTCCTTGGCCCTTGTTGAAATATATATCGCCAGATAGTGTTAGAAATATCAAAATAAATATATGTCATACACTTTATAATGTCAATATCATTTTGTTTGGAATTTTGAAACGATCAATTTTAAAAGTCTGTACTTTTCAAGGGGTCTTTCTTATTTTCAACTTTTGGAAAAAAGTTTATAGCTGCGCATTTGAGGTAATTTTAGTCATTGATGGTCCATTCTGTGTGTCATTCTGATATAAAACTTGATTTTGCACTTGTGGTTTGTTGATTGATGGTGAATTTTCGCCACTGTATTAACTATTTGATACATTAATTTGACATTTAAATTTTAATTGAAAATAAATATTATGATCTCCATTTTGAAGAGCTAATTTCACTTTCGTTTTGCCACAGCCTGGGTTTACATATTGAGTGGCTGTTATTTGCTGATAACATAACAGGGCTGATATATTATTTTCAGATTTTGTAAGGAATATGTTATATGACACTGTATTTTGTATTCATCATCAAAATTATACATTGTTTCAAGTATTTTTAATATAAATGTTATTTTTAGGCAATTATTTACGAAGGTCAGGCAAAAAATCCTGACATGTGCCGTTGCCTTCTTACTCATGAGATCATGTGCAGGTAGGTATTATTCCACCAAGAAAATAGTTCCCATGGCCCTATTTTGATATTCAGTGATTAGCATGTGAAATGAAAATGTTACCAATATTTTTCCAACAACAGATGCATTATTCTGAAAATATCGATGGAAAATATTGAACATCAAGTTTCTTTAATCAGGGCTATTTTGAACCATTTTCTAAGAATATATATTGCTTTCTTTTATCTTTTTAAAATTTTAGCGCACATTTTTGCTCTTCTTAATTCTAGGCAGTACAGTATGAGGGCCAAGATAAAAATCCGGAAATGAGAAGAGTTTTATTGACACATGAAATAATGTGCAGGTAGGATCCGTTTATATTTATGCCTTTCAGAATATTGTTGCATTCTCACATGTTGAAAATGACGGGGCTCGGAAAGTGTTAGGGGAGGGGTGTAAAGTCACCATATTATTGATATTGAATTTTTACCAATTTTAGAGCCTCATTTAGAAAAATGTTTGGTTGGAAAATTGCAAAAGCACACTTTAGAAAGTCTAGCTAATGTGCTTGGGTAACATCTAACGTTTACAACTTTGACACACTACCACTACACCACACTACACTTTTCTAGCATGTGAGAATAAAATATTTTCAATTGTTTATCTTGAATTTTTTGTACAGTGTTATTATTGATCAGTTTTACATTTTTGATGGCATATTTATGAATGTATCTTCGCTTAAAGCATGGCTTAAATACTTTTAAATACATTTGTGAAATATTACATATCAGCGCAAATGTTCTAGTTGGCTGACTCCTCGGAACATGATCAATATTATTTCACTGTGAATGTTAAAATATCAAAACAGAGAATTTAATCTTATTTGACTGGAATTCTAGAGGGCTTTGAAAGTGTCAGAACAAGTGATTCATTAGCTAAGGGAATTTTTGAAGATATGAAGTGATCTTTAAAATAGGTTCGATCTTTTAAAAGACTGTTCTATCTCTGGGAAACAACGATGCTTGAAACCACAGGGGGCTGATAGTAAGTCCCACAATGCACTGAGCATGTTCTAATCATTGAAATTGATAGATGCATCATGGGACGTTGTCTTGACATTTTTGATGAGAGTTGGGAAATTTTTTTGCAACGTGCATTGGATGTTAACATTCGTTTCTCTGGGAATTTCAACATAGAACAAACCTCACTATCTTTGTTATAGTAATCTGACAAACCCCTTTAGATTTCCTCTGATTCAATGAGTTAATATTAAAAATTGGCACTTATTGTAAAAGTCATTCATTACGCTGATTTAACCAATTTCGTAAATTATAATCACTCTGTAATTGAACAGTACATACATGGTGACTCAAAAGTGCTGTACCAGGATGTTATGCACCATTTGATTTTTATTTACAGCCGATGCTGTGATAAGAAAAGCTGCGGTAACAGAAATGAAACTCCATCAGATCCGGTTATCATAGACAGGTAGGCTTACGTTTTTGTAACAAACAAGTACAAACAACACTTTAGATAAACAAACAAAGAAATACAGACAAAACAAACTACCATCCAAACAATCATAATGCAGGTATATCACATCAGTAAAACCAAATCATCAAGGAATCTTCCTGTTAAACATTCACCGACAATTCTTCCGAATTCATAATTTCAGTTTTCTATAATATCTTAATTGCCAATTATCTATTTAATACACCCCTAATTCTGTATCATGTACAATCAACCATAATACCCCAAATAGTAATATCAGACTAATTAATTTTTATCTAAAAATACGAGCACCCCATTCTGTGCAGACCCGAGGGGTAATCTACCAAGAAGCTGTCTCAAACTCCCATCTTGATTTCATTAGTATAGAAATAATTTTTGACATGTGTTGGAATGATTTTGGTGTTAATATGATAATATATTCAATTACTGGCCTCAGCAGGATGCTTTATCTTATCAGGTTAGGTTGTGTAGAACAGAGTAGAAGAACAAGGCTTCATGGAATAAAACATCAGGGGGCAGGGGTATGATTTGATAGGGAAAGTGGGGAGAAGAATAGGGTAGAAAATGAGAAAGAAGTGGTGAGGTTAGGAATTAAAAATTAAAAAATTAAAACTTTTTCAAATTTTAGAGAGGGGGTAGAAGAGATATGATTGGAAGTATTGTACTTTTATACATGGGTAATATACTAAAATAATATTTATGTTATAACCTGTAATAAAAATAGGTTTCTTTAATTTCCAACATAATTTTAGGTTTTTTGACTCCCAATTTCGTCTATCTTTGATTTCTAAGGTGTAAAATCAAATAAAATAAGGTTTGAAAATGATTCTAGAGAGAATGCATCTTCACATTCTGGCTTTACACCTTCAATTTAGAGACCTTAGTTCAGGTGAATAACCTGTGAATAATTTATCTCCCTTGTCACATTTATTCCATGATTTTCTCTTCAATATATGACTATAATATCATCATGCCTCTGTATACAAATACAATGCCAAGGTTGGGATACCATACTATAATACTCGCTGATTCCCCTCTTTCAGACTTTTGCATTGTAAGATACAATCACTTGATTTTATTTCCAGTAGATAGTACTTCATAGCAGGTGGATAAGAGCTCTCACAGTGAGATCACTAGCAGGCTTTCCCTTTTATAACTTTCTAATTTATTTCTATTAATTGCCTAGTGGGTCCCTCTTCAATATATACCCCATGAGGAAAACTCAGATACTGATAGATACTGTAGAAATGAATTCAGACTTTGAAAATACTATAGGCTCAATATACAGATATTAAAGTCTGAAATGTTTTGATAGATTTGATAGACATTTGTAGTCTTGCTCCATTCCTCTGATGATTTCAGCATCCAGAGGGGCTTGATGCAAAAGTACCATTTCCAATGTTTTGTTGATATTTTGAAATAATACAGTATATTGACTCATTTTGGTACATTAATGATATTGACCTATTGAATACAGTGGATTATAGTATTAAAGTTACAGCTTTAATTATCAACAATGGATTCAATAAGATGGCCAGATGGACAGCCTATATCCCCTCATAAGTACCTGTAAATCTATAAATAAATAATTGGATCTCATCCTCATTAAACAGTTAATTAACAGAGAATATTTTTTATTGTTGATATCGTCAGAATTGCTATGTTGCCTTGATTTAGTTGCCGTAAGATATGTTCTTTTTATGCTGCGCACCTATTGTTTGGAGTGTGATTTGGTGAACAGAGATTTGATCATAACAGATGAACTAGTTAAATATTTATCATTTTGATCCATTGATGATATTCCAGTTTGAAAACAGAGCTTGGAGAATTTAATGTCATAATCCTTTTTTCACTCTTGTATTTTTCTGTTTAGTTATATTAATTATAAAAAGTGTTTTGTAAAGCTATAGAGAAATAAGTATAATTCTAGCAACTTTTCGATTTTCAATCATTTTGGAAGAAAGTAAATTTATTGGAAATGTATACGAATTTTAAACGGATGACTGAAATAAAGAACTTGCCCCTACTTCAAACTAAGTAGGATCTTTGTGGTTAGTGGTTAGTTCTCATTTAGAGTTAAGACAAGACCTGGTATAATATTCCAATATGTCTTCACTGGTCAGTGGTGATTGAAAACAGACTAACTAAACCTCTTGATGCATAAGACCAACAAATTGATCATGTACGAAATAATTCCACCAAAACAGTTCAACTGTGTGGCTGATCAAAATGAATTTGTGAGACTAATATTTCAAATTTGACACAGTGTTGGGAAATATAGGAGGGAGAATTCTCTCCGGGGCTGCTTTATTCTCTGCGGACTAACTTTACGTCTGCTCTGTTAAACCAACCAGGTTGTACATATTAACCCGAAAGACCCGACCCTATAAGTTTTCAAAGATTTATATACTGGGCTTAATCAGTTTCACGTTTGTCGAATCTTCATCGACAGTTTACCGCATTTTGAACAAATTACGGAATTAGTTTTGTGTCTTTTTCTACATGAATGAGGTACGGCTCATGCTACGATTACTTCAATGTTTTCCTAAATATTTCATTTTGCCAGAAGGTTTCTAGGCAGTAAGAAAGACCCTGCAATTAATATCATTGCAGTAATGCTTTGAAATATTTAAAAAAAAGAATTAAAATATTTGAAATCTGACGACAAATGAAATAAATTAGCACTTTACATTTATAAAAACATCGAGAAATTAGATAATTTGTTTGGATTCAACAGACAAAAAGCATAAAAAGTAAGATGAGAATAACATTGACTCAATACTTTTTACAGTATTGATCCAAGCTTCATTGATGCATACTGAGTTATTTTTAAAACAATTAATCGTAACTTTTATCCTTTCTTGAAATTCTATTTTAACATGATGTGACAACACTGGATTTAAATGAAATAATGCTATTACACGTACATTTACAGAAAAGCATGGTAATACTCAATATAAATCAATTATGTATTCATATATAATCTTGTATGTAATACCAGAAACATGTGCAAAATTAATACCCAAGGTTTATTATGCTATTTATATCACTTTATACAATGCTATCTTTTTGTGAAATCTATACTATTATAATAGAAATCAAATGGGTTCATATTATCAAACCACTGTTACCATCCACCATCTGGCATCCATGGGTCATCATTTCCTATGTGTAGGATCATTTATAGGGTCATTTTTGACAATGGAACAGTTTAGGGGGTTATCCTGCTTTGATCTGATTTATTATCTACTAATACCTTGATCTCAAGTACATCTGTTGTATTGTTGATACAAACCCCCTTGTTTATATTTATACTTCGGTTTTTAATAGGAGATGGGGATGGTTAGGTTAGATTGATTAGGCTTCGATTTTCAGAAGGCTTTTTTCTAACAAATAAGTCATTTTAGTAAATTACAGAAACGCATGTTATGTGGTTTGGCATCTTAGGTTATATTAATCAGAATTTATAATTTCTAAAAATGAAATATGTATTCTTGTCATTTATTGAATTTCATTGGTTAATATAGCATGTGTTATATGTCAGTCCGTCACCTTTTGATCCAACGTATAAATGTCACATTTACGGACAGAAAGCAGACAGCTTCATCTTAGATTTTTTCATCTTAGATTTCTATAATTTATTTTATTTGAACGGTTTAGGGTTTGAATTACTCATAATACAGATCACATTTATTATACTTTAGTATGAAAAACAAAGGGTTTGGAAAAATTTCTGTGACCTGTAGGTGATGTAAATTATGGAACAGGTTTCCGGCAATTACTACCCCGAGGTGAAAATGCATAAATAAAAATGAAACGCTTTAATATACTAATGATAATCACCAGGAGTACGGAATATTGCATTATGACAATAATACCATAAAGTGAAACAGTCATCTCTCTTTTGGTTTTCTCTTTGTTGCTTTGCTTTTTGAAAAAATGAATATTTCAAACAAACTGATATATAGATCAGTTTCCATACATGCAGCACAACTAATTAATCAATTAAAGAATTGAAATCAAAAAGTCCATCAAATCCATAAATAGACCAACAACAACTACAAGAGGTTTTCAGCTTTATAAAAGGACTACACAGCTCAATTTTATAAAGGATCATGATTCTTTTTGGTTCATTACAATACTCATTCAGATTTCTCCCTGTATTATGTGTATTGTATAGATAGTATGAGACCCTGGTCCTATTTTAAAGACCCCGTCTCTATTTTTGCCTCACCCATAATATTTGTCTTCTTTGAAGTGATATCAACTGATACGTTCAGCCATATTTACCAAGGTAATCACATATTTCATCCCAGTATTATTTTCTAATCTGAGAGTGAGAATTTATTGTGATGTAAATAATTACCACTTTCTGATTGGTGATTCCTGAACTTGTTCAAACAGTCGTATTGTAAAGAGTACATAGCGTAAAAAATGATGTAAAATATTCCCGAGATACCTCCCCTTTCATCTCCTATCAATCAGAAAATGCAAACATTGTTGATAATACACTTGGATCTCCTTCTAATGTAGTAGCTGAATCTGTACAGTCTCTAGCACAACCTCAATAAGTAGCTCAATATGTGACCTGATTTCTCATATTTTTGGAGTCTGTGTACTTGACTGTATTGGATATAGTATTTGCTGCGTATGATATTTCATAGAGATTATTGAATCTTTGCTGGTTTTGTTGTAGTTTTCAATTCTTCTTCAGATTTACAGTTGATGCTTTTATATTTCATGGAGTTGAACATGTGAGATTTTTCATGTGAAGTCATAACTTGGATCTTAAATATTTTGAAATTGATGCAATTTTATCTGTCTGCTCATCCAATTTTCCATTTCTTTGCATGTAGTATTTCAAAAAGTTTGAATCTTTGTAAATTAAAAAAACCATCCATGTACTTTGAGCTCTGACAGCTATTAGAGTTGTTAAAATTGGAATCAAAGTAAAATTTTGACCTTTTTGGTACCAA